TAGTATCAATCAATCGATAATTTATTTATCGATTGATTTATACATGGATGAAAATTAATTATTAAAATAAATCTAGCAAGCTCTCTATGATCAACCCAAAAGATATATAAATAATAAAAGTATGAAAGGTAAAGATTTGCACCAAATTTACCGAAACATCGATGTCGGATGAAATATGTCGAATGAGATAAAATATGTGCATTCTAAAATCACACATATCATTAGACATAGAATAAAGAAGTGCGTTCTGTCCTCCATAAATCCTAACAAAACGTCCATGATTTTAAGAGTAATTATTTCACAATTAAAATCCATCCATCTGTTATGGTAAATGGAAGATCACTTTACATTTTTAAGGCACCAATAATTTACTTTGTGATCTGGAGATCAAATCAAAATTTACTTATAGCGACCGAACAATAACCGAATTAACAACAGATATAAGTAATAGTTTTTAAAATTCAACCACTGTGATTGATCTTGAGTGATATTTGGTGAAATAAAAAGCAAACTGAACGGGAACGCTTAATAAAAAAATATGAAAAATTCATATAATTAAGTTAGATACAAAACTAGCGGTAGATATATACTACGAGCAGTACATACATAGTACCAAGCCCTTGTTCTATGGATATATGGATTCCATGACTATGATTCAACATTCTATCATATGTTGATTTAGTGAGTGATTTTATATTCATGTTTCTTCATTTTTATCAGAGCAGGCACCATAAAAATATTTACGATAGTAATTTTTAATACCATATCCATTTTTGTCATATATTTTTTTATCTTCAGAATTACAATATAAATATGAATTTAATAAATACAGATTTAAATTCTAAGAAAATTTAACTTGCATGAATTCGTAGTTGTCATTTCCTTACATTTTTATTTTCAATGTAGCTCGACTAGTTTTGGCCTACTAACTAACAACCTTATAATTCTATTATTAATTATTATTAAAAATCCGTATCTTTATATATTATTTATCTTTATATTTCATAGAACCTTTTAATGTTAGGACCAAGTTATATCAAGAACTAAACTAAGCGAGTCTAATTTTGTTTAGCTTAGCTCACTTAACGTACATTCAACTACGTGAGCTAAACAAAAGTACACAAAGTAAATTATCTGAGGTCACGCAGTAAAATAAGGATTAACTAAAGATATAGTAACAAGAGTATTATGAGGGGTACCTTCTACTAAACAAAGAACGACTAACAAAAACTATGTATGTTAGTCGCAAAGGCTTCGTAGGTCGCAGTGTGAATTGAAGTATCTAAGAAAAGACGCCGTAGTTACGTGCGCTAATGTTCGTTTTGCTTAGCATTCAGTGTGGCTTGCGCTTATAGTGATGTCCAAACAAAGCGAGTAACGGATTTTCCCCGTATATTGAAATAATTAAACGTATTACGCATAGAGATCGTGGTTTTGGATGCCAACAAACGGACAATCGTATAAAATCTTTCTAGTCTAGTTAACTCGAAAGCGATTATATCAGTAATTTGTATGATGTTTCCTGGTTATATTACACAGCTTGTGTACATAAATTAAATATAGACTGAAATTATTGCCATCATTGAAAGAAACGTTCTACCATTGAAAGTAAACATTTTTCTCAAAGACAGAAAACACAAACTTCAAAGCTAATACTAACTTTTTTTCGAATCACATTAGTGGTATTTCGGGAAAAACTCAGGTATACCGGTAGACAATTATTTCAATCTTACCCAGTGTCCATATGTACTTCTACTATCGAGATATTGTGTAACATATACAAAACAATAAAGACAAATTGAGTACCTCCTTTTTAGGTACCTTAAGAACTGTGTACATAATACTATTCATTCATTGATAACCGACTGAAAGACATTCATGACCGAGTAAAATACAAACAGTCTAGCTAGACGCTCGGTTACGTAACCTTATTATGCGCATTGTATACGTTCTTGGGCGGGGCGGTTCTAAACCAACATCAAAAAAAGAAGGTTCATAACTTGACCGTTTCTTTTGATATAAATGTGTATATGTCACGCGATATTTTCCCAATACTCATACGTTTTTGATTATTCTTTTTTAATAGAAAAGACGTACTCCCGCATTGGTCTTAAGTATAAATTAGATGAATATTAAAAATTTTAATGATATTAATGAATCTAAATATTTGATAACATAATACCTACTCTCGAAACACTGAATAAAAAAATACATTACCAATCTACATAAAATAAATAATAATTTTGCTGGTCTAATGCATTCCAAGTTCATAAGCCGCTACATTTAAAATGTCAAGTTTAAACAGTTGTATCAATATTAGCTACGAGACATTAACTGGATTCTTTAGACGCCCGAATAAAAATTTGAAATAAAAAGTGTTATGATGAATCAGTAATACTTTATACAAACTAAGTAGAGAAAACTTTTAACTCCAACATAAGTTCAAATTAAGTATTTTCTTTATAAAACAAGATAGAAAACGAAAGAATGATAAATTTACTACCACCACCCATGACCACCAATTAGGTTATATTTATTACCCATATATTTTGCATTCATTAAACTTTTCATAAAGAGAAACTGTTCCCGTACGAATTTCGGGAAACTCTTTCTTAGCGCTTGCTCATAAATGTTACTAAAAAATTGTTGGAAAAAATTTCATACTTCAATACAGACCGGTCTAGTCCGTCTGATACACGTTTGCGTCACATTTTTAGATCAATTAAAGATAATTGAATACATTTTTTATTTGTCACACACTCGATCAGTGGTGGAGATTTATGTTGTAAGGTAAGCAACGTGTTATATAAAAAATGGTACATACATAAACGTTTCTAAACCCAACAGAAAAGTTAAAGGTCGACAGATTCAAGTAAATATCAAGTTTGAGTAGGTTGCCGGCTAGTATTGAGCTTGCAACCGTATTGACGGCCTTGACCCTCGAGAGTTTATTGAACGCTATTAAATAGCCGACGTATTTTTTTAAACGAATTTTATTTTAGTAGATCCTATAGTCGTTATTTTAAATATTTGACAAATTTGGATTTTAAACAATGGCTAAACTTCGATTTATTTGCGATAATCTAAGTAATAATATCTTTTCTTTGGTCGCCTTTGTGTATTTCAATTATTTATGAATAATTAGTAACAGTAGTAAAAAAATGATGGAAAACTACAAAACTTTACGAAGTAATTTATATTTTATAGATATGAACAGCACCATGACTGTCACAGAATATGTTGTATCGTCCATGGTATTCTTGCTGCATTGCCATTCTTATGAATACAGTTTTAAGCATCTATACCCAGTAAATCCTAAAAACTGAATAAAGTATATGCTCACATAAACAGAGCATGTATATGTGAGCATATGTTCAAACCCACAATCTGGATTTTATATGATGCAATTACAGGTAAATAGTACCCACATTACCGATTTTTTTATTTAACATTGACAATAAACATCAGGTATGTAGTTCTTATTTACCTGTAAATGCATCATGTTAAGTTTGGATTGTAAATATAAATAAGTAACAATACAATAAGTACATAACAATGCTAAAATTTAAAATTAACAATATGAGCATAGATATAATATACAGCTGTGACCACATAAATATTGTACATATATTAAAATTATACTTTATATTAGTGTATTGATGATATAAATGAATTATACATAATATTATTCATTTTATATATAATTAATTGAGTAAAAAAGAACCTTATCCATCAAAGTATTAATTTATTACTATAGCAGGGTTTTCTGACATATATATATATATATATATATATATATATATATATATATATATATATATATATATATATATATATATATATATGTTTTATCATTAAATATTTTTTTTTTTTAACATAAACCACAAATAATTAAATAGATTTCAGTAGGGATTTAAAAAGAATATGATTAATAATTAAAAGAAGGATTTTTAATTTATTAAAAATCACTTGAAAAAGTTACCAGAAAAATAATGTCATTTTTTAATAGCTCACCCATAGATTTTATTATATTTTTTGGCTATTAAATTTAATTTAATAAATAATATAAATAGTTAAATAATATACAGAAATAGGATAAGATCTAGTCATACCAAAATTCTATACAAAAAAATATTCATTGCATAATTTTAATAACTTTGAAAAAATATATTTAGTAGGTATATGTATAGAGTATAACAGACAGAAAGTAAACAAGTTTCATATCCAAAGAACCTAGATCAAATAGTTTTTGAATTTTTTATACTCGATCAATAAAAATTAAAAAATTAAACAGACTACATGCTTTTGTTAAAAACCAAATTTTTTAATTCATTTTTTATTACATAAAATAGCAAGCAAGATAGCGACCCACCCAATAAAAAATAATAATCACCTATACAGAATAAAAAATAATAATCACCTATACAGATGATCTATATTTGAAAAAAATTTTAATCCAAATAACATTTATAGATAATATTTATCAATCTAATGTTTTAATATATTTTAAATTTATCATTTTTAATAAAATGTATATAAAGACTTATGAAACCTACATAAAAGGGCAGGTTCTATATATTGGCTTATATATTGACTCCAATAAGAGAATAATGAAGACTTACTTATTTGACAAATTATGCTTTCAAATGTCAAAAAATAACCACTATAAAAATTAACAGTACATGTAAATTTTAAATAAAATCCAAAATAAACAATATCTAAAGGACTTTAGATTGGTGTTTACATATAAGATGAATTGCTCAAAACACAAAAAGACAAAAAAATGTAAGCATCTAGACTTCTAGAGTAAGTAGGACTTGATATTGATATTCTCTGCCTAAAAAGTAAGAATTAGCTAATTACAAATGTTTCTTTACAGATATTGTAGTGAATTAACTAAATACCAAGTGAAACATAATTACATTAATATTAAAAATGCAAAATATATTTATCTAATTAGATTATAATTGGAAAATACCTGTTTATAAAATAATACTCACTTTTCGATTAAGTATTGGGTGGTCCAGTAAAGAACTTCGCCTGGCAACTCCGCTTCGGTGATGGTGTATCCAGCAATATGAACCGGTAATTGATCTTCTGGATTGACAGTAGCCGCAAAATTCTCGAAAAACACTCGATAAGACGTTAAATAGTCCTCTTTATCACCCATTGTTTATTCGTTTAATTGGGTCAACAGTTTAAAAGGAAAATCACTTGGGCAATCGATCAACAGATTCTTACTATGACTTGTTAGAAAATTGAGCTAGTTTGGGGTTTATATATTTTGTAGAAATAATACAGTGTTTTACTTATAGTAAAATAACATCACATCATTGGTTATTATACAGATTTATGTACATCGTTTCATGTTACGTTCTAATAAATTCAAAACATTAAATTCAAATCTCACTAACACAACATGTCACATCTATTAATCACAATTAGATCACTTCACACACCCGATTGTTCAGAACATTGGATTTGAAAGATTTTCAATGTAGTACCTACTAATCCTAAGACAAACAAATATTTTCCTAATTAATTTACAGAAATAATTTTTATATAGTTATATAATTCTAACAATTCTGTAAACAAGAAATGTATAAAATTTATGGTAAAAACTATAATTCTCTTTTTAGGATAATGTTAAAAAAAAAACTACTCTATACTAATACAACTGGTTCAGAACAGATCGCGGCAGACTACATATACATAGAAATAGAACATTCATGCAAGCAATATACTTAATCTACGTCGGTGACAGTTGCTATACTTAATCTATGACACACAAAATTCACAGAAAGCGAAATCCACCCAACATCCATTTATTCAGCACTAAGCGAATACTTCGCAGTCGATTGCTAATTATCAAGTAAATATAATAATATTACAAGTAATAGTATTACGTAGCACTATGGCTACTAATGATTTAATGTGTTGAATTTATCTTTTTCATAAACAACGCCATTATATTAATAACTAGCGACCCGCCCAGCCCCATCTTCGCACGGCTGCAATGCTGATACTAAATATATATATATATATATATATATATATATATATATATATATATATATATATATATATATATATATATATATATACAATGTAAGCGCAAAAATTGTTCATTTACGACATCACATTAGAAATCTCTAAAATTATCAGTATTTCTCTATTATATTATGCATGTATTATATATATATATATATCAAAATCCATGACGTAGTTTTAACGATCTAAGCATACATAGGGACAGATAGACAGCGGATCGACTTTGTTTTATAGTATGTATTGATGATAATTTTAATTCGTAAATCGCTCTGTAGAGGCAACACCTTCGTTCAGTGGCAAATTATTTTTAGAAAATATTTATAAAACACGCAAACTATTAATGACAAAATATTGACTTATTCAACGTTTAGAGGTTACAAGTTATAAGTTACAGTTTTAAGAAAATGTGTCCAGCGAGAACTTAAAGAAAGGTTAAAGTAAGCTCTCTTGAAGCCTGAAGAACACCTGAGTATGCAACTGCAATTTTGAAAAATAATCCATATAAATAATTATAAAGCTAAAATTATGATTTAGAATAAATTCTAAGTGCCTAATGTTAACCTTAAATATGTACTTTCACATGTAATTTTTATTCTTTTATTAATATTTAACTACGTTTTTTTATTATTTCTTTCAAGTTTTATTTCTATCACGTAGGTAATTTTACCCACGATCCTTCGCTGTAAACTCATAGATCTCATGTAGCTGTATATTCTGTACTTAAAGAACAGGGCCAAAAAATTTAACACAATTAAAATAAAACATTTATTATTAATAGTAAAAATATAATTATAGCATAATAAAATTTACTTAATATTAAAATCAGTCCAAATACATTAAACCACAATTTAAAATATTTATTTATATTAAAAAAAATATATTTTATCTTTTAAAAGTTAATACAGTTGATGATTATAATTATAAAATTATAAATGATAAAATGTAATAAGTATATATAAAGTAAGTACACTGATATCCTTTCATCAAAGCTTAATTAACCCTCTTAAAATATCTTTTGCCTGGTGTTGCTGCTTTTTCATGTGTGAGAGTCTGAAAAAATTTAATTACATTAATTTGGAATAATCTGTGTATTAAAAAACTTTTCTAAAATAAATAATAAATAGAAATTTATTTTAAAAGAAGGTTTAATCCAACTATGTAAGGTTTGATGTTTGTGAACCCAATAATTTCATTGTCACATCCCAACCTCCATACAGAAATTGAGCAATAGAGCTGCTTAGCAGCAGAAATATAACTACACAATATCATTTTATTAGTTTACCTTATATTTCTTAAACAATAAATATTAATAAATGTTTAATTATAAATGTGATAATGAATAAATGTAAACAACATGAAATTAAAAATGAACACTTACTATGACACAACCTTCATCAGAAAATGTATAATGTCTGCCACATTTGGCTCCTGTTTCAGGTATAACTGATTCAGTCATCATTTCATTATCATTTACAATGACAGTTTTACTCTGAAAAATACTGCAATTAAATTATATGATATTAATGGATATTTTACAATAAATAAATTAGTACATATAAAATTTATCAACATTTATAACCATTTTACAGCCACAGTTAATCAGGTCTACTAGTAGGAATAAATTTTATAGACAAAAAATTTACAGTCGGGAAATTCCTTTCATACTCGGTAGTTGTTTGGGAATATTTATATGTGCCCTAACCAATAAAACATCAATATTTTGTGTAACAATTTCTAGATTTCGGATTAATTTTATACCAAAAAAGCAAGCATTTATAAACATATGGTGTGCATTAACTGAACCTAAGGTATAAAATTCTGAAACATCTTTTTATAAACATTATTCTCACTTAATCTTAACCAAGACCTTGTAGAACTTGGAGCCTTAAATAGCTACTTTTGATTATTTGTAGCATAGCAACATGGATGAACAAGCAAAGCAACTGGAAATGACAAATAGAAATATTATTGAAATAAAAACAAAATTATTTAAATATTGTACCTTTATCTTAGTATTAGGCATGTGTTCCTCATACTCCTCATTAAGTTTAAAAGAATGTTCAATAGTTCGGAACAATGAAACATTTTTAATAGTCATTTTATCACCATCTAATGTAATTTCCATCAATGGTGATGAAAAAGACATCATTTTCCGGCCAATATATGGTACACCTGGAATTAATATTGTATATAATTTTAACAATAAACACTACAATACACAATCATATTATTTAGTATGTTACATACATAGAAAATAATATGATTCACACAATCACTTTCAAATAATCCAATCATACAACAATATACTTATTTAGTCCTTGTATTAGCACTAGATTTAACAGTGTTTTGATTTTTTAATATACACTTACTAGCTGACTAGGGAAAATGTTGTGCTGCCATATAAATGACTGTTTTTAATAGGGGTGCCCTAACCAGCTTGCGATATGTAATGTACTTTAGAGCCTAATCTCAAACCTATCAAATAGGGAGGAAAGGGATTGTTAGTAATGGAGTCTAGCTTTCCCATTGCCAACAACACACCCCGCCAGGTTAATCTACTCACAGTCCCTCTCTGGAAACCATTATGATTCATTCCAGGTGAATTGATCACATTGGGTTAACCGGGCTGCCTTTCCATCCACACCTGTCATCTCTCAGTAGTAGTCATTATAACAGTAAACAATCTCACCAGTATTTACCACTAGCATAGATGGAGTAACCATTCCATTATCATCCACTAAAATACCTACAGAAATAAATTAAAAAAAATCCATAAAAATAAGACTTTTCAGAGGAGTTAAAACACAAACACTGTGATACAAGATTTTTATATATAAGATTAAGTTTCATTATTATCAAGCAAGCGTAATGCAAGCAAATGTGGTTGGTTAAAATAGAGGGATATGACTGCAATTCAGGATATCACTTTCTATCAAGTGCCTTTAGCTTACTTTTCATCCAAAGTTACTGAAAAAAGTAAAAAAGTACTTACCAACAGCTAAAAAGTATTCATCAATATTTTCGTTTTTGTAATGTTGATATTTTCCTGTAATAGATGGCATGTTCCTTACTTAGCTATTATTTACTGCAAAAATAAAAAAAAAAAAAATTAATTGTAGCCAGAAATTATTACTTGACAATTGTTGCAATAATCGAGAGCTGGTATTTTATCATATAATTCTAAGTATTTGAGTTTAATACTAGGTATTTGTATCAATCACGTATTTTGATAAGATTTCTGATAAGTTATTTATGGTCTTATCTTCACTAATATTTTTACACTCATATACAAGAAGAATTGTTCATAGGGAAACTTACACTAGGGTAGATATGAATATTTTGTCCTCTATGTATGGATGTTACGGTCCCAGGGGGAAGAAGTAAAATAAATCTATCTAGTCTGGTAACTATTTTTTATATCTATTGTTACAAAAATTAAAAGAAGCAATATAAATATTATTTTTCGAATTCAAATTGTACGATATTACAAATTATGCAGTAAACTTGCTTCCGAACTAAAAATATGATTAAAAGTTTAACAAATTAAAAGTTCAGAATAGATATGCTCGATGATCATCGATGTTGAAAGGAAAAACATCGATTTTGCTACACGAAAAATATCGTAAAATCGATGTTACGAATTGATAGTAGATCATCGCTGTTACTCACGGTCTCACGCACGACCAATGCAACGTATGAAACAAATTAATTTCATCGTTTGTTGGTAAAAATGTATGTTAAAATGCGGTTGTGCGCGGACTATTTGAATACTATCGGGACATTAACGCTATCCGAAAGAGTTTTCAAAAGTTGGCTCTATTCTTTATCAACAAAGAAATAGATTAAAAGTGTATTCTTATGTCAAAATTACTTTTCTTTCAGTTAGTTGATAAAAAGTATTGGAATATACAATAATTTGTTCTGTTTCTTAATAAATTTCGAACGATTTTACTGTATTTTATTGTATTGTTAATTATCAATGCTAAAATTATAGATGTTACCCAAAATCTTGTTCGGTTTGTGATGAATATCGAACATAGATATTGAGCTTTCGATTATGAAATTGATGTCAATATCGATGTTTTTCAAATATCGATAATCCCTAATTCAGAATTCACTTATATCACTTAAGTAAAGCATAGATTAACGAGGCTGACAATTAAGTGACAATAAAAAATAAGTAAAATATCTATAAGTTCTACAACATATAAGTATTCTAGACACTATTTTTTTTCTTTTCATATGGCACGGCACAATATGCATCCGCCGAAAACAAAGTTTGGGAAAGAGCATTTTAGTGAAGGGAATTTTGGACGACGAAATTTAGGATAGGGATCAGAAAAGTTGAATAATGGATAATATAAGAAAAAGGACAGATATCTAAATAGAAATTACAATATATTTAACCTTAAAAGTATATATGTATACGTAAAGTACATAAAATGAGAAAATTAACAACTTAATATTATTGATAAGAATAAAAGAGGAAATCAAATGATACTTCTAAATTATCAAGAAACAATAATGCTGAAACTGATGTAGGTAAGGGAGGAATACGGAACGGAGGGAATTGAAAAGTTCAGAATAGTTATAGACTGAGATTTAGGTATGTTCAATCTTGTGTAACTTTTTTGCATAACTAGTTTTCAATGTATGGATTTGATCAGGAAACATCAAACCAATATTTAGTTAAACGATGAAATCACAATAGTGCCAACATAACTAACAAAAATATATACTGTTAAATGTGATGTAAACAGCTGCCATCTGAACTATTTGTGGAACAGTTTTTATTTTGTATTTCATACTTATTTTTATTTTGTTGTGGGAATTACGACTATATTACGATATTGACTCTATTACGAAGTCTACTCTAAAAATTGAGCAAATATTACGAGAAGTGTTGAAAATTACATTTACTATCAATAATATTACCAAATTAAAATCTCAAGGTATACTATACAAAATTAATAAATTCTTTATTGCACCAACAAACATATAAATATATAATGTTAATTAGACAACTTAAGTAAGATACTCTTGCATAAAGTTCAATTTATAATTTTTCCAATTTATATTGAAAAAGAAAAAAAAATTCATTACCATCAGCCCGTAAATTAGGCCAGACAGGTATCTTGGGGACTAAGCGAGCAGTTACCTAATGTTTAGTGCACTTTATTTATATGCACAATCAGGATCAACATTTCATAAAATTCTCAGTTTCCTCATAATTATAATATATTTAAAATAATAAATGTATTTAAGAATGTTATATTTTATTTAATTTTTGCTAAAAAAATTTTCACCGGAACATGCAATTTAACATAAAATGTATATATTTCTTTTATCACGTGATTCGCATTTCTATATTATTCTTATAACCGTATTAGTTTCCATTTTGAACATCAGGCTGTCCAACATAACGAGAAGAGAAGGATTTTTGTGTGGATTGGTGAGACATTCCTGACCAAGTTGTTTTACGTGGTTTGTGTGAAGTGCGCTCTCTTTTCCCTTAGTTATATTAGCGATGGGCCAACTCGTATAGTTTTGAATTCGAATAAACCGAATTGAAATGGTGGCTGATTCGAATCGCAGCTCGAATCAGCTCGCATTCACTTCGTATAGAGTCAATATTGCAGTTGAATATGAACTCAGTAGGTCCGTTACTTAACTCGCTTTAGATTTAAATCGTCGATAGCGCGAACTCGCGGGTTTCAATCAATTCGAATAAAATATACTAGCGTAACGTAGTAAACACTCAGAATTCATATTATCAATCTATTTTAGTTATAGAACAGTTTTGTTCTTTACTTTCGAGCTATTAATTTGAAAGAAAAATACAAAATACTAATATTTAAAAAATAGGTTTTTATTTTTAACCGACTTCCAAAAAAGGAGCTGGTTCTCAATTCGACTAATATTGTATGTTTTTTTATATGTTTGTTACGCGATTACTCCGTCAATTGTAGACCAATTTTGAAAATTATTTTTTTGTCGGAAGGGGTATTATCTTGAGGTGGTCCCATTGTCACCATGTCAGGATCTGATGATGGGATCCCAGGGAAATCGAGAGCAACTCTATACTTTATAGACACCTACAATATTTTTCATGTACCTTCTAAAGCTATTCAGATATTTGCGTCTGGTAGTCATCATCTTATGTTATTTAACTGATGATGGGTGGTACAACTCCTTAACGGTTAGGAGTTAAGAGGTAATTCCTGAAATATTAGGCACGTTTAGATCGTTAGTAGTTTTTTTCAAGTAATATTCAGATGAGCTGATGATGAAGTACAACTCCTTAACGGTTAGGTTTATATAGGAATTAAGGGATAATTCTATCGCAAAAAAGATTATGAAAATTCTTTTTTTGTCTCCAAGTCAGAATCTGGATCCCATGAAAATTGAGGGAAATCCTCAAAATTTATAATGTAAATATAAAAATATATTAAAAATGGAAAAATAAATAAATTTGAAATAAAATCAACAGACTTCAAAAAAAAAACGTAAAAAATACAAAAAGTAAAAAATAACAAAATACAAATTTAATCCAAATCAAATAAATTTCATTTCATTTTATAAAAAATTTAAATAGTTATGTAATCACCTAAGAAAATACATAAAAGTTTAATACTTATATTTTTACTATTTATTTTAACATTAATTAATTAACTAAATATTAAAAAACGGAACAGTAACATTTCTAAAAAAAAAATATCGTCGTCAGCCAATCATGAACCAATCGCCTTCTCTTCCTTTAACTTGCGCTTCATGTGATGTTACTATCTCATTCTGCTTCGCAGCTTGTTCGGTTGATGTAGTTATGTCGAGTATTATACACCACACGCTATGGCATGGTGCAGTGCAGGTAATAGGTACATACACATATAAGTATATAATTCAAAATACTTGTACAACGCAAACAGTAAAGCATAGATAATTTACGAAAGTTCATTGTATGCGACAAATCTATGGATTGGTAACAGTAACTTGCTTTTCTAGTCATATAAAAATAATAAATATATTATTAGATTGACTTTGACTCCATAAATCTCACTCAACACTATTCTGTTAATTTATAATAAAAAGTGCCAAAATCTCAACTATCACCGCACCATGATATAGCGCGCGGAGTGTAACTGTAAAACACGCTGACAGAAATATCACGCACACGAGAGTCTTGCTCGTTGTATAATGTTTCTGTTGCGTCGCACGCACACAGCCACACAGCATTCACAGCAACCGAATCGAGTTGACGTTATGACGAACACAGTCGGCCGAGTTGCGTGCTACAGTGATCCGAGCGTAGATCGCATTCATATCACGGTTGTAACGTAGGTAGCGCCGTATTGGCTTTATACGAGTTGATTCGAATTGATAGAAAAGCTAGTTCGAATTGAGCCGGCGGCAATGCAGCTCGAGTAACTCGAGTTTTTTAATTCGAATCGCCCATCGCTAAGTTATATACTCTTTGGGTATGTTTATATTCTGTGATTTTTGTCTTTGCTGTCGCTCTTGTACATTTTCATTGTTTTGAATTTATTCTTTTTGAAACAACAATTTAGGTAGTAATTGTTACTTTGAGACATTTTATAAACCCTTTATATAAATAAAAATCTATTATCACAATGACAGATATAATACATCAAGATCAGGTAAAAATAAAAGTTTTTTTTTTATTCGTACACCGCCTCTAATTTGCTTTTTGTGCTTAACATTTTTAAATTATTCTAATAACGTTTTAAATGTTTATGAATTGTAAAATACATAACTAATTTTTTTGGAGATGATAGTAAAATCAAATAGATAGAATTCGTTGTGTACAATATATATATTATTTTAAATTAACTTCATTTTAGGAACAGCAAGTTAAGAAGGTGAAACGATTATTAGAAGGATGGCGTATAGCTCTCTTGCCGCTCAAGTCTGTACTTTTGTGGGAACAGCAATGGTACCCTTGTGCAATTGTTGCTGCCATTTCTTCATTATTCCTTGTCATTTGGATCCTGGATCTTAACACCCTCGCAACATTTGCTATTTTTGGTTTAATTCTTAATTTTTTTGACTTTATTGTCCCAGTCATATGTAACACTCTTTATGGATCAAGTTCTTGGACCGGGCAAAATGAGAAAATGTTTGAGGAAATATGTCGGAACATTGTTATTAGTTATAACAAACTATTATACCAAATCCGTTCCTTCTATTCTCTCAGAGAAACAAGCCCATATATGGTAAGGTATATTTTTAACTTCTATTTGTTACATTTAGAATGCCTCTTGCAATTCACTTATGAGTGTGGTTTAGGGTTTTTTCTTTATGGGTGAAAATGGTGTGATAGCCCAGTTTGCGCTAACGGGATACATTGATAGAGCACCAAAGTGAAGGATGATAGATGAGAATGAAAACAGGCCAGTTAGCCCATCATGATGAATTCATCAGGAATTAACCATGATAGTTTCCAGGGAGAACCGCGAGCAGGTCGACCTGGTTAGGTATATTGCTAGCAAAAGGATTCTCAGTCACCATTTCCAATCCCTTTCCCCCCTGTGGTTTAGGGTTGGATTTGATCCTTTTTAAGGGATTTCTTTTTTTTAAGTAATTCATAATATTAATAATGTAGTATTATAGTATATTTGGGGATTAAGTTATAATAATATTAAATAATAATAATATAATAATAGTCATAAATATTGACAATGTTATTTTTAGGTAGTCTCTTAAAATACTGTTTCATTTTGAAATGTCAGATATGGCAGTAAAAATACAGGATAGAGGCATAACACTAGCCCTCAGGAGTGGCAATGCATGAGAGATATTGTGGGTGATACAGTATACTCTGTTGTGACTATGGTCCTGTTCATGTCTGTTACTGATTGTTACCACTTTCCATCAGATGAGCTGTCAGCATGTTTACCATTCTAAATTGCATATAATAAAATATTGTACTCTAATTTTTAAAATTATTAAAAGTTCAAAATTCCATTAGCAGCAGTATCATAATCAGAATTAATCGGAATAATTGGTTGGAAAATTATATGTGACATGTGATATATATGGCCCATACTGATAGTAAACTACTAAGCCTTGTTACTGAAACATTTTTTATTATTTTCCAGTACTATATAATTTCTATCAGTATGCTGTGCACAATGGCTTGGGTAGCATCATCTGTCAATAATGTGTTTCTGCTATATCTTCTATCCATTGTGATGTTATTGTGGCCAGGAATTCAACACAGAGGGATTTTCAAGACATTGCTTTCTATGGTCAAAGTAACCCCAAAGTTTATCAAGGCAGAGTAATTTTATTATAATGTAGCTTTATAGCTTTTATAGCAATGTGTGATGTATCTGGTCATTAACATTTTAAGTTTAAGCTTAGCTTATCAAATAATGAGCTTTAAATTTAACTGTATGGTATGGTATCTCATTATTACTTAAATAAAAATACAACAGCAATATGTCTTTGATGTTTTGTACAACCTTTTCCTATTTGATGATATAAGACAATATACTACTGCTAAAGAGCTTATGTGACTATTTGAACTAAGGCATTAGAAATTAAAATAAATACAGCATGTTATCAAAGTTCCTTTCAATGAACGTTCAAGTAGGGCAGGGGTTCCCAACTTATTTTGTTTAGTGCCCACTTTGAGAATAAATTATTTTTTAGTACCCTAATTTTTTCACCTACTACTTCAAAACCAAATCAAAAAATCACTACTACTTCAAATTAAATTAATCCATTATTGTGAGCTATACTAGTGATCTAAACGAGCCTCTACACAACGACCCCATTTTTTTTCTGGGTCTTTTACCGCCCCCTTTAGGCCTGCAGCGCCTACAAGAAGGCGTTATCGCCCACTTTGGGAAAGGCTGAAGTAGAGAAATTATTTTGACAGGTATTTATCAAGTGTATTGATTTTAAAATCTTTATTGTACAACTTTACATTGGACAAATTCAAATAATATACAATGGCGAACTTATTGTAAAGAGGTATCTCTTATAGTTAACCAATACTGAGCATTCCATAAACAAGTGTTACATAAACTGACAGAGAGAATTGCGGCGCGGTCACATCTAATTCGACTGACTACTTTTGATTGAACATTGCAACTGTGCCAGAAACTGTTACTTCTGTTCATGGGTCACTCGGTACTCCCGATCCGGTTCCTAGTGACCTTTTTTTTAGTTGTCGCAAATTTGTAGCGCCAGAGAATTCTACATATTATAGAAAGTACAAATTTAGCCAATTGTTAAGCTACTTATAGACTTAAAATTTTAGTTATCTCTTTTGTCCCCGTCATAAATATTTTTCACTTATCAACGTTATAACTTCCAATAAAAGTAGGGTCATTTTTTTTTAATGGATTATAATGGAATATTTTTCACTGAAGGATATAACGTCATAACCGTGACGTATTCAACATAAAACCACGTAGGGTCATTTAAAACTATCAAATTGACATTAGTAGTTGCTGCGATAATTGATTATTATGTATAGCCGACGAACGGACGGAAGTGATAGGGGTCAGAAGTTCCTATACACTCATATCATAATTTTGACTCCTTAATGTGATGTAAAAGAGTTTCTTCATAATTTGCAATGAACATGTAATATCCCAATTTTTGCAGGCGTTCCTCATCTAGGTGTGTCAAATTTGCCAATTGCCAAATGTTTCAGTAACAATATTTTTTTTTAAATAATACAACAATATTAATATCATATATTTTTATTGTACATAATTTCTTAAACTAATCCATTATTTCTGCAAAATATACTGCAGTGATTTGCATGATATAAAAAGCAAATATCTACATATTTTGTATTATAAAGCTTTTGCCGAGTCATGATGATGTTCACAATCTGAAAATGTTATGTAAGTATTAGACATCGTAACTTAGGCGTAACATATAATATTAGTATAGAAAATATAAAATATACTCTGTAATTTTGATACATAATTATGAGATGGGTTAGGATAAAACTAATAAATTGTACATATTATATATATATATATATATATATATATATATATATATATATATATATATATATATATATATATATATATATACATTTACATTAAAAACATTTGTTTCCCAACAGTAAATATGAACTGTGCCACTAAAGACAACTTCTGACAAAGGTACAAAGTGCATGATCCATGTGCTACATCATTTTGAAAATTGTATCGACATATCAATCATACATAATCAATCATTATATACTTTTGACTTTCAGACAACATTATCAACGCACATTGAAATAACGTATCGCTTATTTGTTACAAATAAGTCCTTCCTTGTCGTGTATTAATAAGCCAACATCTATCTCTAATTCTCACTTATAACAAAAGTAGTACATCACAGAGATTAAAAATACCTAACTAAGAATGTCAAACGACATCAACCAATCAAGCTTCTTTAAATTGTATGCGTGTATATATATATATATATCTTATGGTCTATATAGTCGAACCATTAAGTATAAACCTTTATAAAATGTAAACAATTACAAAAAAATGTAAAAAGGTTTAAATTACCATTATATGTATATATCAAGAATTAAAATAAGATTGTGCATAATGCTACTGACACATTTGTCTAAGTAGTATACAGTGGTAATTAATATGTAGCAACTACCGACTATGTAATTCGGTAATTTTCAGCGAGTGTGACTCCTGCCAAATTTCAGTGGAACTTTCAACTATGCTTTCAACTTTAAAGCCGATGTCCCCGACATATAGAAGGAATCTTTTATAACTTTCTGGAGATATCAACTTTTCTGAAGACTCGAAACCTACAACGCACCTGAAATTAGACAGAAATCTCTGTTTTTGAAAATCACCCAATAAGCTGTTAATACGTGTTAATAAAAGTTAATTTATGTAAATACATTGCATAACAATATTAAATAATTTCTTGGAAAATTGTAAAATATATACTTAAATGCCATAACAACTAACGTTTTGTAACAACATGAAATTATATAAAAATAATATTCGCATTGGCAACCAGTCCAAATTTACATACAATAATTTATAACAAAATATCTTTGACGTCATCACATTAAAATCGGAATTATTTAGATATTTGTTCTAAATTTAAATATTACGAGTCAGGAATAGTAAATCCTGCTTTCACTGTAATATTCTTAACCTTGGTAATAGTTGGCTTTCCAGGAGACGAATTAGGCAAATTATTAATATTCGACTTACTATCGCTAGATGTGCTTGGTCTTAACAGATCTTCCGTAACTAAAGTTGTAGTAAATCTACTTCCTGAAACGTTTGTCTGTGGATTGTTATTACTTTTTTGTGCACTGCTGTCACTATATCTTCTACTTTCATTATTTAACATATTATTACTACTCTTCTTGTTTTTACTTTTACTAGTGTTTGTTTTATTTTGAGAAGATAATGATTCAAAGTTGTTTATATATTGGGATGCATCGCCTTTTGTGCATTTATTCGTTATATCAGATTCTATATTAAAATTTTTACTGCTCGATGGCATTTCCTTAAAGAAAGTTTCTTTTGTTTGCTGTATATTAAGTCCATAGAAATCTATGGTGGCATTGCTAGTAGACGCTTGACAAAAGTCTGGTTGGAGCATGGTGCCACTAAAGGATTGTGGGCTAAGATCATTTTTTATTAATTTCACTGGAGAACCGCAAGGATCAACCGAAAGTGTTTCTTCGTCATCTTCGCCCTCAGCACTCTGTAAAATTTAGATTAACACTTTTAATTTCCAGGCTCACTATAATGGAGTTTGAAGCCTTTACAGATTTAAGATTTAACTCTCATTTAAAAAAATATGAAGACAAATCGTCACAACAGATACCTACGTTATAAAAATGATTCTTAGAAAACACCCACTAGACAACTCTAGCAAATTGTTACAACATTAGTTAAGAGCGCTGTGAAAATGTGCTGGCCCCATAACCCGATAAAATCGAAGTAATTAAGTAGGTAAACTATTAGTTTAATTAATTAAAGAAAATGACATTACACTGATAACACTAAAAAAAACCTTATATCGTTTTTTTTTTATGAATGAATAGAAAGAAAACCGTTTATGAGAGAAAAGATTTTTAGTGCTCATATTTTGGGTATTAAAAAACTTTCGTATATCCCGCCAAGTTTAATGGACATTCCTGCTAAGTGAGAGTAGTTAGATCAGAACAGCTTCATGGGCAGGTTTTAATGAATTATTCGTACTACGTTTAATGAATGCTTCGTGTTAAGTGAGTTTATTAACTCCCCATATCACAATGTATATGGACGCGTTCCGTTTTGTGGTAATTTATGACTACATTCCATAGTACTACTGATGTATGGGCGAATAAGTGGTACACACACTGATCCCCCGCTACAATGTCCACGTCTCCACTGGTATCTTATCTTGTCATCCACATACGCACTCACAAGGAAGTGCCCCATCACCTTATTTCCAACTTATAATAGTCCGAGTAGTATTCAAAAAATTTATTTGAGATAAGAGCTAAACTTTTCACAATTTTAGTAGGTACATACCAATAAGTCGTGGTCAGTAATGGAGCCGGCGGTCGCCTCGTTGCTATTAAACTCCTGCTCGGAGGTCATCGATACTGGAGTGATGTCACCGCTAATAGATGAACCTGGCAACATTGTTATAAATTTGTTTTACAAAGAAAAAAATATCTTTATTAGTATTATAAATGCGAAGAGGACTTTGTTTGTTTATTACCTCTTAGAGCCTTACCAGCTTAACCAATCACAATGAAATTGGTTTATATAGCGGTCACGGGGACGAAGTCGCTGATAAAATTTAGTTATAATATAGGTAGTTACGTACGGCCCACCTGATGGAAAGTGGTATCCGTCGCCTATAGACATGAGCTTTGCCATTCCTGAGGACTCAGGTGTTATTCCTCTGTACCCAGTGCCATATCCCACCCTTCAAACCGAAACACAGCCATGCAAACACAACTGCTTCACGGTTGAAACACGAATGGGACAGAGGTAAAGAGAGCAGAGAGTCTATCCCAAGCAATCGACTTTTGTGTAAAGTCTCCCTCTGGTAAAATTAACATAGACAATTTTTACTCAGTTTAATAGATGCAGTTGGGGGGAAAGGGATTGTTAGTAATGGAGACTGAGAATCCCATTGCTGACAATATAACCAACCAGGTCGACCTCCTCGCTGTTCTCCCTGGAAACTATCATGGGTAATTCCTGATGAATTCATCATGATGGGCTAACTGACCTGTTTTCATTCTCATCTATTATATATATATTATATATATTCACTGCTGCTCCGCCAGCGTATCACGTTAGCGCAGGCGGGGTTACTATACCTTTTTCACCCATCAAAAAAAAAATAGATGCAGTTCTAATAAACTGAGTGGAGTATAGTAGAGAGGATGGAGTAGAGAAAAATCAATAAATATAGTCAAACAGAAGTTAAAGTAACATTAATTTCATGTCTACTCGATGTAATTTCCTAATTATATCACTTTACTGATTGTTTTCCGATAACGTGAACACAATCATATAATAATTAAAAAAAAAATACAAACAAATTACGGCTTTTTGAAAAATCATTAAATCTCATAATGATAATGTATGCCACATCTTAAAATATAGCACAAAGATCCATATGACAGAATTTATACCTAATAAATCTTATTGGAGAAACAGTTTTTTTCATTCTGTCGAAATCAAGATAATTTTTTTTTCTTATTTGAAATAAAGAGAGCGGAAAAGCCGCGGAATATCCTTCCAGTAAATATATAAAATTGATTCTTCTATCGTGCCTTTTTGTTAGTACATGCAAAGGTATAGACCGCTCGTAAATAGGAATCATATATGTTAATTTATGCGTATACACACGCATTAAAAAATATATTGTTTGATAAATGCGCGCGTGTTTACGTGCGGCCTACTTCGCAAATAGCATTGTTCATAGCGGCTCTGCGTGCATATTATGATTTGAAACATGCGAATTATGAATCGTGAATATGAATAATTAGGCACATCACTATTTGTAGTTCAAATATTTAGTGATGGCAAGTAAACGACATGAAATAGTCTTATTTCAAAAACAGTGGAAAAATTGTGAAAATTTGTGGGTCTTGTTATAATCATAGATTGGATACGTAACCGTTTTTGTGTGAATTTCAAATTATAAACTTTCATTTGTTTCTTTTTCTGTTTATATGGATTTTGGTATTTTACTTATATATTATAGTGTGTAACTCTTATGTGTAAGATATATATATATATATATATATATATATATATATATATATATATATATATATATATATATATATATATATATATATATATAGATATAGTGATATTTGCGACGTATGGTAAAGACTTCAATTTAAAGTGAATTCTTTATAATGTGGGGCTTAAAAGGACTTGTATCCAGAGCCGTAAAACATATTAATAAAAATAAAATAGTCTATGGAAATAGTATAGTGAGTTACTCAATTACCTGTCATTCAATGTTAAATTATAAATGCATACTGATCTCTGAATGCCGAAAGTGTTTTAATTTTTTTTTTCGTTTTATGGAAAATATTTAAATTAATACATGCTTGTATAATTATATAGAAATCCGTTTGTACATTTTCATCAGAAGACTTGCTATGATTTACGAGCGCTTTATTATCGCATGTGTATACTTGCCATTACTAAAAATAACCCGCGTGTTAGTTACTGTACTCGAAATTTATATTTAATTTTATACGATATATTCACTGATACATTTTTTCAATTAATCTGCATACATCGATGTTGTGCATAATACTATACCAATACGTAAATATATACGTTGTACCTGCATAACAAAATTAAGCACTACGCTTTTCAATTCGCATAAATACAATCGAATGGATATTAATAATAAGTTTATGAACCAGGGCTGCCAGATGGTATAATATAATACATAAATTGTAGGTAGTTCGTAAAGTTGTAAACACTTTGTATGAGACTGGCGCTCCGTAAGCACTGGAATGTTTTTGATACTAGCACTAAATAATACTTGTAATTATAAATTGAAGCACAGCTCATCAATCGCGACTCTATTTTTAATACTTAAAAGATCAACTTTAATATTAATTTCGAAAGTTAAATTCGTTAAATTAGTAACTTATTTTCGTTTTCGATTTTTAATTACTAATAGTATCCTGAAAGACATTAATAGGCCATTAAATCACAAATATGCTAAACTATTTTTTTACAGTATTTATGGCTTAGTGATATACATATTAGCTGTCTCTACTGGCGGCTCTGTTACGAACGTTCTGGTCGGAACGATTTTAGTTCGATTAAATCGACACATCGATTGTAATAATGCGAAATGAGAAGTCGCAGTGTATGTGCAGATCAGGACATAGTGACAACGGCGGTGCATGTAGGTATACCTGCTACATTGGAGTGCGGCATGAATGAGTGGAGGCTCGAGTCGAAGGCGCACAACGTCGCCGCCTCGCCGTCCCACTGGGGGAGCTTGCTCGGCACAATTTTACTCCAATTGCTACTGGAATCCACAATTTTGTCCGTTTACCAGTACCCAGGCCCGTGTTGTCATTTCGACACCCCAAAGCGTAAATATGCCTACTGAATTCTGAATAATTTGCTTTCATACGTTTATTTGCTTCAATATAACAAATAATTTATTAGTAAATAATGTTATTAGCTTTCATATGAGAAAGAGCAAGACGATGAATTGCTGTCTTGTTTTATCTTATGTATGCGATAGCTGTATGTATTTATAAGATAGATTTGTTTAATCATGGAGAGGGACGGCAGAATATAATGTCGATTCTATTAAATTACTATTGTTCGACAAACCTATTTTTGTAAGTACACCTACTCGTATTGAAGATAAGTAAACTCTGTATGAAAGCAAAATATGATCAATGGTATAAAATACAAGTGATAAATTGTACAGTGTTTTCTTGCAATGAACTATTATGAATGAAAATTAAAAACAATTATACGTAGCCACAGAATAGCCACCTAAAAATATTCCCATAAAGATTCTGTAGATCTCGTCAAGCTTTTATACAGTTGACAAAATCCATGTTGAATACCAAGTACCTTAATCACTTAAAACAGTGGTTTTATAGCTAAACTATTAGATCTAGCTGTCTATTAACACTATACATGCAAAAGAAGATGTTTCACTTTGGGCTCTACTTAAATCATTATGCAGTATTTTTTTGTGTCTCCAATTTATATATATATATATATATATATATATATATATATATATATATATATATATATATATATATATATATATATATATATATATATATATATTTAATTTTGTAGTAGTTTCTCTGTTTAATTTTAATAAAGCATCTAAGGCACTAAATAAGACTTTCTAAACGAAAACAACACAAACAGGAATATATATTTTGACATTTATATAACGATCTTCAAGTGATTACCGCAATCAACATAAACTAAATTGTAGGTTCACTTGATAAAGATAATACAAATTTGCATATTATGTTAAATTCGAATATGTAGTATATAATAACTGGACTCAAGTTACATATTATCGTGAAACATCTCCTTTTATAAATCTATATTGTAAATGACATTACAAGGATCAGCACAGGTCGGCAGTGTTGCAGCGAACAATCGTTTATATACCACTGAGCAACACGGTCTCACTCGTTTTGTTACATGAATTTCCACCGTATGCTTAGATCGGTAAGGTCCATTTTCAAATGCTAAGAACTTAGTCATTTCACCGCTATCCCGTAGACCTGCGCTGATTCTTAGTCAGTCCGTTAATTGCTTCACTCAGTTACTCCAGTATGAGGTCGATTCGTGAGTCTCAACAAAAACTATAAAACCTCGATAACGTCCTTCGGTGAGGTAACAAAACAACCTATCAAAATCTACGCGAAGCAACAAAAATGTAACGTAGTTAGAATAAAGATGAGCAAAAATTTCGACATATAACTTTGATGAGTATTCCGAATACATGGAGAGATTACTGTAATAAAACAATAAATGCTAAAGTAATAATCTCAAAACAAATTCTCGAATCATAAAGTAGGTGTGTATCTAATTGATATGACTATCTAAGATCCACTGACATTCTCCTGTTATTTGAAATGGAACTATTGAAGAAATTATGTCAGCATGCATGTATATGCAAGTATAAAAGTAACCATTTAATCTATCATTAACAATCACATATTAAGTAAAAAAAAATATAAAGTGCTTGCAAGCACACAAAAAGCCAAGGGCGCGAAGAAAAAACACTTTTTTTCTATTCGGAAGACACATCGAAGTTTCGTGGAAGTCATAACATCTAACATCGATTTATAAATGCCAGTTTTATTCAAATTAGGCCAATTCTTGTCCTGTGAACGTTTAGTTCCTAAAGCTCACGCAAGCGATATAAATATTATCGATAAGAATGGAAATGTCACTTGTGAAATTAATTATTATTTTTGCTTAACATTGTAAATACCAAACTAATAAACGCGGCAATCGGATTAAAAAAATTAAAATTATTTGTGATTGGAATAAGCTATTAATAATGTTTCAATAGCTTGATATTTATGTCAATTACGTGACAATATATATAATACAGCATATAATATACAATAATTTAGTTTTTTCTACTAAAAATATCGCTAATACAAATGCACTATAAATCTAAGGGAACTGGTTAAAATGGGGTGTACTCGAACCTGTCATTCATAAATCGATGCTTCTACGTTATCAAACAAAATTAAACAATTTTTATAGCATCTATACCAGTCCATGGAGTTTTTAAGATTTTCTGAATTGGAAGCATAGTTGGAGTTAGGTGAGGATGGCCCCGCTGATGAGAGACCACTGGGCAGCTCGCCTGATGAGGACATCAATGATGAGGGACCGCTCCAGCCTGCACCTGTTTAAAGAAATAATCATATTAATATTTTTTTTCATCCTTTACCATTTCAATTCAATCATTTATTGCATTTTCATGTTGTAACAATATGAACCCTGGAAGGGCACAGCAATCACATTAATAAATATTGCATATTTCCACTGAACTCTATCAATAATATACTCTTCTTTAACACAAACCATCTTTCTAACGTTTCCTTCTTTTTTTTCTTTAACAGTCTCTTCCCTTTACAACCATCATATATAAGCAACATACTATTTGAAGCGTTGCCCAGACGGCTTTTCACAAGGTTTATTAAAGTTTTCATTCTCTTGCACTGATTTACTGTATTAGCTTTAATGACATTCTGGATATAAAAGAAAATGCAACGTACTGTATTTTTACGTCACATAGAAATAAATGTGAATTAGATACAAAAAGTACACGCACTGTTGGTAGGCGAGGGCGGCTTGTGGTGTGCGGCAGGCGCGGCAGCGGAGGCGGGCGCGGCGGCGGGCGCGGGCGGCGTGCCCAGCACCACCGGCGCCGCCGTCACGCGCTCCAGGAACGCGTCCAGCTGCCGCAGCGACAGCGCGTTGTGCAGCGTCTCCAGCGGACGGATGGCCGGCACGCCGCCGAACCCTTCCAGCGCCGCTACTGCACGCAACCGGCGTATCCATTAAATATCAGTGCTCGTAGTTTACATGAAATGTTCTATCTGCTTTTCCATTGTTGATCAATTAAGTACAACAATAAACAGAATAACGACGATTTAATATTTTTATAGGCGATCTATTTTCTAATAGTAAAAGTAACGTAATACTGACTGTTGGTAGTGGCGGAGGTGGGTATCATAACGCGCAGGTTGGGCGCCGAACTGGATCCGGAGATGACCGCGGTGCTGAAGAGTCCCGCGGCGCCGGATAATTTGCCGCGGCCGCCCAGCCCCAGCATCTTGAGGTAGCTCATCTGGCCGGCGATGCTGTGCCGCTGGCGACGGGCCGCGGCCGCGCCCGCTCCCGCTTCCGCGTCTGCGTCCGCGCCCGCGCCCGCGCCTGCGCCGCGCCACACGCTACAGCCGGCGGCCAGCCGCGGCCACGACCCCCCGCGGGACCCGAACGTGATCGCGGACAGCGGCAGCTCGTTAGTAGAGGACTCGACGCCGTCCACGTTAATAAGGGGCGTTAGTGGCTCGTCGCTCGGGCTCGGGCTCGAGCCCGGCGGCCGGCCGGACGGCGTCACGCTCAATGATGGGCGCGGGGACTGCGCGGGGGAGGGGGACGCGCGGGACACTGGTGCGGTGGTGGTGGTGGTAGTATGAGCGCAGCGGGCGTGAGTGCGGTTACGTGAGGTGGATGCGAACGAGAGACGTTAGAAGACAGGGTGGTGAAGAAAAGAGAGAAAATAAATTAATAAGTAATATAAGAAGAAATATAAATAAATTTATATAAATAAAATTGCACAGTGCAACGAAGCATGCGGCGATATGCGAAAGATTTAAGATTCGCAAATTCGCGATCACATCGAGAGTCCCGTACCCAACGTGGTGTAGTTTGACGAATGTTCGTCGACATGCGGCATAGCTCTCTCTATCGACAATGTACCCCTTTGTTCACATAATAGTATGTGATCAAAGGAGAATATTGCGACTCGATAATTATGCCCGTTGCCACATGCGTTTTGTGTCCGTATATATCTAAATTTAACACTACAATTAGTGTCGACAAAAGTTAGTTAACGCATGCATAGGTACCAAACAATTGTCAAACGTACACACACAGACGCGAGGAGCGAGAATGCAACGCAAACACACACAAGATCGCCGGCCAGAATGAGCTCAACCAACCAGTTGCGGCAGGGCGGCCGACCTCTCTACGAACTCCAAAGGAACACAATTCAAGTAACATAATGGACAAAGTAAGTCAAGAAAACAGTGCACCAAAATCACTCACAAAATAAATCCACATAAAATAGTAAACGGTAACTCGGTACCGGCTGGTGAATAGAGCCGATTTGCAAACATTTTGATCACTTTGGTATGTAAGTATTCATGCTTTGAGCCCCTAAATTCTTAGGTTTGGGAGCATAACAATAAATCAGACGAAGACATTTTCCAAAGTAGCAGCACGTTAAATACATTGATATCTAAGACTATCAATAAATAATTCTCAGTTTAGAGAATAATCCCAAATATTGTGTCGGTTGGATTAAATTAATTAGATATGTGCTATACGTAATAAATTAAATTGAAACGTAGCATACGTATTATCGTAGCTAATATTTCTAAAATGTCTCAGAGTTGAACATTTAGTATCATAAATATAATTATTTTTCATTCAAACGTTTACTCAACGCTCATGAAATTTATTATTACAATAATTAATATTCTGTATTCCTATAAGTTTCACTTAACATTGATCCTGTCTCTATATATACACTTATTAAATGTGAACCCTCTAAAACTATCCAGGAGGAATCCTATAAAACAAACCACCTCACGAACCATGAGATAGTAGATTTCTCTACATTTTAAGTTTATCTGATTATTTCAATCTTAGTAGCATATTACATACTACTATTATAAATGAGAAATTAATTTTTTTTAGTACCTTAAAGACTCATCCAATCGTCATGAAATTTGGTACACACGTAATATTTAAAAAAAATATATATAGTCGTCCTACTTGATCTATGTATTCTGATAATGCGAAGTTGTGAGTAAAAATTAGTTTAGAGTGATTAACATAAAATACAATAAAAAAGGCATCGCGTAATACAGATACAAAATCGTATTGAGCACCTCTTCCTTCTCACAGATCGGTAAATATTTTTTAAACAAATAAAATTATTCACAGTTTCTGTGAGAATGATTAAAACTTTTTTAGACTAAAGAGATTTTAGAATAAAATTGCTTTGAAAATCGAATTATAAAAAATAATTATGAAGATAGTTTAAATGTGGATATAAATCTCTAACTACGTAAGCAGTAATATTGCAAAACTAATGCACAAAAGGCAACAATAGCTAAAATGTTTTAGAGATCTGTAAAATGTATATATACAATTCATAGTTAAATCGTATAAAGCCAAAAAGTCACTCTGACTACATTTTTTGTCCTTCTAAGCAACGACAAACGAATCTATCGGTGGATCGTTTATTTTAACGTACATATGAGAAAGAACAAAACACCGAAGCTAGCCGTCTCGCACATAACATAGAAATATTACGCACGCGGCAACTTTAATGTACGTATCGACAGGTTCGCTTGTTATTTGTCTAGGGGGACTCACCAATCTCCCTAGAGAAGTGATAATGAAAATTATTTATCTAAATGTCACAACACAATGTTACAATCGGGCAGTGTAGAGGGCACACGGGGCCAGGCGGTTAGTGCAGGCGGCCGCAGTGGACCTCAGGCGATCACAGCCGACCGTAGGCGGCGCTACCTACCGCTATGCTGTGCGTGTTGTTCGTACGAACGCGCGCGGGGCGGCGCCTCCACACATTCTTTGGACACGTTCTCTTCGATCTAACGGCGGTACAAAATATTGTGTTTAAAGAATATCTAGAACATATCACATTAGCATTTATTATAATATATATTTGTGATAATAACAGGTGCTCTGCAGTATAGTATGAAAAAGAAGTGGAGATGAGCACGTTATATAGCGAGGTACAAGGATAAAAGGTGGACTCTCCAAATAACAAAATGGCGAGGGCCAGCAGGAAAAAACTGGACAAACATTATTATAGATAAGAAGTGGAAAAAGATGGAGGAGGCTTTTACCCTTGGGGACCAGTAAAGTGGAAAAAAGCTGTAATAATAATATACATATTCTATATTGCGTGTGATTTTTATCAAAGGGAGACATTTCACACAGTCGTCTGCAGGGCTACTTTTTCTCACTCATATTTCCGAGGCAAAACAACAACGCTTAGATAACTAATTTTAATAAAGAGTAATGTGAGTGTAATTGCTATAACATAGAAGCATTTTTTTTAGAATAATTTATATTCTGACGAAAATCAGACCCCATTAATGCTTCCAACTACTAAAGTCACATGTTTTGTAGTTTTGTAACAAAAAAAAAAATCAAATGAATGGTACAGTAGTTTCTGTCACTTTTGAACTGGATTCAGGAAGCAAATCACTTGATGGCAGAAATACTAGATGGGACATAGGTATAAATATAAGAGAGAGAGAACCATATATATGATTTCTTATGATGTCTTCCTCTAATAATTTGTATTTGAGTTTATCAAAGTATGTCATTCCAGTTACTGTGTTCAGTGATACAAGTAAAAAAAGTGTTAACCTGATGGTCGTCCCCGGCCCGCAGTTCGTTCAGCCGCGCCGCCAGCGAGGACGCCTCGTGCCCGCTCACCGTGTAGTGCAGGTTGCTGTCGCATTTATTAATTCGTTCACGCAAACATAATGCATTCAATATACAAATACACTGAGTTAAAAATAAAATATTGCAGCGAATAATTAGTGACGAACAACAGGTTTAACGTCTGGTCAATGTGAAAAATCTGAATTAAATCAAGATAAAGGCATATTAAAAATTAAGAGAAAAAAAAATCATTGATTTGCTTATTAATAAACGTTCAACACACACTTGGCCTTTTATATTTTGAAACAAATCCGATCTAACAGGCTCTTAGTTCTCAGAGCAACAAATACAGGTGGTCTACCATGAAATGAAATTCCGAATTTTCGGGCTCAATTTCGTGTTTTTGTTCCTACCGATATCAACCCAGTAAATGGAACTTAACATTTCGTTCATCATAAATCCTATCCTAATAGTTCAGGGGAACGATATTTTAACATTTTTAATAATTTTAAACGGCATGTATTATGTAATTTTAACATCAAATTTCTGTTTCGTTCGTCCCCGAAATTTCGGAAAATATTTCATGGTAGGCCCTCAGATTTTAACATCCCATGTTGGAGTTATTTGCGTATTGATTCAATAGGAACGTTATGCAATATCCATAGAGATTTTCATATATACAGTCAACAGTCACAACTTTTCATATTGGAACTTACCAAATCGGAATGGGGTCCGACGCTCTCATTTTCGATTTAGACGATTTTCTTGGCGAAAATGTACTGTCCAATTCATCTCCGTCCTGTAATAGAAAACAATCACAGATATCAATGTGTATCATGGCAGTGATTTAGCGTTGAATTATGTAGATAAATACTAACTACTACAAAAAGAATATGGCGTGAATTTACAGGGTACACAGGAATAAAACCTGAGTCCTCAGGAATGGCAACGCATGGGGGTATCATGGGCGAAACAGTATATTCTATTATGTCCATGGTACTACTCATGTCTATAGGCGACGGTTACCACTTTCTATCAGGTGGGCCATCAACTTGTTTGCCATTCTAAGTCGTATAAAAATAAAAAGGAATCTTTAAAACAGATGAAAGAACTAATGTTTTATCAAATATGTTAGTAAATAATTTTCGCTCACCGGTTGCAGGGTCTCCTGACTGGCCATCTGATCGTCCTCACTTTCTTCTTCAATACATTTCACTTCATCTGATGAACTTTGCTATTCGACAAAATATAATAAACTCATAATTTTAAATCGAATAAACTTTATTACTAACAAGATTAAAGTTTTGTAATGAATGTTATTCTGATATGAAAGATTCATTTAATGTGGAGTTTTGTCTATGTTATATGAAAAGATAGAGTCCTATCCATAGTTTGATGTATTAGTGATAACACCTTTATCACCTTTCGATGCATTACAATTTTATTTTTAAAACTTATCATCATCATCATCATCATTTTAGCCATTTAAAACTTATTTTCATTTATTATTATTTTTCTACTTTCGGTTGACGTCAAAACAATTGTCGGAAATGGCAAAATACTATAAGTTCGTTAATTTTCCGTTATATATGAATATAAACATCCCTCCGTTTTTCAATTACATTAATTAAACTCTATCTCAATATAAAACATATTAAGATTGAGGAAAGATGTATAAGTTACAATTAATTAAACGTGCAACAAATTCTACAAATAAAGAGCTTTTTTCCTCTCACTTACACACACACACATTCATACTGCATGAGGAGGAGAAAGTATGAGAAATTACCGAGTTGTTGGCGGTGGAGTGGTTCCGGCTGTGCGGGCGAAAGCCCGGTCCGGGCGGTAAATTCTTTTGCACGCAACAGTTCACGCCGGGGCTAAAGTGCAACTCCACATGGAACCTGCATCACATACAAACAACGCATTATTACAGGACACGGCACCCCAGTCGAGATGGATTCCCAAATAAATCGTAATAATGATAGACATTATTATATTATTTATTTTAGTAGTAAAATACTGATAGATATTGATGTTTTATTTAGTAATTATGAAAATATTATTTTACTAATAAAATTGTAACTAAGCGGATGTCTGTACAAAGGAAATATTTAAGGAAAATTGTTATCAGGTGTCTTAATATCAAATAGATGCCAAAACAATAATTTTTAGAAATTTTGTCTGTCTATATGTTTGTTCCGGCATCATGTAAAAACTATTGCACTTAAAATCTGGTGTATATTGCATCTTAATACGCCATCTAGTAGTTGTCATTGGTTTTCCTACTTCTGAAATCTACGAGTATGCAGCAGAGGGCAAATATGTCGTTATTAATAAACATAATTTTTATCATATTTTAAAATGGAGAAGAATAAGTATCTTCTAATATATTACAAAAATAATATTATTATATTATATTTAAACAACTTAAATTTAAGGAAGACCATAAACACGATCTAGAAGAACTAATTAACATCTTTTAAATAGCAAAAGCATTATTTCAAACATTCGTATTCTGCACATATACATAATACTAGCGGCCCGATACGTGCTTCGCTACGTATAAAGTGAAATAATAAAAAACAAAATAACATCGATATCGCTGACAACTTGCTTTAATCGAAGCACGTCCAAAATGAAATGACCACATAAATGACATAACAACATGCTTGTACTGTCAACACTGAAAAAAGTTTCAATTTGACAGCACAATCCCCACCATAAAAAAAGTTTGCATTTGACACAAAAATTCCCATTAACAAAATGATCCGCCATTTATTGAATTCATTTTGTTACAAAAAATTGTGATAAATAAAGAACCGCTCGACCGATTTTGTGCAAACTTCACATAAACCATCTACTAAATAGTCCGAACAAAGCCTAAACATTTGGTTTGGATAAGTGAGCCCGTTCTGGAGTTATAAAATTACAACGAAAAATATAACAGATATATATATCTATTATAACAATTTATACGGTACATTTTAAAAGTATAATAATGACTATCGATTATCACAGTGTTTTCATTGTCATAAATACCCTTTTTATGTCCATGACTGTTTGACAAATGAAAAAAAGGACACTTGATAATGATTTAACATAAAATAATTTGACTAATAAATGCAATAAACAGATAAAATACTAGCCTTTCTTCGGAGCAAGGATCCTTAGTGGGATCTTCATACAACATAACTACTATCTGAGACATGTAGTTGAGTTCGGAAACCATAGACACGTATTCCATCGCACGTCGCCACTGCTCATCTTTTAACACCTGAAAATAAAAAAAAATATATATTACACCTACTCGGAATATGAATTATTTACTAAGATGTCTATGATAACAGAATTCAAAACAGCCTGTCTACCATAAAAAGTGCCTAAAATTAGGCACACAAACTTGATCATCATGAAATTATGCTGTCAATATGGGATAATTTTAGTCACTCACATAATTATTATTGCATAGTTTTTAGACTGATGTTTGGTAAATTGTGATTGCTAAAATTTTAAACTTGGCATACCAAGTTTAAAATTTAAATAATAAATAAATACCAACTGTATATTTTATAATTACCATAGTAATTATAAAATTATGGTATAGTTGGGATTACTAGATATTGGTCTTTAGAAAAACAAAAAAACGTTTAAATAATCTTCTATCAATTAATATAAGACTAATATAGGAGTGAACCCAATCCATTATAAAATAACTATCAAAATTGATTCAGAATTGACGAAGATATTATGTTATAGGCACACAAAAAGAAAGAAAAAAAAAATATTCAATTTGAGAATGTCATTTAAAGTCTCTTCTCATTATTGTTAGGTACCGCTAACATGTATACTTACATCGAGCAGGCCGCCGTACCGCAGTACAGTGAGCAGCGAGTGCACGTGGCTCTCGCTGGTAAAGTACAAGCGCGTGCGCACGTGCCGGCCCGGGCTCGACACGCCGTGACTGTACCTGCACAAGTACAACAGTACAATTATAAACACTACTTTTGATCTTTACCTTTCCTTTAATAACAGAATTGCTATATACCATGAGTTTTTTTATATCACAAAGATGGCAAAGAGACATACAGCCCGTCTGATGGTAAACATTAACTATAACCTATGGACGACTGCAAAATTAGGGGTGTCACAAGCGCGTTGTCGACCCCGAAGAAACCTTAACATACCTGTTCGTATAATGAGTTCATATACTTATAGGACACATACACATGAATCCTATATGTCAGTATGAGATAGCGAACTCGTAAAATATGGTACAAGAATAGGTATCCTAAGATATCCTGTCAATTTAGGGTATAACCTATCCATGTACCAAAATTTTATTCAAATATTTTTTGCGCGATAGAGTACATACATCTTCACATACTTTTGCATTTATAATAGTAATAGAACTAACCATATCACAAGACATCACTCGCGTGAATCAGGTCAAATAATGCCTTATGTGTTAATTTAAAACATGGCCTTGTTTGTGTAATAAATTTCATTAAAATTCATACAATCGCAATTAGATAACAAATCACAAACATTTTTACATATTTTCACATTTATAAATCAATTTATGACTACATTTATTTCAGCCTATTTTACGTAAACTGCTATGGCAATAAGTTATGACAAAAAACTAATACATATTGCAATTTAAATTACCTCGGATTAAGCCTGTTAACAGTCTCTTCGCCAGATTCTTCTATGTTCCTTTGCAAGTCTGCTCTAATCTTTTTTAGTAACGGAGTGCAAATACCTTGACCTATTGTCAGCTTTTCTTGCATCGTCAGTCCATATTCCTGTGTAAAATAAATACAATGGATGTGCAACCAAAAATAAACTATAACATCATTGTAGTCGTAAATATTAAGTAAACAATAAGCAACTAAATATCGATACACACATAGAGTTCATTATTGCATACAGTAATTCCAATAACACTTCTTGCTTTCTTTTTATAAATAGAACATAATTATTATTACCAATATTTATATTTTTTTTACGTTTCGTGAACACATGGATACGTTCTTAGAAATTTATGAGCTGTAGCAAAAATTAAAATTATTTTGTACAATTTATAATTTTTTTTATAACATAGGAGACAAAGGAGCATTTAGCTCACCTGATGGTAAGTGACTACCACCCATGAGCACCCGTACACCAGAGGCATTGCAGGTATACTAAAATTAAATTGGTCAATATGTATGAATCCTTACTTGCGGTATTACGATGTCGGCCAAGTATTTAGCGTACATATACAACTCCTCAGCGAGATCAAACTGCAGTGTGTGCTGGTTGTGCTGCAGGTCGTACTTGATGCAGTCGTATATGTCCGGGATTTTCGATATGTCGTACGTTTTGTTCTTCGTGCAGAAGTCTTTCTCTATCTTGCCCCATCTACGGCCCATTAGCTCCCATGTCTCGCCATGATAGAGTATCGTATCTGAAAATACATTATATTATTTATAAGCAATCTAAAATCAAGTTATTTGCAAGAAAATTCAAGAATAACAAAAATACGTAATAAATACGGTCATTTACTCTTTCTGTGTTTACTTGTAAGAGATTGCCACTTGAGAATCTTTTCGGTGATTGGACTATATTATTTATATAAGTTCATCCCTTTATCAGACTTAAGCACACAGCAAAATTTCGAACATAGAACCATTTTTGAGGCATCATTAAACGCTCTCTTGTGAATTTGCCACAATGGACCATGGAATCATTTGTCATCTGTATAGATCATCCTTGATTGGTATCACGTATAATAAAAGCGTATGCGAAGGCGTGGGGGATGGCGATTTTTAGTAATGCGGACTACAAGTTCCATGCTAGCAATACACCTTGACAGGTCGACCTCCACGTGATCCCTCTGAAAACTATCTTGCTGAATCCTGGTGCATTCATCACGATGGGTTAGTTAACCTGTCTTTTCATTTTCACCTATCGCCCCTCACTGGTGGCCCGCCAGCGTAAACCGTTAGCGCAGGCGGGGTGACCATTTCATTGCCATTCATTAAAAAAAAGCGCATACGGGGTTGTAATTTTCATCTCATAAAAAGAAGCAGGCGGCGAGCGCGTACCCTTGGTCTTGGGGTCGTCCCTCTTGGCGAGCACGATGCGCACGAGCTGCTGTATGAGCGCGTGCACGTGCGCGCAGCACCGCGCGGGGTTGGCGACGAGCTGCAGCGCGGCGGCGATGCTGGCCGACTGGCACGGGTTGATGCGCGCGCGGTCCTCCTCCGTGAACTCGCGCTCCACCTGCATCGCCTCGTGCAGCCGCGCCTTCGCCCTGCCGACCACGGTCACAGTTCACCGACCGGCTCCAGCTCGGGGAGGCACTTGCATACCACACCAATATGCCACTAACTTTAATTCATGTGAACTTACAAGACACCCTTTTAATTATTTTCGATCCGTTCATTATTTAAATATCAAAGAGATTTTTTTGTGCAACTTAGAATGGCAAACAAGCTGACGGCCCACCTGATGGATAGTGGTAACTGTCGCCTATAGACATGAGCAGTACCATGGACTACTACAGAGTATACTGTTTCGCCCATGCTATTCCCCATGCGTTGTAATTCCTGAGGACTCAGATGTTATTCCTCTGTAACCTGTAAATTCACTGCCATATCCCACCTTTCAAACGGAAATACAGCCATATAAATACAATTGCTTTACGGTAGAAACACGAATGGGACAGAGGTGCTCGAGCAAACAACTTTTGTACAGTCTCCCTCTGATACCTAAATATCTTGATAAACTCATATTTATACGAGTAATATTAACAAAATAAAATGACCCCAAAGATCCATCTATTTCAAATTTAATCAAATTTTTGAGACTCTCATAAAATGATGTCCTGTAAATGTTATAAAACAACTCTTTTCTAAAACAACAGTATTACATAGCCTCCTATTGCCACGCTAACCAGACAATTTAATGATACAATTCTCAAAGTTTGCCATTATTACATCATCTATACTTACATATTTTGCACTTTTGATGAGTCACAGTCATTATCGAGTAATCCATTTGTATTGGCGGACTTGACCATTTGCACTAAGATTGGCGTTAACTCGCCCTCGAGAGCGAGGAGTCCTTTCGCAAAGGCGGCTGCGGTCATTTGGACACGGCCCTCGTCTGACGCATAGATCTTCAGATCATGGCGGAACGTCGAATGCAATCGTAGTAAGCCGAGACCCTGAGTGCCGCCCTCGCCTGTAATATATTATATAAAAACATTACATATCTATATATTCTAAAATCACAAATTACACCCATATTAGTAATATAATATCCAACTATGCTACATTGATTTAAAAAAAAATGCATATTTATGCACAAATTAATTCAATTTCATCGTAAATTAATAAATCGCCAACAACTATATACATTATGTCGAAATGGAAATAAAATATGTTTCTCATGCAAAATCATTAATCATATTAATCTATTAATCAAGTCATTAGTTTAACTATTTGGTTCTTAGAACATACAATACAAAAAGCATTATTTCTTGGCGTACACAGCAATTATTTGCTTCACCACGTATCTGTTACCTAATACCATTTAACGAGCAATGTTATATGATAAAATTAGTTTTCCAAAACAGCTCTAACCATTTCAATGGAATATGATGGTAAATAATTTTTAGGAATGTAAAATTATTCTGCACTAATTTGTAAGTGAGACCCTTAATATAAGCTTTGGCACAATACGTAAGTAATTAAAAGCACTTCTTGCCCTAGAAACTATGGTAAGAGCTTCGCTACACGATAATCACCGAAATTCTTCAGAATAGATAGCTCGGCATACCGCAATAACGATACGAAGTAGAGTTAATGTTGATGAATAGTATGAGAGACCTGGTATGTGCCGTCCCTGCCCGCCCGGGTACATACAGCGGAACATACGGCCCAGCTCTTCTGCCTGTATGCGGCCGGCCGGCGTCAACTCGCCGCCCCACTTCAGGATCAGCACCAGCGACGGCTCGCCTGCGCATCCTACTGCGGGGCATACATATGCAACATAACGCAACATTACCTCCCACATACTTCAATATACAACCTATAAATAGCTTTTATGTAACTTAATTATCTATACTCATAAAAAAGCTTATAGCTCATACAACAAATCTGCTGTTAACTTTATATTTTTAGCTACTTTAGTTTTTTTATGAAATTGGCAAGTCGATACCTACTTGATGAAAAGTAGCAACACTCACCAAGAATACTATCATGAGCCTTATAGAATAAATACACTATGACACTTATCTACCTAATCCGTAGCGTTATTGAGCACTAAGGCGTTATGCCTCTGTACGCTGTAACTACACTGTAAATATGAGCCATTAAATAAGAAAAACAGCCAGTTTTAAGTAGCGTACAACCACAGCTACATGACGGCAACTGGCACAGACATAATGAGAATGGGGCAGATATACCCATGACTTTTATAAAATATCTCCAACTGGAATAATTTTAAACATAATACTTATATTTTGACAATTACTAAATATTTTTATATTTTGTTCCAAAATATGAATACGGATATTCTTATATAGATACAGTATAAGGCAAATTACTTGAATAAAATTATAAACAATGCCTAAGCAGTAAATACTTTTATAAGTAAAATTGTTATAAAAAGAGTTATTTGCCGGTATCTATAATTCTGTGATGGGGAATTAAGCTTGGATAAATCGATTTATATTAAATACAAGCAGACACACTCTCACTAGCTTTGCATTAACATGCACTGATTTCCTTTTTAAATAAAAAAAAATCACGAAACATACTCATAATTTATCAACTGAAATAATTAGGTAAATTGCAACCAAATGCATGATTTAGCATTCCATTATTTTAGGACGATCTAGTATATTGATACTACAAGCTGTTCAATAGCTAATGTACCAATATCATTTTATAATAAATTACACTACAAAAAATGCTTGCGAGTAATTCTAGTTTGCACTTTCAATTGTTGCGTAACACAATACATAATATTATTTCAAATCTTCAAAACAAAAACAATAACTCTAAATGGAATTTTGTGGAATATTCAAAAAGTGGTAAAAGGCATAGACAAGTGGCAAAAAATTCCAATTTTGAATATGTAGATTAGCGCGCGCATAAAAAAGCAATAAAACAGCGTGTTTTATGTCAAATTAAAAACTTATTTAACTTTACTAACATTCAAGCGGAAGCGTATGTAAATGAATGGTATCGTTTGTCATTTGTCTACAGGTAACATACAGTTCCATAAAACTAGAGCCGGAAATAGCTTAAAAATTAAACCTACTACTGTACATTACGACAATAAAGTAAAAAAAATATATAAGAGTAATAAAAATATATAGATAGGTAAGATTCTTAGCATTTAAAACGACAGCATTATGTAGAGGTTTTTAATTCCTATTCTAATAAACATTATGGGCATTTTCATTCAAACCTATATTTTTTATACTATGTAAAAATAATGTTTGTTTGTTTGTTTATTGTAGCCGAGCCTTATTGGCATTAAATTAACCAATCAGAGCCCAACTTTAAAAACATAATAATAGATTCTGCCTCAGCATTAATAATCGGCGAAACAAAAATTATTTTGTAGCAGTAATCAGTGATATTAAATTCATTAATATTTCTAGAAAACACTGACATACAGTGTAATGCAAACTTTTAACCATTCCATTATGTTCTGCAGTGGCTTACGATGCCACACCACTGTGTATCAATTGCTTCGGACATTATAAATATGATCATTATTTGTACTATTAACATGAGAGTTAATTTAAAAACGAAGTATCGCGCAGTCGTAATGTACAGTAGTATTAAACATGACAGCACTCAGCAGACCGTGTTCCGAGGTTGCGGACGCGGTTGCGGTTGCGGGTGTGTGAGCGTGTGCGTGTGCGGGGGCGTGTGCGGGAGCGGTACCGTCGTCAGAGCTGGAACCACGCGGCCGGCCTCGCGGCTGGTACTTCATCTGCACCTTGCGGTTGATGCCCGAGAAGTGCCCGTACCTACACATCCGACATGCAATATCAAGACGCATTGAAAATAAAACCTTATTTACTCTGGATAATTAGCTTCAATATTCAAAGAACACAAAAGTGGACAGCCATAAAGGACACACTTTACGATTCATTTGGAAAAGATTATAGATTCGCGTCGTTTGTTTAATTGGCAAAAAACATATTCAACAAAATTTACCAGTATGAGTCAATTCAACTTTTAATCATCATATTGATGATGTTAATAGCTGATGAAATTTTAAGTAAGTTGCGAGTTTTGGTTGAGAGCTGGCAACTCAGGTGCATTATGTTTTCCCTCTTTTTCATTTAAATCAAGTTTCATTAAAAAACTTGCAGGTCTTACCAACGAAATATTAAAGTTATTATCATTACTATCATATCAGCCTTTAACAATCCTCTGCTGGACATACGCCTCCCCCTTGGGAGGATTTTGCCAGTAGTCGCCACGCTTGGCAGGCGGATTGGCAACTGCAGTTAATTTTAAAATACAATGCAAATCCTATTACGACTGTCATACAGAGAGGACTTTAACCTCTCTTGTGATAATACAGATCTCTAACACCTGTAATTTAATTTGTACGAAATAAGATATTTTTTCAATGAATTATCAACTATTTATATTATTGTTAATTTTAAAATAATGTTACATTTCTAAAACACTTTTCAGCTGTTCGAGTTTGCCCTGTTTCTCTTCTATTTCAGGATCGGCGTGTCGCGTATGTATGTCGGCGAGCAAAGCCCGTGCGATGTCCAATATCTCTTGGAGTTGTTTTGGCTTCTTTAACTTCACATGGCCCCGCTTGTAACCATCATACTTTTCGAATATTTCAAAGAACCTGTTGACAATGAAAGAAATCTATTATAATTAGAATAAAGTGCATGTGACACAATCAATATAAAAATACCAACCAATTTAACAATACACAAAGCAAAAGATAAAACAGTTGTATGATTATGTTCTCTATCATATTATATCAACCATAATCATTTTATAAAAACTGGCAGTCGACATGCAAAATTAAATATAATAACCTTATTAGACTACGAGTTACTATGCTGGCCAGGATGTCTTAATATAAGATTTAAATTATTATTCACATGTATATTATAATATGACTTAGCACCAATCAAAAGTTTTTTTTTATGTTGAAATCATTAAATTAATTTTATGTTTTTAACGTTTCAATTTTCGGAACTGATAATGTGTATTTACCTATAAATAATATAGTTCTTATAGCAGAAATTATGTTTAGAATTAAGTGGTATCTTGATATCTTACCTTGGATGGCGGACTTCAACCTTCATTTTCTGTTTGGGGGTACGGTCCCCATGTCTAATGACAGCTACAACACATCGCAGCTCCATCATTTTACCAAATGTGGTGGGCACTATAGGCGGATCGTCGAGCTGGAAAGGCACTGACCACGGGATATGCAATGTTGGTGCTAGCTCCCGTAGGATCATGTTACCCAGTATCTTAGCGCAATCATCATAATACTTGTTTGAATTTTTTACAAATGAAAATCCATTCACATCACAAACAAATGACTTGCCATTTGCTCTGAAATAAAAAATAAAATGGCGCAATAAAGAAACAGGTATGTAAGTACTATTCACCTATTAAAGGCGTTAAGACCCAATTGTGTATTAAAAATATTTATAAAAAACGCGAAAGTTTAAAATGAACTAATATTATTTTTATAAAAACTAAATGTATCCAGTAACTGAAATAACTAAAAATTTTATTCCTTTATTTATGTAGGTTGGAAAACTGTTAAAATCTCATAGATTGTAACTAATTAAATGCATACATTAAAAAATTACAAACTTCCATTTACAATGTATAACGAGATTTTTATTTTTATACAACTTAGAATGGCAAACAAGCTGACGGCCCACCTGATGGAAAGTGGTAACCGTCGTCTATAGACATGAGCAGTAAGTACCATGGCCATAACAGAGTATACTGTTTCGTCCATGATACCCCCCATGCGTTGCCATTCCTGAGGACTCAGGTGTTATTCCTCTGTACCCAGTAAATTCACGCTATATCCCACTTTTCAAACCGAAACAGCCATGCAAACACAACTGCTTCACGGTTGAAACATGAATTGGACAGAGGTACCCAAGCAATCGACTTTTGTACAAAGTCTCCCTTTGGTAAATTTATGAACGTACTATTTGTCGTTTGCGACAATTGTACCGATTTCATAAAATTTCTCATTATATTCTCATAGATATTGTATTTGTAAGTTAAAAAATGAATATAAGTTTTAAAAACAAAAATAATATTACATTAACAATGTTAGTAGAATAATAACTTGAGTGATTACCTCAAGAGATCAAATCCGCAGACAGTCTGTTTAAAGGCTAGGCACACTTTTCTAGATATGAGTTTCTCCTGGTTGGATAGTATAACAGGATATCGAATCTCCTTGCCCTCGGAGTCACGTTCCACTTTACCATCGAGCGCGGGACTCTTGCGTGCCTCCGCGTGGGCGTAATCTGGCCCCACTGTGTATACTTTCACATCAGTACCTACAGAGCACAACAATTAATACTGTTAAAAAAAGTTAATACAGTTTGTATGGTACTATATCTAAAGTTACTAAAACACCATTAGTTTGACAATCTTAGCGGGGTAGTGGTTCAACACACCGTTTAACTTCCCAATACTTATGGGTTCGATTCCGCACAATACAACTATGCACTCATACTTATTAAATTATGAATTTTTATCCGCGACTTTATCCGCGTGACCAGGATATGTTTACTGACCGGGATAAAAAAGCCTATATCCTTTTCCATCCCATATAGTATATCTATTCCAAATTTGAAAGTGATTGGTTAAACTGTTAAGGCGCTAGTAGGTCACAAACAAAGAAACTTACTTTGACATAATATTAGTAAGGATTAATATTACTAGTTTAATCTAGGCTAATATATAATCATTATTTAGACTAAGCGCGGAAAACAGAGTCTTTCTCACATTCACATTACTAGTTTAATCCCAACAGGTTTTACTGATGACATTATCTTTACTATAGTAAAGATTAGATTAAGATGAAAATAAGATCCGAAAAATTCTGATTTCTGAAACAACAAACATTTTCTTTGTTGCTGATTAAAATGTACCTTCTGGATCGCGTTTTTATAAAATACATACATACGCTTACCATCTGTAGGCATAAAATCTTCATAGATAAAGGAACCAGTTTTCCTTACTCGAGATTCCGGAGAATAAATACTACTTCGACTTCCAATCTGAAATGACAAGTGTAAATTAAAAACATATTAAAACTATTCAACAAGAAAAAATTTGTATGAGCTTTTTTTATTACCCTAGCGAAAAGATCGCTATTTGTACTTTTATGTATATATTTAAATCTGTACATTATGGTACTGCCTTTCACTTAAATTGACTATATGTCATTGTGTATTTTTATGTTTTAGTGTAATAAAGAGTTAAATAAATAAATATATTTATGAATATATTTATAATTATGTCAATATATAGTTGTGATTGTTGACGACATATAATTATTATTTTAAATCTGTGTCAAATACCTTTCTAAATAATCGCTGACTGCCACCACCTGCAGAAGTAGGGTAATATATGTAGATATTATGATCCTCTGCTGATACTGGTTTCTCTACAAAAGGCTTGTTGAACACTACACCATTTACTTCTACATGGTCCTCAGATTCAACCAACTCATGATCTAAAAAAACCATAGACAATATTAGCATTCATGTTAAGCCATAAGAATCTTGTAAAAATTCTATTTCTGCCATTCAAAGGATAATAATAAAGTTTAAAGTAAAACTATAAACTTAAATATCAAAATTAAGAGTTCTTTACAATTAAAAAGTGGGATATATCTAATTTTTTTTTAATAAAATCCACTTCAGAAACTGCTTAAAAATATAGTTTAATTATAGCAGATAGAGTTCTGTAAATTATAGTCATTTATCACAAGGTAAACAATTGATTGGTGGCTTTCTGTAAATATATTAAACATGGTAAACATGATTACTTAGTAGTATTATTTATTAGAAAATAAATTTCAAACATATGAACAATATTTAGACTGCCTATAAGGATAATTATTATAATTATATAACTTAGATAAGAACAATAATGAATCCCACACATATAGATATATTTACTTGAGATAATGAACAAATAATTATATAACATTATCTATATAATTCAAACAAACTTACGTTTTGGATCTGGTGAATCCCTATCTAAAACAGCATACCTGGGTATTTCAATTCCTTCACTTTCCAATATAGCATACACTTTTCTTCGATCCTGTAACAATAATTGAATATATCTCTAAAACTTCTACATAAAAACACCGAGACCAATACACTGAAGAAATACTGTTATTTTATAAGTAATCCTCTTCACTTTGATAAATCTAATTAGAAACACACACAAATACCACATACCTGTATATCATACTGCATATGAAGATTGTTTATAATGTATGGCTTCCTTAGTTTCTCATATTGAATAGCTTTATCTAAGGGGAAGCCTTTTGAATGAAATGAAATCAGACAGTCACATATTGGCCACTCCTCCACAGGTTTCTAGAAATAAAAACAAATTTATTAGTCAGTATATTCAACTTAACTCAGTGTATTGTAGCATGATGCAGGTGAACTAAAATCATGGAAAACGATTATAAAAATATAAATTATGGATTCAACAAAACATTTAAATATTAGTGTCAGGTATAATAAACATATCTGATTTAATTTTGGCTACAAAAATCTAATACAATACAGTTCTTTTAATGGTAAAAACTGCCAATGTCAGTTTGTCACCCACACCACACTACAGCACACAAGGTAGAGAGTATGTTCAAGGCACAGGGAATGTCTGAATAGGAAACTTATGGAAAACATGAACACATAACATGTACCCAGTGACCATGAAAAATTTTTAAACATTTTTTGTAGAACCATTTCCAATATTAAAATCTGACACTCCCAAAGCCAAACAAAGCAAGGTATATAAACTGTTCAATGGAAGCATAACAAATGCATATTATCAGAAATGTGCCAATTACCAACTGTTTGCAATATTTACAAACTAACAGGTGAATCATTATGTGAAACTATAATGAGTAGAATGTGTTAGTAATGGAAAAATGCATTTATAAAACTGTGAAACAAAATAATGTATAAAACTAAAAAGATACCAAAAATGCATTCTTATCTAAAATAGATAACAAATATATTATAAATATATAAATACTAAATTGGCAATATTAACTTATTTGTCAATATATCTAAGCTACATAAACATATAATTTACATAATTTATTAATAAAGTCTAAAATGACAGTTGAATAGTTATATAATACTTTCATTACATAATAACTTAAAAATAGGTATTTCAATTATTTGTAAAACAAAATAATGATAAATTGCAAAGCTTAGGCAATGTCATAAATTCAAGTATCAATTTATACAAGCTCTGAAAACCATTTATTTTGTTCCACTGCTGAGGTTAGACATTTGAGAGAACCTTAAGGATAACCTCCTCAGGGAAGACAAGCATCTTTATATACTCGAACTCATCAAGCCTAGTAAGGATCTCCTTCATGGGCTTCGACTGCGACTTCTTGGCCATGGCGCATACGCCGACCACCACTTTCTTGCCCCCACCATCGCAATGGGGGTCTATGGACTCACACAGCTCCAATTCGCCCTGACAATTATTAATAATAAATAAACCAATATTATTTTTAAACACAAAATACTCATTTTGTTATATGAAAATCAGTTTTAACTTATATCAATCAGTAGTTATAGAGAATTAGGTTATAAAGTAGAAAATAAGTATAATGTATTCATCTATAAAAAAACTAATTACATGACACTTTCATGTGTAAAGCATAGGTAATGCTTTATATAACATTAATAGCATCATATACTTAATTACAATCAAATTCCTAAATGATTACTTATTATTTGGAATTTTTTTACACAAGTTTCTTAGGGATTCAATTTATATAACCAACTATAGTTCAATCTAAATTCATATCTCACATCAGGTAAACAATCATCACAATAACAAAGCTCATCATCACTCTGCTCCTTCTTTTTGTTATTTCTCCATCTTTTCAAACGCCACCAGTCTTTAAGCCATTGCCACTCCATTGAAACACACTATCAACTGTTACTTTAAATGTGATTAGAAAATTTTCTGATAACAAATATTAACAAACTTGCTATGATTGGTTAATAATCCAACCACTTAATAACTGAGATAAACATGACATGTATTAACATATTACATTACCTGACTTGTCATTGTGAGAACAACAGTTGTAGCTATAAATAACTTTCATATGCTTATGTATATACATACATAAAATGTGCAAACAACACAAGCTAATGGTGTCATAACTATTATATACAATTGCAAAGAGAGCTTAGTAAATCGTCCATCTACTTTGAGCATAAGATCAGTGCCCTGTTTAATACTCCAGTGAGTGAGATAATGTTTGGATAATATATTTGGATTAACCATGAGATAATAAGGCCTTGAACAGATTATGTCCGTATAGAGTTTTTAATGATACTGTTTCACATGCAAATTGACGTTTTAATTATATTATAAAAAAATAATAACGCAATATCCATATATTTATATTTTTTTTTAGAACAATGATTAGAGATACTTTCATGTTACTGCATTAATAATATTACTGTATTTTAAGTAACAGTAGATATATTAAAGTCTAATTTTCAGATGCTTACCGGTGATCTTATTGGGACAAGATTACCGTCTTCACCAACGTAAAATTGTGGCTGACGGGCTTGCCGCAAACCTTGATAACCATGCTCTAGCTCAGTGTATGACATTACCTACATAAGTCTAAGTATTTTTTTAATATTATGTGTTTCAGAATTAGCATCTATCACATAAAACTTTATTGAGTTCAACAAATATTTAAAATAGTCAATACAAAATAATGAAGAAAACCTAAACATTTGCAATAATAAGTTTTCTATTTTTTATCCCTACCCAAGTCAAGATTGTCATATTGACAGTTGATGATGACCATAAATTAGAGAAACTATAGGTGGATGCAAAGATTTGGGGTGTGTGACTGAGCAAAGATTTTGAAATTTGAAATTGAGTAGATGGAACGCAAAAATTCATATAGTGTTGCTCGTTATGTTACGCAGTTACCAATGTGTTAAAAAGTGATAGACATATAAAACATCGCCTTTTAACAATCCATCGAAGCAAATTATTTATCTAACGTTGGTTGTTTCCTAAGATGTATGAATAAGGGGAGATAGTGTCTCTGATCTGTGTACATAATCTGTGACAGTCTCTGTAATCTGTGGCTATTTACATTTTAAACACCATATAAAATTATTATATTTCAATATTATATTTATTAAAAAAAATTATATCTACTGTTGTGTCAGAATATTTATAAAAAAATATGAATCAGTACTATTCATTTCATACATTAATGTCATCGTCTTCTTTTTGGGATTCAGTAAACATATTGATAACAAAACCTAATGTTATCAACAAAAGATTGTGGGGTTGTAAGTTAATATTTAAATGTTACTGTAAACCTATTAATCCTAATTGGAAGTTACCGCTAAAATGTAGTTTATTCGACTGCGACAGAACTGATAGCGACTCCTATAAAATGGATTTACTGAAAGAGTTAGGTGTTGTATTATGTACTGATTTTGGAATAAAAGCTTGTAAAAACTTATCAATATTACTTTTGGAACTGCTACCGAAGAGTTATACTTCACATCGTGCTTACCAAGTTATTTGTATTAATAAGTATGAAGAATCTGTTACATTTTATAATGTCACCCCTGTTGAAGTAAATCAAAATATATGTCCTGAATTTACATTCATACTGCAACTGAAAAATAATTATATTATATTAAAAAGTATTTGTGGTAAGGTATTAATTTTATTTATTTATATATATACATATTACAGTTAATAAAATTTATACTGATTGCAAAAAAAAATATTGTTTCAGATAGTGCTTCAAAATCATATCAGTGGCTTTTAAATTCTGTTTTACCGCAATTTGTAAAGTGGGGTGAAAAATCGTCAAACGACTCTAAAAGACAACATATCTGCACTGAAAGTTTAGCTTTAGTTCCAGAAGATGAATATTATAAAAAATATAACACATTGAAATTAAAATATGGCAAGGAGATGGTTAAAGTAATAATATAGTTGTCATATTTTTAATTATTTAATGTGTTGTTAATATTACTTATAAGTTGACATTTGTTTCAGATTTGGCCAGAGTGTACTGACCCATCTAAATTTGTATATGAAGATGTTGCCATAGCTACTTACATATTATTACTTTGGGAGAATATACAGAATGCTCATTCAAATAAACCCACATTTGTTGATCTAGGTTGTGGTAATGGTTTATTAGTTTATATTTTAACTAGTGAAGGATACTATGGAGTTGGTATTGATGTACGAAAAAGACAAATTTGGGATATGTATACAAATAACATAAAATTAGAAGTGAGTATAAAACAGCCAGATCCTTATGGTTTGTTTGTCAAAATATTTTTACTCTATATTTATTTATAATAACAAATTAATTCTTAATTTATTTCAGGAAAGAACTATTGTACCTTCAGATTCCAACTTATTTCCAAACACAAATTGGATAATTGGCAATCATTCTGATGAACTTACTCCATGGATTCCTGTTATAGCAGCAAGAAGTTCCTACAAGTGTAATTTCTTTCTCCTGCCTTGTTGTGCCTATAATTTTGATGGTAGTAAATACCAAAGACAAAATTCTTCTAAAAGTCAATATTCAGAATATTTAGAGTATATTAAAAAATTAAGTGAAAACTGTGGATTTAAAGTTAATATGGACAGGCTTAAAATACCAAGTACAAAAAGAATTTGTTTAATAGGGAAAGAAAGAACATATCCTCTAGAAGACTATGATAATTATTGTGGATTAATACAAAAAATAATTAATCAGGAGGATATATTACCTCCTACATCAGATAAAAATGCAAATATTTGGTTAAAAGATTTCAAGCCTAGACAACAAACAGAAAGAGTGAAAAACTGTACTCAAATTGATAAATCTATTGTACAGTTTGTTATAAATTGTATTACAGCCTATCTTCTTAAAGATGCAGACTTGAGCAATAGCTGGTGTCCTGGTAAATTGGTAGATATAAATGAATTGGTTTCAATACTACCTCCGGATAAACTAAAACACATGAAATCAGAATGTGGTGGACTTCAAACATTGTTAAAAAATAATCATCATATCTTTAAAGTGCAGAATGGTAAAGTTCAATTAAGATATCCTAAAACAATTGATGATGTGAAACACGCTATCAAACCCAATAAAAGTAAACAAGCCAATATAAAAATACACCAGAAGCCTTGTTGGTTTTATAATAATCATCCACAGGGCTGCCCTCTGACAGATAACAATTGTAGTTTTCTTCATAGTAATATAAATAAGGATTCAAAATAAAAAAGAAATTAATTATTAAAAATATTTTTTTATTGTCAATTATTATTATATTCTAACCAATCTCTTGAAAAATACATTCAAATCTACAAATATGCTAATAAACATTAATACCAACAATGACCAATAGTACCCATTCGATTTAACTAATCACACCTACCCAATAAAATATATGAGTGCTATGTTAATTACAAGACCCACTTAAATAATGAAATATTAAAATTATAAAAATCACATTTCTAAATTTTTTGTGTGACTTAATAATATTTTGATAATATTAATAATTATATTTTAAATAATGTACACTAATTATCAGATATTCTTTTCATGGAGCTTAAACAAATTGCAAATTTGTATTGTCTATACAGTTGATTATTATCATATCTAAAATTGTTCATAATTTTATATATAAATAACACTTCTAGAAATAGAATAATATGTGCACTCATTTGTAAATTGTTTAAAAACACTTGCAATTTACTTTGCATACTAAATAATCAACAGATAGAATATACATGTTAAAGAATGTGGATAATATTTTTTATCGATATTTGTCAATTGAAATTTACTGTAAACAAATTTTTAACTGACAACAGATAGTTAGATGACATTTATTGCTTTAAGATACCATACAGGGATGATGACAAACAAAACATGTCATTGTTTAATATCATATAATACACTATATTTTTAGATACCTAAAAAAGGTTATTCTGTTTCAAAAAATTTATTGAGCTCTGTTAGATTCCGTTCATCAACCAACTTTGCAACTTCATGCTCTCCCATAAAAGAACAAACCATCCGTAGAGTTGTCCATATTGTTGATGAACTAGTATCTATATTTAATGAGTCTGAATGCATATTCTTTGATTTATATTGCTGATTTAAAGCTACGAGAAAATGTTCCGCTGCTTGTCTATGAGCTCCCAAGTTCATACAAGTAATACCCACATTATATCGAGCCCTAATGAAGCCAGGCTCTAAATTCAAAGCTTGTTGATAAGCATCAACTGCTTCTTCAGATTTCTCACTATTTGCTAATGTGGCTCCCAGTCTGTTCCATAATTTTGGATCATCACTAGCTACCATCAAAGCTGATTTAAAACAATCTACAGCTTTGTCATGTTCATGAGTAATATTGAACACAACTCCTAATGCATTCTGAACATCTGGGTCAATTTGGGATGGATTTAACTGAGCAGCTCTTATGTACAATGACTTCACATGAGCTTCTAAAGATTTTAAATCTAATGTTTTAGGATCTATATCATGAGGGAATAAGTCATTATACTTAGGACTTGCTTTTAACCAGTTCAACAGTGACAAAAATGCAAATTTGGGCATATTTTCATTTGTATAAGCTGCAGCCAATGTAATGTAAGCTTCTAACTGAGTAGGGTCTATTTCCAGTGACTTCTTTAATGCTGTAATTGCAGCAGGGTCCTGTTCATTTTCAGCTTGTGAAGTCCCCAATAAGAACCAAGCTTCAGCAGAGCTAGGATTCTGTTGTGCTGCAGCTTCAAAACATAAGACTGCTCCAGGGATATCACCCATTTTTAATTTTTCTTTACCAATTTCAAGAGCACTTTTATTCTCTAACATAATATTTCCTTCAGTAAAGCTATATTCTTGTGAAATTCCATTAGCTTCTTCTGTATTCCAATAATCTCCAACATCACTTAATTTGGCCCACTCATCTTTATATTTTTCTTGCATTTCATCTAAAATTTCATCTTTACTTAATTTTCTTTGGTCATTATCTACAGTGTTCCCCAAATTTAATTCCCCTGCACTTACTTTTTTCATAAACGACATAAACTGATTATAAGCTAATTCATCATCATCTTTAACACTTTCAACATATTCTTGAGCTTTAGCACGGACATCATTGTCTGTAGCATTGATTGCATCCTCTTCACTCATATATTCAATTTGAACATTACTAATGGGTTTAGAATGCATTAAAGGTTGCTGCATATGAAAAGACCTAAACAAGGGTTGTTGTGGCATATAAGAAGTTGAAGGTCCAGGCAACCATGACATATTTGCTTGAGGGGCAATAGTTTGGATTTGATTGTTTACAGGAATATGTGTATTTTTGTTTACATTCTTATCCACCTCAGGGATATTATTAAGTAAAGAATTCATGTTAAATGTTTGGGGAATTTGAGAATTTTGACCCATAAATTCTTGGACAAACCTGTCGGCCTGCGTAAGTGGCTGGGCGATGGATGCATCTCGACTCACAATGTTTGATAACTGAACAAGAGAATTGTCTCCCCCACAGTCACCTCCGACTAATTTATTTAAAGACATTTTTATCAAAGGTTGTCTTAAACGCTAATTTGTATAATGTTTTCCAATTTACACTGTATCAGAATGAAATTTACAGATCATACGTTTTAAGCTCTACTGTGATATACTTCGCACTCTAATTAAATATTTATCTTTTCACTATGGTTGGATAATTTATGTACATTATCACTATTTAATAATCACAAAGTTCAAAGATCGGTAACATCGTATTCAAATTGTTTACATTTAGTTAAACTTTTTACTTTGTTTCTAGAATTGTATCTGTGACACAGATCATAGAGGAAAATATACATGTCTTGTCTGTCTGATTTGTAATAGGTAGATGCTGATGTCATGTCTCTCTTCAAGCTGTCATTGACATTTTATTATAGAATAAAATAGGTACTTACATAGATTAATAATTTGAAGAAAAATTATAGTAGCATTAGCAAATAGACAGGTAAAGATAAAGCAGGCCATTTACCGCAGTGTGACGAATTTATAATAATTAATTGCAACGGTTTTCAGGTTTAACCGAGTAGAGGTCAACCTAACAGGAGATATTGCAAGCAATGGAGCCGCTAATCCTTTGCTGATTTTGCTGCGGGTGAAATGATCAAATGGAAATTCATCCCTTCATCAGCTCCTTTCATTGGAGGATTATGGAACGGCTTGTTAAGTCTGTAAAGACAGCATTAAAAGTAACTTTAGGCAACAATACAAGATCGCCCATCGATAAAATATTCACTACCTTACTTTGTGAGACAGAAGCACTGGTTAATTCACGGCCTCTAACGCACGTTGCATGCTATCCACAATATCCTGAAGCCCTGACACCATCTCACTTTATATTGGGCTACTCCTCAGGTCGACATCGACAGTGACATGTGCACTGGTTGGAAAAGAGCACTGCGGATAGCTGATCACTTTTGTAAGCGTTGGATTATAGAGTATTTACCCACTCTATCATCACGAAGATTTGTAGGACTACTTATCCTCAAATTTTAGTTGGAGACGTTGTCGTAGTCGTGGACGGAACTTTACCAAGAGGCTTAAAGGCCTAGCTACGATTTTGTACCCGGGTAGGGACGGCGTGACACGGGTTGTAGACATCGATACCCAAGCAGGTGTAATTCGTAGACTTGTTAAAAGGGTTGTTCCCATCTGTTTAAGAGGGGAGCATGTGCTGAACGCACCTTTTTAGAGTATATTTTTAAATTTTATATTTTTATTTTGTTTTTCGATATCTAACAATGGCATTATTCAGTTATTACATTTTTCTCTACCGCTAGCAGCGACCGTCTTATTATTTCGTAAAATATACAGTCCTTTTTCAAGAGCATATCTAATATTAAATTAATAATTAAACAGAAATTTTGACAACAGCAAAGATGTCACTTTGACATTGACATTTCTTTGTTTAGATTTTTACTTTCGAATTTGATTTTAGGCCTTATGGGTCTGATACATATTTATTATTATTAGGTTTTAACAAAGTCTTTTTTAATTTTTTTATTCCTCTGATCAAGTAAATATGCTATGAATTAAACCTGTCTAGAGTCTGTTTTTAAGTACTATTCTATGAGTTGAATAATTTAATATCTATAAACAATAATTGAATAATAGGTTATGTAATGTTCCTATATATTTTTAATCTAAGTTCTGTACAAACAAATCAAATAGCTCAAATATATAATTACTTTATAATAATAAAGCCTCTTTATCACCTGTAACTATGTCAGAAATTAAAGACAATAATATTTCTCAAGAAGTCACTGCGGCTACAGAATCATGTGAGAACACTAATGTAGAAATTAATTTGGAAGATAAATGGATGGTTTGTAAATTTACGATGCTTGTACTGTATTTTTTCCTTAATTTTTATTATATGTTTTTGCAACTTCTGCATCATCATAATTTGATGAGCTGTTATTGCTTGGTGCATAATGTAACAAAGTTATTTTCACATATTTACTTAAGCAGAAACTAAATAAATGAACAGAAAAAATATATAAGAACTGTTTACACACACCACTACAACTATGAATAGTTTGAAGTTACAGGGTACTAAATATATAAAGATTACAAAATGTTTCCTTATTTATAATTACATATTCCAATAAGGTATAAATGATCTATGTTATTGACAATGTAGTGTATGTTCACAGCTATAGCATAATTAGAATCAATAATTGTATATGTTATATTACTTATTTATTTTTATCTTTTAATTATTTTATACTCATAACTTTAAATTATGTTTAAAATATTGTAATATTTAAAATGGTGCAAATTGCATAAATTTTTGTAATCATATAAGAACCTTTTGTCACCACAAATAAAATACAAAGCAACTTTTCAGTGAAACAGAAATATAATTGTACTGTCTTATACAATTATACTTGATACAAATGATTATAGTGATAGATTGTCTACTTATATTTTAATCTTTAATAATCATTCATTAAAGGGGGTGTTATTGATTCACTTATATCTTCAGTTTATTTATTGACTTACTAGCAATTTCCTGTGGTGTTGCCTGTTTCTAACTGTAATTCCCATATATCATTTCCATTGGAATTCTTCATGAATCCTATTTTATAATTACATACCTAGTACCTTCATAAAATTTCAGCCAATACAACTGATCAATTATTTTATAGCATTTTATATGTGACTCCCTAGATTAATATAACTTTTTTATTTATGAACTGATTGAAATAATACAAACACGAAATGTTAAGTGAAGTAAACTGCAACACATTAGTGAAAACCACATTCAAATCGGTTTAGCAGTTTCAGAGATTAACATGCACAAATGTACAGATAAACAGACAGAACATCTAAAAATCATTGTTGTAGGTTAAAATAAAGCATTTATAAAACACCCCTATAATAGTTTTTCTTATATATCTTTCATGTACAGACAGTGACCAGTTACAATTTTATTATATGTATTGATTATTTCCAGATAAGAGAATGTGATCTCTATAAAGATGAATATAAAGAATGTACAAGTTTTAGAGGGCGATTCCAGCAGTATTTTGTCTATGGCCAGCCAGTAGATTGTAATCAATGGAAAAAAGACTATGATAACTGTTGTAAATGGGAAGACAGCAAAGATATAAAGGCTGCTGTGAGTATTGACATAGACAAAAGTAAACTAGTGGTACTATTTTATTCATACTATTGATCCATATTATAATGGAATAAGAATGTGATTATTTCACCACTGTTTTTCCATTTTGTTTAAAAACAGTTTATTTATACTTTTGCATACATTAAAATATGTTTATGGGGTGAACTTAAAGCCTGATGGCATTCTCTATCAGTTAACCGTTTTCTTTTTTATGGGTGATAATGAAATAGTAACCCCACCCGCGCTATCGGTGTACACTGGCGGGGCACCAGTGAAGGATGATAGATAAGGATGAAGCAGATTAGTTAGCCCATCATGACGAATTCAACAAGAATTGTTCATGATGGTTTCCAGGGAGAACCATGTGGAGGTCGACCTGCTAGCAATGGGGCTGCCAAATTCCATTGCTAACAATCCCTTTCCCCCCAGTCAACCGTTATTCTAAACAGAAAGACTAAATGGTGGTGTATTGATGTATAAGAAGCAATTTGTAAGTTAAATAAATATTCTAGAGATAACAACATTAATACATTTTAAGATAAATGAACAAACAAACATATAAAATAATATACTTACAAAAATTATACAGACATAAATCAAATACAGTACAATACATATATAAAAACTATACATAATACAGGGGGGAAAGGGATTGTTAGTAATGGAGACTGAGAATCCCATTGCTAGCAATATACCCAACCAGGTCGACACCCTCGCGGTTCCCCCTGGAAACTATCATGGTTAATTCCTGATGAATTCATCATGATGGGCTAACTGGCCTGTTTTCATTCTCATCTATCACCCTTCACTGGCCCCGCCAGCCCGCCAGGCGTATCATACCATTTTCACTCATAAAAAAAACCCTTAACCACAAACTCATAAGTGAATTGCAAGAGGCATTCTAAATGTAACAAATAGCAGGCGGGGCTTGTTTCTCTGAGAGAATAGAAGGAACGGATTTGGTATAATAGTTTGTTATAACATACCATTTGCATTCATCAAAAAAAAATATACATAATACATATTAATGTAATAAATATATGTCATGACTAACTAAATGATAGTATAGATTGAAATTCTTTATAGGCACTTTTTAAAGGAAAATTTGATTAGGGACTTTTTGATATCAATAATTAGTGCATTCCAAAGGTTCATGGCTGAGGTGGTAAAAGATTGAGGAGAGATGTTTGATCGGTGGGTAAGGGTATGCAATAATAGTTTAGAAATAGAGCAAAGATCTCGAGAGTGGGTAGTACTTAAGAATTGGTATCTTTTTTTTGAGATACTGAGGAGACTGTGGGTCATAAAGAATTGAAAAAAGATTACAAAGAACTCTGATATTTTTGCGCAAGCGAATCCGAAGCCATTTTTGTCAGAATGGTAAGACGATATATGGTCAGACTAACGAAGACCGAAAATGAACTGTATACTGTTATTAAGTAAACAATCCATTTCATTTATTAATTCCTGGTTGAGGTTGGAATAACACATATCGCCGTAATCAATAATGGGTAAAACCTAAACCTATACCAAAAGATACAGTGCTGACTGGGAGGACTTAACACCTGATGTCATCATCATCAAGGTGAAACATATAAATAATTTCTGGAGTGAATATACTATACATATATAAAATAAACTATTTGTTATTTTACTTCCTTTTATCCATCTGCTATTAACCTTATTGATCTATTATATATCTCTTGGATCTCCTTTTTTTTTAATTATGACTATCCTTATCCATCAGAATAAATAATTGTTGATATCCGAAATTGTTAAAATAGATAATATTCTACGAACTGCAATCACAACTACATAATGCTCATAGAGTTCCAAGTACAATTAAGATTTTGATTAATTGTTCCAGGAAGCTCTAATCAGCAGTGAGAAAGCACGTCGTTTGGAACGATTAAGAGCACATTACAGAAATGACACATGGAAGAAACGAGAATCACCGCCATCAGATTGGGAAAAACCATTGCCTGAATGGATGGTCAAAAGGGATGAAAACACATACCTTGCTCATAAAGCTAAAGAAATCAAAGAAGGAAAAGTTGATAGTGACAGCAGCTTTTGTTCAATTATGTGATGGAAATTATTTTAGTATAAGTAGTAAAATTTAATATATTTAACAAATTCTATTTAATTATTTGATTATTGATGACCTGTCCTGTGTTTTTACCACCGTAAAGTTTTAAGGCATTAGAAACTAGTTGTTACAATTACACATATAAATTAGTGCCAATTTGAAATTCGGATTTTACATATTACACTTAGATTCTCATGATACTCTTCATGCATTGGGGGAAAAAAGATTGTTAGTAATGGGGTTTAACCGCCTCATCGCTAACAATTCACCTTGTCAGGTCGACCATCACGCGGTTCCCCCTAGAAACTATTGCGATTAATTCTTGTGGAATTTGTTATGATGGGGCTTATTCTTAGCTTATCCTCACCAATCATCCTTTACCGGTGCTCCTTCAGTGTATACCTATAATTCAGGCGGGCTTTTTTTTAATGGATGATAATGGAATGCTAACCCCGCCTGCGCTAACGGTATACGCTGCGGGGCACCAGTGAGGATGAAAAGTCCGGTAGCCCACCGTGATGAATTCACCTGGAATTCAGCACGATGGTTTCCAGGGGGGACCACGCGGAGGTCGACCTGACAAAGTATATTGCTAGCAATGGGATTGGTAGTCCGCTTTACTTACAATGCCTCCCCCCCCCCCCCATTATGTTGATTTTAAAACTAAATCACTGAACCGATTTTAATAAAATTCCTATGTGACCAATCTGTACTTATATCCTTTCAGATAAGCAAAAATAATTTTCCAAATGGGCTAGAGATAACAAACGTAAAAGAATTCATCTGAAGAATGTGGGTAAATAGGTATATTTCCGTGCTTAATTTAATTGTTCATCATTATCTAGTTCTGTAGTCAATAAGTAATAAGTATTACAAATAACTTAATGACTATAAATACTTGTTTATTGCATATTAACTACAAAACTAACCGATTATTCCCTACGAGTAAAAATAAACGATAATAGTGACCCAGCAACTGACTCCTTTCTTATCGGGCGAGATAAACCACTCTGCCTTTAATTGTTCATAAATAAGATAAGGTTCATATTTACTTCAGAATCGTATAAATATAACTATATTTATACGATATATACTTAGTTTATTGTTTGTAAAAGAGCTGAAGAGATAGTAGGTAGGTGCGATGAGCCGCATAGTGTGTCAAAGAATATTCTTGCGATTGAACGTGTCAATGGCTCGTAACGCTTCAACTGCTTTCCTCATTGAGGACCCCAAGTACTCGTTTTTGAAGGAGTTGGGATTGGACAAGAAGAATGTCGGTGTATTCAATGGCAAGTGGAAAGCCAATGGACAAGTAAGTATTAAATTATTTAACGAACTATCTAGGAAACTGCCTATTTAGTACATATTCTTTTTTTAAATTTATATATTTTAGATTTTGTTATTAAAAATTATTTGAAAACTATTAACAATTTAGTAGTAGTAACGATATGTAATGCATTTATATATATTACTAGCGACCCGCCCCGGCTTCGCACGTTTTTTTTTAATAAAATATAGTCCATGTTAGTTGTTAATAGAATTTTTAAAACCGGCTAAATAATTTTTTTGTGTTTATCCATTCCAAACAAAAAAAAAAAACAAATCTTTTCTTTTTATACCTGACATTAGGTATTTAGGTAACACTATACCTTTACCAGAGGAAGACTGTACAAAAGTCGTTTGCTTGGGCATCTCTGTCTAATTCGTGTTTCTACCGTGTAGTAGTTGTGTTTGCATGGCTATGTTTCGGTTTGAAGGGTGGGATATGGCAGTGAATTTACAGGTACAGAGAAATAACATCTGAGACCTCAGGAATGGTAACGCATGGGGTTTGTCATGGGCGAAACAGTATACTCTGTTATGTCCATGGTATTGCTTATGTCTATAGGCGACGGTTACCACTTTCGATCAGGTGGGCCGTCTACTTGTTTGCCATTCTAAGTTGCATAAAAAAAACTATCGTTTATTAGACTCAATGTAATCTTACTAATATAAGTAATAAAATTGTAACTAGACAATATCTGTACATGGGAGGTATTAAAGATAATATGAGGGGCTTAATATGATTAATAGAGACTAAATCAATGATTTTTAGAACTTTTGTTTGTTTGTTTCGGCATCTGAAAAAAACTACTGGACAAAATTAGATGCGGGTTCTCTGAGACTCAGTTCCTGAGTTCTAACCGAAAATATGATGCATATTTTATCTTGATAAGCTATCTATAAAATTAATCTATTTTGGTTTTCCTACTATTAAACTTTACGCGTGTATGAAGTGGCGGGCAAAAAGTTTATTTTGTAAGTAAAACTTCGAACAAAGTAGGTACATAATGTTGGAACATAATACATACACAATTATTTTGGTCCTATCTCTCTATTCCCATACGTGTCAAGTGCACATAAATATAAGATAAAATTTTATTTTGCGTTTTTAGATAATCCAATCATACAGTCCGGCCCACGGCAAAGTCATAGCCGAGGTGCAAGCTGCTAGTACTGCTGATTACGAGGAGTGTGCTGTAGCAGCACAGACAGCATGGCACTCGTGGGCAGAATTGCCTCCACCAGCCAGGGGGGAGGTCGTGAGGCAGATAGGAGATGCTCTTAGGGAGAAATTGCAACCGTTAGGACAGCTCGTCTCCTTAGAAATGGGTAAGATAAATCAATATGCATTCATTGTCTGCAGCTGAATGTACTCTCCCTATTTTGTACTAGCTATATGCCGCGTGTTTGCTTGTATGAATAAGAATAAAAATATACTATGTGTTAATCCAGGAATCTATGTGGATACCACATTTTATTTTGTTCAGCTGTTTAAGCTTGCTGCGGTCACATAACATCTAATATTTTTACAAACATTCACATTTACAATATTAGGATAATAAAGGAAACTAGTCCTTCGAGCCGGAAGTTAGTTAAACTACACAACCTTATTTAATATATTTTTGTTTCTGATGATCTGATACTGTTTTAAAACCGTAAATATACTGTTGGATTAAAAGGAAATTTGTTTTTATTAATTGTTTTCTTTATGTTCATTAGGCAAAATTCTTCCGGAAGCTATCGGCGAAGTAGTGGAATATATTCACGTTTGCGACCTAGCCCTTGGTCTATCTCGAACGCTACCCGGCACTATATTCCCATCAGAGCGGCCTGGACACGTACTGTTAGAAAAGTGGAACCCTCTGGGATTGGTTGGCATTATAACAGCTTTTAACTTCCCGGTCGCCGTGTTTGGCTGGAACAGTGCTATTGCGATGGTAAGTTTACTTATAACTATATTTTTATTAATGTAACTTTATAATCTGCTTTTTTATATTTATATAATAATACAATATGTCCTTTTCATATTTAGTCTTTTTAAATCAGCATTTTTTTATTTTATTTAATGCACTATTTCGATGAAAGTTATACCCGTATCGTTTACTAAATCAAATTATATGTAGAAAAATATGGCTGTATATAAACAATTCTATTTATGTTCTGTAGATAAAACCTTGAGAGAGTGATATGAGCTTGAAAGATTGTGTCATTGTTTGTTGTTTTTAATTTTTTCCACCAATCAAGTATGTGATGTTTCAAGCATTTATGGGCGAATACAATAGCCGTTACTATCAGCCGAACCGTATGGTTAATTTCTACCCTTTAATGTATTTTATGTATATACAAAAGCGTGTAGATGCGTCTGTAGCGCATTATACTTTATTATTAGCACATTAGATGAAAAATGGTGTATACTTCTTATTTCTAGGTATGTGGAGACGTTAGTGTCTGGAAGCCGTCAGATACAACTCCGCTAACAGCTGTGGCGGTCACGAAGATAGTAGAGAGCGTGTTGCAGAAGAACAACATTCCCGGAGCGATCGCTTCGTTGTGCGTCGGTGGTAAGGATATTGGACAACAACTGGTCAAAGATAACCGAGTGAAACTGGTCTCTTTCACCGGTAGCACAGCAGTAGGACAACAGGTGTATATTTACATATTCTATTATTGATTTCTTACAATTATTATTATAAAAATTATCAGGTATAGTGGCATAACACCTTAGGTTACTTATTACCTATTATTCATATAAGTTGCCATTTAATTTACATCCTATAGGCCCTTAGCTTGTTTGATATTCGTAGTTCTTTCTTTTTCCATAATTTTGGAAAAGGCCTAGGTATTGCCCGTTATGGCACTAACTGACAGGAAATGAGATAAAATGTTTAATAGTATGGATTTTGTTAAGGCTAAAATTATAGAGCGAATGCTCAGGATGAGCTCACAGACATAGAATAAATGTAGAAATTTAAAAACCTTATCTAGTTGCCATTTTAAATGTTAGTTTGTTTTATGAATATCTCTGTAATGAGTCCAGGTTTTCATTTGGATAAATGATGCTTTATTCTAGGTCGGCGTAGAAGTACAGAAGCGCTTCGGTCGCCATCTATTGGAGCTTGGCGGCAACAATGCTATAATAGTGAACTCTGACGCTAATTTGGACTTGCTGCTGAATGCTGCTCTCTTTGCTTGTGCCGGGACAGCCGGCCAGCGGTGCACGACCACTAGGCGACTATTTGTTCATAAGAAAGTTAGTATAATTCTAAAAGAGATAATTATATCTAAATTACTAAATACAGCAACCTTTTCATATATTATCTACTTTTTATAATACAGCTAGAGCCTATTCTAGAATAATTTACATAAATACTTGTATATTAATATTTTTTTTGTGAAATTTGAAGGAAAATATATAATTCTAGGTATTTTCCGAAGTGGTGTCTCGCCTTAAGACCGCATTCGCGGGTGTGGTTAACAAAATTGGGGATCCATTGCTTTCGGAGACTCTTATTGGTCCCCTTCACACGCCTGCGGCATTAGAAACATACAAAAAAACTGTAGCAGAAGTGATCAAACAAGGAGGCAAAATTGAATTTGGAGGAAAGGTAACACAATCTGTAATCTATATTATTGGAGGACTTAGATGTTGATATAATTATGTGAATTTCTTGTAGCAGATTAAAATAATATCTTATTGCATTTTTGTGTTATTTACAAATACCAATTGGCAATGATTGTCTTGTTTCTTCACTTGGGATTACAATACTTAGTGAGAATAAATATCAACAGCACACATTCAAGGATTTTATTTTTATGATTATTGTTACACAGCTTGCGATAAAAAAGACATATTTAATAAATATTTACGATAATAGGTATAATTTCATCCTATTCATTTACCCAAATCATACATTAAAGATAAGCCTCCAGTATACTTCGCCTCTAAGACCTTTTCTATTTTTAGGTTATTCAACGAGAGGGATACTTTGTAGAGCCGACTATTGTAACAGGCCTGCCCCACGATTCGCCATTAGTGAAGAGCGAATGCTTCGCCCCCATTGTGTACTGTATCGAAATACCAGATTTAGAGACTGGAATACAATACAATAACGAAGTTGAACAAGGACTCTCCTCAAGTCTGTTCACAGAAAATTTGGGTGACGTTTTCAAGGTAAATAATATATATAGAGAAATACTAGAACATTTTATAACAATTTAAATTTTCAGCAAAAATATAGCAAACTGTCTAACAGTATCTTTTTATAGACGGCTTTTTATAGTTCGCTGCCGTACAGTTTAACAACTCTTTCTCTCCTTTGAACTTTTAGTAGGAATTACTGTTGGTGGTCATATTTGGGCTATATCAATCAAAAATTTATTGGGACGGTCAATCAGATTTTATGTGAGCACAGTTCAGTGCGACTTATGAGCTCTACTGATCATACGAAATCGTGTCATACGTTTGTAATATTATGAATGCTAAATGAAACGTATATTTTAACACTATTTTATGTACTCACAGTGGATCGGCCCGCACGGATCTGACTGCGGTATCGTAAATGTGAACATACCTACCAACGGAGCGGAAGTGGGTGGCGCGTTCGGTGGCGAGAAAGCGACCGGCGGAGGCCGCGAGTGTGGCTCCGACTCCTGGAAGAACTACATGCGACGCTCCACCGTTACAATCAACTACTCTGGTGCAATCAAACTTGCACAGAACATCAAGTTTGGCGATGATTAGAGTTACAAATAGTGTTGGCAATTGTCAAATATAATATTAAAAATCAATCAATAGCCTATAATAATGATATCATATAAACATCATATTACATATGCTATATCACTAGCCTTAACTGGCTGCTGCTTTCACAAGTAGCCATACATCAACTTGATGTATATCTGTTAAGATTTGATTTATTCACTCATTTAATGTAATATTAAGCAATGATCAAGACTGATTGTGATTTATAAATAATACTAAATAAAAATAATACTATACATAAATTATTTTTTATTACTCTTGTACAAATAATTAAGTTAAATATGTACAATAAATATAAATACATAATAAGTTTTCTAAAATCCCATCCAATAGCATTTCCGCTGAAAAACTATTATTTGAGATTAAGAAAATGAAAAAGCTATATGTAGGTAGGATGTATAATAATATTACACATATGTATAAAAGAAGTCTGAATATTTTAAGAGTATAAAATTACTCCACAATATTTTTAAAGTTGAGTGTTTTTCCTTATCAAGGCTTATTCCACCATAAAAGCATTGCCTTTATTTGCTTTCATGCATTAGTGTTACAAATATATTCCAAATATCTTGATTTCTAGATGACGTGTTTGCCACAAATCAACAACAAAAATATTAAAGTCACATTGGTGTACAGTAATATATTTTTTAATTTTATATATTGTTTTAAATAATTAAAAATTCTTAAAATGTTACATTTATCATGATTGAGGATGATATATTCGCCACAAATCCACAGCAATGTCTCTGGATTGTTGTCGATGAAACTTATATGTTGCAGGCAGATCGTAACGTAGTTCAGCAATCACATTTCCTTTCACTCCCCACTCTTTAATTTTCTTCTGTATGTGTGACCTGCAGCAATATAAGTTACTGTTATTTTTATTTTTTTTTAATAATAACAGATTAACATATCCACTTGCGCTTTTGAGCATAGTCTAAATAAAGCCAGCAACAAATGAATGCCAAGAAAAAACTTATAAATAAATACAAACCTAGTTGAAGATTTATGCAGTGAGTAAACACTGTCATTGCATAGTTCTAGTCCTTTACGAAGAAATTTCATGTCAATTCCGGCATTGTTTTTTGTCCCAAATGGTGGATTCATAATGACTGTGTCATAATAATTATTTAATCTAAAATATAAAATTATAAAGCGTAGTGTAACATTAATAATTATAACAATTTATATATTATTCAATTACATGTTCGCAAAAAAAGTATACCTGCAAAAATTCGATTCCAAAAAATCACATTGGACAGCATCAACATTAGTTATTTCCATTTCATCAGCATTGTGCCGAAACACTTCCAGTGCATCACAGTCTATGTCAACTGCAGTGACGGCCGCGGCACCCATTAATGCCGCTCCAACAGTTAAAGACCCAGGTCCGCAACCAGCATCTAGGACTAATTTGTCCTCAATACTTTCAAATTGTGTCTAAAAATCACCATTATTATTTATCATTGTATTAGCCGTTAACTATTCGCTGCTGAACATGGGCCTATCCAGTAAACGGGTTTGGCCAGTAGTTGCCACGTTTGGCAGGCGAGTAGGTAAACACAGCTAGGTTTTTGGTGATATTATTAGACAGACGTTGCTGCCCATGCCTTATTATAGATGCGATCACTGATTCCTATATGATACTCGCGTCTTGAGGTTTCGACATAAAGTGGGCCACCCCTTCCTTTCCCATGGGAGACATAAGAGAGAGACATAAATGATAACAGTTAATAAAAAAAAGTACAATCCAATTAAGAACACTTCTTTTTGAAGTCAATTGAAAATACTTCTGATTTGAGGTAACAGTATATAGATATATTGATTTAATTTTTATAAAAATGTTTATAATGTAATGCTGAAGATTAGGATGTGGACATGGTGCATTTAAAACTTTATGGTTGATTTAAAACTTAATAATATGTCACCTGTTCATATAAATATGATGATCAAAGAGAATCTCGATGTACAGAACGGCGTCCCAGAAATTTTACTTATAATAAGTTATAATAACTAAAATATTTTAACATGTATATTCACCTGTATAGTATAAATAGCTATTGCTGCAATATGAGGTGGGGTCTCATACTGCTCTAATTCAATTTTTGGTTCTGAAAACCCTTTCAAATCCTGCATGTAACTTTGCAAAGTCTTCAGCTTAATTGTAGCTGACATTCTACTATTTTTATTTACTTGCTATCAAATCTAGGCAGTACTGGTAAAATTTGATTTCCAAAAGATGAGTCTTGCGAGACAAAGTAGCCACAAGATGTAGCATTAGCGTGCTGCAGTGCTGCTCGATGACTTGTGTTTACTATGTTTGCTTCAGGTAATTGTGGAAAACCCTACAACAAACATATATTGATTGCATATAGTATAGCCAAAGATTGCATTAATCAACATTGTAATAATAAGAAAGAAAATGTTTATTTAAAAACACCCATAAAGATAGAAAGCTAATAATTTTCTTGAATGTGGAGACCTATGCACAATAGTAAGATGTTAATGGATTGATTATAGTAACTTGGCAATTATTGGCACAAGAAAGAGTTTACTAGATATGACAAATATAAAAATTGGCCAAAACGAGGCAAAAAAGCGTTAACATGAACAGCAGAAAACATACATATTTAATATAAAATATAGACCTTAAATTTAGAAAGTAAACACCATAACAAATATTATATGGTTAAGCCTATATAATACACCTGGTATATACACTTTTATGATGTAACCAGATAAGATTGATAACCAACACTGCCTATCTTTAATTATGTCAATGAAAATGTAAGACTGCAGAAAAATTATTAAGTCCTTCCTTTATCGGCAGGTTAAGCAGACAGGAAAAAATGACAATAAAGTAAATAACTAACTAACCATTGACCTTAGAAACATGTTAAGATTTTTTTATACCACAAGGCTGAAAAAAATCCATCCCTTCTGATGGTAAATGGTTATTATAGCCTATGGACACATACAATTCCAGTCTCTTTATAAAAACACTATACTTACAGCTGTGGCTGAGACTGGTGGTATAGAGCACATGGGCAACTGGCTCACAGGGTTCGGTTGGGTGAGCGATATGGATGTGGCAGTCAGAGGGGCTACAGCACCTTGTTTCAATAGCATTTGCTTTTTCAGTTGCAACTCTTCTAAAATCTTTCTATTTGTCAGTTCTGAAGACAAAATGAAACATTATATTGTTAAATTTTATTTTACAAGAATATTTTCATTTAAATAAATATCAATTTACCTCGTTGAGCATTAGGCTGGGGAAACGCCATCTATTAAGTAATTTAATATAAGGTTTTTTACTAAGTATTAAATAAAGTATTTGCAAATAACTGCATTCATTAGGAAGAGATATGAATATTCTTTAAGATTTATTTGTTATTATTTATGTGGTATGGACTTCATTTAAGAATTAATTGAAATCGTGTAGGTAAATAATTATATGCATTCAAAAACAAAAAATCTCAAAAACAAAATTACCACAGATTAGTAGTCTACAAAATGTCACTAAAAATAATCTATAATGATTTAATTTTTTTAATTTGAAAATTGATACTTCTTTATCTATGTCACTCATAGTTTGGTGGCATAGATAAAAAAGTACTCCTTTTAATTTAAATTTGAATAGATAATAAATACAGCAACTTCTCTTGGTCCTCTCATATAAACGACATTAGTAAGCGTATGCATTTCTCGTTTCACTCAAATGACTTCAATATTTCCTCCCTATCAGAACCAAAATCATGCTGGCTCAATCTATCCTTATCCCTATTCTGGACTATGCTGACGTTAGTGTCTTGTATGTGACAAAGTGCTTTCATGGCTCCCATTCCGATTTCGATGTGATATACACATTCTCTCCACTCTTTATAATATACTTAATGATCCCAACTCTCCATCTTATCTCCACTCCCGGTTTGAAATCTTGCTCTTTCCCTCACGTCCCAGGCGTGCTTGCTTGGTCCAGTCCAAAGTTTTTTGTAATGGATGACAATGGAATGGTAACCCCGCCTGCGCTAACGGTATACGCTGGCAGGCCACCAGTGAGGGATGATAAGTGAGAATTAAAAGGCAGGTCACTTAGCCCATCGTGATGAACACACCTGGCATTAGTAGTAAGACTCATTTTTTGGAAATTCTTTCTAATTTTGTATTACGCAACTGTGGAACAAGTTATCTTCTAACATATAGGATAGTCCCTCCATTACTTCCTTCAAGAAAAGATTGAAATCTCACTTTTTAACTAATAATACACATACATACTATGCACTTACTATTATATATATTAATTTATTTACAATTTGTGTATGTTTGATTTATATTATTTTTTCTCTATCTGCACTGGGTTGGCTGCTTAAGTTGTTAAACAAATCGCTGTATCTTTCCTTCAAGTGCAATAAAAATATATATAAATTTTAATGTGCCATTTCCCTAAATTTATCTCTTATAGTTTCACGAAATTAATGTTTTATGGATCATTATAAATGAAATATAATTTAGGCCTAAATCTATAAGAAATTTATTTCATATTAGTCCTTAGAATAGAATTCGTTGTGATGTTAAATAAAAATTTTTATTATAGAGATAGATTTCATAAAGCAATCCCAGAATTAGCGTTACTTTTATTAGATAAGTAGCTGACTCGGCAAACGTTGTTTTACCATATACATTATTTTTAGAATTATATATGAAAATGTATCCTACTACAATTATTATATTGGATCGCCATCTTGCAACCCTATTGCGGAATATAAAAATCGTGATTAAAAACAGAAAATTTGGTAAAAAAGTAAAAAAAAATTTTTGGGGAGGGTCACCCTTATCATTGAGGGGTATGAAAAATAGATGTTGGCTGATTCTCAGACATACCAAATATGCACACAAAATTTCATAAAAATCGGTAAAGCCGTTTCGGAGGAGTTTGGTAACAAACACCGTGACACGAAAATTTTATATATAAGATGTACCTTGTTGGTATAAACTAGACTTGTTATGGTGTTAGTTCAGTCAGATATTGGACTGCGAACTTTAATATTGTAGTTATTTATATTGGTTTTGCTGGCTTTAGTCCTTGCTTTCATTAGGTAACGGCCATATGAGATATGACTAGTTGAATTGCAGAGATCTTGAATTTCCACCAATCTGTTAACCACTTAATAAATACTTGCCTATATTTTATTAGGTATATGAAACAGTAATAACAACAATTTCTTGAAATAAATAAACAAAAATATATAAAAGCATTTATTTTAAAACAATGTAGGTAATAATATACTTTCTGATTCTTGGCAAAACAGTCTCACATAAGCAAGTCAACATTTGGCCTCTCTTAAGAATAAACATAAGACTAACATGCGCTGCCATAACTCACAAATAAATCAAACTGAAATATCAGATAAATAATCATAAAAAAGGACACAATATAAAATCAATTAATATGTCTACATTGCAGTTAGCATTGCATCTTTCTTGAGCAATTTTTGATTATTTTCTTTATTAAAAAGTAAATTACTCTAAATAAAAGGGAATATTATTAACATTACTAGAATTGACTCACAATATATCAGCAATATATAAAAAAATCAACTACTGTATGTACCTAATTAACAGTTTTCACAGATGCAGACATTACAGTCCACAATGGGTTTGTGGTATCATATTGATAAAATCTGAATAAATGCACAACAAAAATAGATAAATTTCAGTTGCTCTTGTCTTTTTACGTTTTACAAAAATATTTATATAACATTTTAGAAATAATTATAACAGATTTTATATAAACAATTTGGAATAATATTGCACAAGCTCAAAGCTAAATTATTATGTGCACTTTTACAATAATAAATATTATTTTAAAATAATAACAAATCAACACAACTTTCTTAGTGCTAGATTTTTATGACTCATTTCCTAACTTATCTTTACTAATTGAATGTTAGCAAATGTAAGTATTTCAGATAAGCAATTTTAGTGCGAGGCTTTATTAATTTAGATAAATAATTTTGAATAAACACAACATAAAATAAAAAGTACTATATAATGGATATTATATATCTATCTATCTATCTATCCATTTGAGAGCTGCGCTCTTGTCGGTGGAGCTCTTGCCACTTACTACGATTTTCAGCGAGTCTCTTCACCTCTTGATACGACACGACACCACCTCCTTCCTTGATCTGCCTGATGTAACTATGTCTCGGTCTCCCTCTCCCCCTTCTTCCTTCTATCTAACCTTCTATTATAATGTTCATAAGTTCGTCGTGTCGTATCAAGTGTCCTAACATGTTTCCCCTTCTGTCCTCAATAGTTCTAATAATTTGTCTTTTTTCCTTAACCCTAAGCAGGACCTCCTCATTGCTAATTCGATCTCTCCAGCTAATTTTCTCCATCCTTCTCCAGCACCACATTTCAAAGGCTCTAAGTTTATCCATTTCTTTCTGAGTTAATGTCCACGTCTCACATCCATACAGAGCTATACTCCAGATATAGGTTTTGATAAGCCGTTTTCTAATATATAGTACTATATAAAATATATTATATAGTACTATATAAAATACTATATAATAGCTATGACCAAACAAGCGTTCAATAACAAAAACGCCTTCTACAGGCTAAGATAAAATATATCGGAAAGTGGCTTATCAAAATCTATATATCTGGAGTATAGCTTGGTATGGATTTGAGACGTGGTCATTAATCCATAAAGAAACAGATAACCTTAGAGCCTTTGAAATGTGGATCTGGAAAAGGATAGAGAAAATGAGCTGGAAAGGTCAAATTAGTAATAAGGGTTAAGGAAAGTTGACAAATTATAAGAACTATTGAGGTCAGAAGGGAAAAAAATTTTAGGACACTTGATACGACACGACAAGCTTATGAATATTATCTATAATAAAAAAAGAAGGCAGGAGGGGAAGGGTGAGAACAAGTGTGTATCAAGAGGTGAAGAGTCTCGTTGAAAATCGTAGTAAGCGACATAACTCCAACGACAAGAGCGCAGCTCTTAAAAAATGAAATGAAATATATACTATTAATACATATAAAAAGTATTACAAATTTATTTTTATTGTGACTTGATAAATTAAATGTTAAACCAAAACCTACTTTTGCTTAAATAAATATAAATATGGAACTGAAAATAGTACATGAGATCAGATTTTGCATTCTGCTTACATTTGCTTGACCTCAAGCAGTAATACTAAACTAAACATAATGCGGTCGATTTAAGATATTTTACAATGGAATAAAGAAATTGTACACGAATCACTAATTTAGAGGACTATTAAAATGTTTACAAGGCAAGTATACTCTTAATATCTACGAAATTAAAACGACCACATCATGCATCACCTCACAAGTGTTGATTTGTCCGATATTATTTTCACAGCACAGGAACAAACACATTCTGGACTAAATAAAATCTGAAAAATGATAACAACATTTCATTTTAAGGACTAGCACGTAATTTTGGCACAACGCTGTGCCCACGCAGAGCACAGTGGCATCGATGTTGTTCTTTTTATATACTTACATTTTGTATTATTCTGCTTAGTGAAAATTAACACATACATTTTAGGGTTCCACAAAGATATCTCAACAGACACCAGTATCAGGAACAACGTCGTTAAGAATTTAACAATATTAGCAAGCAAAGAAACTAAGCAATTTTTAATCATATTTGTGCCCAATGTGTCATGTTCGATGTATTGTTTTATAATTTATTTATGAAACCCTATTTGACCAATTAGATCATTACTGTATATGGACAGCTGCCATTACAATCATAAAATGCAAAATAATGTATATTAAGATTTAGTATAAAATTAGGTATAGCAAACAATTAAAAATTGAGTAAATAAATTCTCTTGTTCCATTGCTCATTCAGTGCTATTATTAGATCAGAGTGTAAAAATAATGACGTATAGGTATCTATAAGAAATTCACGCGTGTCATTACGTGAGTTATTTAAGAATATAATATATTTACCCTGTTGTAGAGCGAGTACTGTCAGGTACACCACATGTATCATTTATATTCAACAAAGCAGTACTATTATATTTAACAAAAACACATTCAGACAGTATGTATCAAAAACTAAGGTAAGGTAGAAAATGTCTAGTATTCCACTACGAGACGTAGGTTACGTTTATTTTTACACCCTGCCATAGTGAGTATTTTACCCCAACAACACTCTTAGATCCGAACAACAATACATTATCTAACACATTCCCTGTATAAATATATTATAGTCTTGTAAAAGAAACCTTGAAACCTCATAGGTCATTAACACTACGTGAGAAATTACACAAGAGCATTAGGATACAATATATTGCTACGAGTTAACTTATATCATTTGGCACTAAATTAACATATTGCATCTCGAGCATTCGTCACATTTTATAAGTATTAAAATGATTTTTTTTTTGCAAATTCATTAAAACTCTCAGTTTCAATATACAATTAAATTATTAAATTTTAATTTATTTTATTCTCCTAATTATATAATTTCTATTGGGCCAAATTTTCGAATTTTATATGAACTATCAAAGAAACACCATCCATTCCATCATAATGATTGAGCAATATGGCCACTCCCATTCGAATTTTATTACCTATTGTAGAAACAACTGTCGGGAATGGTTGTCACTGAATAAAAAACACGAAATTATTAAATAAGACGCATTTTCGGCAAGTAAAATTTGGCAAAATTGAGCATTAGACTTTCGATTGGCATCATAAAACATTAGTAATGTTTCATTCCGTAGCACTGTGTGACTACTCAAATATCCTACTTCTGGTAACTGTAACTTATTTATAGGTACATCAACGATTCACACGAGATGACGTGACCGCGATATACATAATAATATGTGCACCGAGTATATATTCAAGTGCATAGATCACGGAAACAAGGAAATATGCGTTTAGGGCGCCGCCGCCGCTAGTTGTGATCGTGACCCTGTCACTTCACTCACAATCGAATCACTACCCTTTAGATATACACACACGAACACAGTTTTAACCGCATTTACATTAGACCTCAGAAGCTCGCTTTTAGCATTACCCTTAAGTCTTACGCACTATACAAAAATCGTATAAAACCTCGACACCGCTAAATTCCTGCCATACAAAATGCTCTCGATTGGAACGTATAATTAATACGTATATATACAAAATCACAATTTTTACCATCACATGTTGCACAAGGCATTTTTAATCCACATCGCTTGTCGGATGTCCACACGCCCATCACATCAGCTACCCACATCATATTCCTAGTTCCTATGATCTGACATACTATTTGATATAATTTATCATACACATACAAAATGATATGACATTTTTTACTGTGAGACGTAATAATTATTTATAATGAGGATTTAGTTACTGTTCAAAAGAACTCGATATATATGACCGTGGACTCATCAAGTTATTTTTTATTTAAATTTACTAACTACATTTTATAACAACTTGGTTAAAATATTATTTAAAAATTAAAAATCATCTTTATCAAATAATAGTTATTGCTTCTTCTGATATGATAATACATCCGTGCGCGATGTGTAGGGCCGCTTGCTACCAAGAATTGACGAGTCGCGTACAGCGGTCCGCACAGGTTCGTTGTAGTACGCTGTACGCATACGTAGTACGCAATGCTTGGCACGCGTACGCCGTACGCGACATGTACGTTACATGTTACACGTTACACGTTACAGGTACGTACTGAAATGCGCAGTGAAAGCAAACGGATGACTGTTACTAACTACCACTTACACTCATACAGATTATACTGTACACTTGATATTAATTACGTAATAACTTCTTAAATGTATATTTTAAAAATATGACTGCTTTTATCCATCATGATCACAGCTCACCGAAATCTTTACAATTATCCAAACCAGACACTCCAAAATAAATTCTCATTTATTCCTAGAAAACGAAATGACTATAATATCTCTATGTTAGTTCTAAAAATTATGCCATTTGATATAATATATATATATATATATATATTTACTTTGCAATTGCAACGGTCCCTCGTACAGCACTTAAATGCTTCATATACAAATTTTAACGTAACAGTGAAAATGACTTTTTTTTTTATAAAATAAAGGAAGCAATAAAATGACTATAATCCACGAATAATTTAGAAATCAAGCGGCAGTGTTCGCGAAAATTCGTGCAATAGAACCTAACTACAAAACATGTCTTAGGAACCTGATAAATTATTGCTAGAGCTTCGGGCACGACTCCACTCCCCCTCCTTACGAACGACAATGTATCCCCGGCGCGGCCGGCGGATACATAACGAGATAAAATCTTATCAGTAGCCAATAGAAAAATATCACCTAAATAAATATGATTATATTACACGGCGACCCGCCGACGTCGCCCGCCGGCGCCGCGCCGCTCTAACAAAATATAAATATTGGGAGCCACCGCCGGCGAGCGGCTCGGGCGACGGCCCGACGGCCCGACGGCCGGCGATGAGTATCGTTACATTTTCTCTTTTTTGGTAAAAAATAACAAGATTATGAAATTGATATGCAACACACGCGCGGCGAAAGTGCGGCGACCGCAGGGGCATCACTGCGCCGCGCCTTCCGCCTCCGCCCGCTCCTGCGACCGCTCGTGCGGCGGCGGCCCGCGGAATTCTCCCGAGCCCGGCTCGCGCGCCGCGGTCCCGCCGCCGCTGCCGCCGCTGCCGCCGCCGCCCCCGCCTCCGCTACCGCTGCCTCCACCGGCTGTTTTCGCCTCACTGTCGAGAGTAGTACGAATAATTAATATCAGTTATCATCATAAAACTTATGTTAGAAATAGGGAACGCCTCGGGAGGTCCTAGAGTATTTTTGGTAAACAATGAATATGTTTGAAATATAACCTTCAATTAATAGTAGTAGTGTGAGTCAGTCAGATTAACTTTATGGTCATTAGGCTAATATGTGTGACGAGAAACTACTTAAGGAGACTACACTATAGAACCAGACACGAGGCAATTACAAAAAGTTTATTTTCCTATAATTAGCGTGACAATTTATATACTAATACAATTGTTGGGCGGGGTTTGTTGCAATTCGTGAATTGGGACAAATCTTATTTCAGTTGGCCAATCCCAGCCACTGATCTAGTGTTAGTCTAAGGGGAGAGCGCATCTGTCGTGTAGATCCCTTAGGCAAGACCAAATGACTATTCTGCCCGAGGTTGCCGCCTGCTATTGGTCTGGCTCCTTCAGAAACAGATATAACAGAAATATTTGGACGAACTCCCTTCCCCTAGGTATTTCACTTCCTTATCATAATACCCAATCTTACTCTCTTTTGCCTACCTACTCCGCATCCTCTGTAATTCTCCGTGGATATCTTAACCCGCGGGATATCGTTAAGGTAACACATAGGATCTATGAAATGATGGTATAAGGCAAGGGGAAGCACAAAAGATTCCTATGGATCGACGTGTAACGGCTTAGCTGACCCCATATGCAAAAATAAGATAATACAGTTGAATGATAATAAAAATGGTACAGTTTTTTTATATGTGATACGTGCAGAAACACATGGCGTACTGGCTGCCAGTGTCACCTAATATAAAACAATTTTATCTTAATATCATCACAACATCATTACCATTTTAGCACGTCCGTGTCATCGGGTCTATGAGCGATTCAAAGGTCACTCAATGAGAGTAATAAACACTGGAATCGCTTTAAACGAACTTTGATATTATTTCAATCGTAATAAGTAAGTTTACTCACAAGTTGGTGAATGATGGTCGAGAGCTACCGCCCGGGGCATCATCGCAGGGCGGCGGCCGCGCCGCTGCACTCAGCAGGTAGTTCGTCGACTCACTGAAACAATTCGAAAGCCTACTTCAAATTGTATTACTGCCTCAGATAGTCCGACTCGAGAGGCATATAATTATTATGCATGTCTCGACATAAAAACATGGCCTCCTTACACTAAAGAGAATAGTTACATTTACAAAGTATTGTAACCAAACGTATACAATAGTAACCAAAATACAGTAACAGAATTTGTGAAATTGAACAACTTTTCCCTACACGGATGGCTATATAAAAATTATATTTGAACCGGTGGTCACGTGATCGATTTAGAGATAATCGTTAAAAATTTTCATATTAAGTTCATGTGACTTTGTTTGATTAAAAAGTACTTATTTAGGCACCCACTATTTATATATTTCCCATATATGGACTTAATTTAGACTAGTACATTATAAATATTAATATTTACATACCATGACCTTAACAAAATGTAATCATATTTTTGTACTCAACTTGACCTCTACGAGTGCGATAACTTGATTATGGTTATAATTATTGTTAATAGCTTGTTGTCGTAGATAAGGACAATAAAATGTAAACATATAAATAAAAATTTACATTTAACTGATTTTTGAAACTACAAATAACTAAGCATTGAGCACAGCATATGGTGATTAAAACGAGACCCGCACATAAATTGTTTGACAAAAATGTCAAATAAAAAATGATTAAGACAAACAACACTAGAAAGCAACCTAGTCGATCATCAACGCGATGCGTTTCTTTAAAAATACAACATAATTGATCATTTCAGTTAATAAAAAAATCTAAATAGATGAAAAAAAAACTATAGGGCTTTCAAAATTAAAACTTATTTGTACCAAGCAAGTGTAGTAATAAGTCTAGAACATTTCTATTATGAAAAGAGGCCTAAATGTAACAAGGAGTTTAATCTGTTGTATGTATTACGAGGACTTCAAACATTAAAGAGATATTGGGGTCGATCCTGAAAAAGTTTAAACATATCTCTTCTAAAAATTTCAATTTAATACATATAGCAAGCGAAATTTTTAATCGAAGGGCCAATAGAGACAAAATTTCTAAAAGATTTAAGTCAAACTTATTATAAATTTATGACGATACACAAAACAGTAATTTCATAGCAATTATCAAATTAAAAAATATTATTAGTATAAGAGATAGATGAAGAAGCGTCAGAATCTACGTTGGTGACAATCCACCATTATGGTCATTGAAACTACATCTATTCAATATTATCGAATCGAATCATTTTTAATTAAAATCACATATTTTATATTATATTACAGTTATTAGTTAATATAAAATTAATATAAATAATAATAAAAAGGGATTTTATTCGTGAGTATAGGCGAAGATTGCCATCTCCAATCAAAAGATAGAGTCAATCTATCCGCTCGTTTGTAATTATTAGTGGTATAAAATGTACGCAATATCGAATACAAATTTAAATTGATATGTTAAGAAAATAGATACGTTTTAAAGGAATTCAAAAATAGAATTCTTTTAGTATTAAAAATTGAGAAAGGGGTGGAAAGAAGCGGGTTGCAAAACTGAAAGAATGTATTAAACTCGTACATATTATATATTGGATTTGTTTTATATACTAGTGCATTGAGAACATTAGGTTCAGGTTCCACACGATCTTGAAACATCCATTTTAATAAAAGCTAATAAAGCTAATACGTGTTTGTTTAGCATCTGGTACGTGACTAAAATAAGTACTAGTGGTTGTGAAACTGACATTGAAATTTGACAAGAAACAGCATCGAAGATTGTGAGTAAAGGAAAAATTTTAATATTGTAATTTTTCTTGTTTACATTGCAAAATTACGGAACCCTCGAGTCGCGAGTTCTATTTGGACTTGTCCTGGTTTATTGAATTAATTTGATAAAAAATGACGTCATTTTGGTCACACCTATGATATAACCATGGGTTAATGTACATAGATACACAAGACCTCTCTCACGTACTCCTCGTCTCGAGGTCGCATGAATCAACTGATAAAATTAATATTTTGTATCCATATTATAGAGTTCTAAGGGGATTGTTACACTATCATAATCTTGACCGGGGAAAAAAGATGAAAACAGTCGTTTTCTCCTTGTATTTTCCACTTTATATTATTCTTAAACAATACCAGATAAGAAACAATATACTGTAATATTAATCACTGATGTCGAAATTGCGTCTTAATAAATTTAAAGATGAATATATTATTTACAAAAGTGTAACAAGGCCCTAAGTGTCGTGTGGCCATCCAGCGGGTACTGGACTCACGGAATGGTGATAAGCATGGCATGCATGGTGCCTTAGATAACCTCTAGTTCTTGTTTACGTATGTGTCAGATAGTAATATTGTTTTTGAATTGTTCCAATATGGGAAGTTGATATATTCTATTGAATATAATATTACGTATTAGTAATTATAAATACAAAGATACGTTTGTTCGTTTGTTATATATACAGTACAATTTCCGCGATGACGTTCATAAAAATTAAATTATTCCGTTTTATTTCCCAGTTGTGTGAGTTGATGAAAACAATTAACGGTTATTAAACATATAGTTGTATGCCTATATTCTTCTCCGTGCGAAATACTGTATATAGCAAATTTCATAACGATTAAATGAGTCGTTAAGGCGATAAGAGGTTCTTGGCGCCTTTTGTTTGTTGTATTTTAGTTTAATGAAATTTGAATAATTAAATTTTCACTTTGACTTTTGTAATCCTCACTACTGTGTAATTAAATAACTTGACTAAGGGGTGTACTAAAATCTAAAAAACATTGAATTTGAATTCATACGAAATCAATCAAGTGACTGCACAGTTCGTATGAATAACTATTAGAATATTTCAATTATACTACTTGTGGAAGGTTCATTTCTAGAAAATTCGAATTGGATTTCGCATTGGTATCAACAGTATCTTATTATTATAATAAAATGTTAACTAGATGTAGGAGACATATAAGAAAAATTAAGAAAGGTCTTAATAATAGAAGTTAAAACAATAATTCTTAGAATTTTTGTCTGTCTATATATTTGATCCGGTGACACGAAAATACGACTACACCAAATAGAACACGGTTTTCACAATTATGTTGCTTAAGGTATAGCTTGATATTTGGTGTAAGTTTTACCTTGATACGCCATCTAGAAGTAGTTATTTACTTCCAATTTCCACGCGTACAAAGTTGCGGACAAATGCTAGTTATTAAATAAAAATCATTGCTCGGTACACCCGTTATGACTTAACGCAAACCCCGTCGTGATATTAACGTTAATAATAACGTTAACGATAATATTCACGTTAATCTCTGAAGCCTGAACTGATTTAAATGAAATTTTGTAACTTTTGTATTGTTTGATCAAATTTGAGGGAGGAGAGTTTTTAATCCTGATAAGTCAAAATGGACTCGGTAGGTCGCTGAGAGTAAAAAACTTGCCAGGTTGACTATTTTTTTTTTTTACAGAACATAGACCAAACAAACAGTCAGCATCATCCACTCAACTAAACATCTATACACGCTATAAGTACTTTGTGATTTCCTTGGCATATATACAACTAGAATACATCGTACTTTGAACTTTTCCTGATAAATATACTATCCATTGAAGGTGTCCAATAATAAGTGATGTAACGACAAACCAAATAAATTTATCACACTGCACTGTATAATCAATGTGGATATAATTATACAATGAACATTACGGTCCGCTCATGGGAAACGAGCACAGCAACCCAATAATGCTTGAAACACAAAACGGATTCTTATTTTAAATATGATTAAAAAAAGAACCAATTTCATAATGCACTTTTTTTTTTTTACAACACAGGGGGCAAACGAGCATGCGGCTCACCTGATGGTAAGTGACTACCGCCGCCCATGATCACCCACAACACCAGCGGCATTGCAGGTGTGCTACACTTTCTAGGTTGGACACAGCACACAGAGTATAATACTCTTTTGTAAAAAAAAAATAAAAACATTTAAATTCTGTTAAAATTTTTAAATTGATAGCATCAGAACAACTTGTCAGATTCAGTAGTTACGAAAATATAAGTGTCGTGGCGAACAGACGGACCGAAAAAGTCGTCCAGTCGAAGTAAGGGTTTATTTGTGTTTTTGTTTAAAATCTCTAAAGATATAAATGTATAAAATATTAAGATACATCTATTCATGTATCTTCTTATTTCATACCGCCGAGTGATCCCGGCATCCCGAATCGGCCCCACCATCCTTTCCTGTGGGTGTCGTAAGGGGCGACTAAGGGAACTTATTGGACAAGGAATAAACAGCAGTGTCTCTCTTAAAACACTACACCAAATCCTAACTGCGATTGGCAATCCGTTTGCTAAGCATGGGAACTACTGGCAAAACTTCGCTTATGGGGAAGGCCTATGTTCATCAGTGAACAATTAACAAGTGATATTATTGATGGTGTACAGGAATATGGTTGACTAAGGTGCGTGAATTTAAAGTTAAATGAAACTAAGTACACACCTACCTATCGTAAATACTAACCCAGTAACACATGTTTCAAATTAGAATAGTATCAACATTTATCGTTACTTCTATCCTATAGTTTTAGATCCTGTTATAAAAAAAGTCAAGCCACTCGTCGTGAGACAATAATGAGAATGTCACCTGGCGGTCCTCATGCGGAGCGCGGCGCAATTCTCCTTGCACTTGTAGGCGAGCACTTGCTTGATCCTGCTGACCTCGACGTCGGGGAAGTGCCTGCTGACGTAGGAGATGAGCGCGTGCACGCGGCGGCGGTCGAGCGGCGGCTTGGTGGGCCGCGCCTCCTGGCCGGCGCGCGACCAGCGCTGCCCCGTCACCGAGCACGTGGCCAGCTCGATGGGCGAGAACAGCGCCGCCGCCAGCCCGCGCGTCACCTTCCTGTAGTCGCCCCACTTCACGCCGCGCAGCAACTCTTCGCGGATCTCCACACCCTCCCCCAGTTTTATCTGCCGACATTACAGCGTCATCTCACATTATCATATATTTTCTATTTCAATTTCTCGTGCAATATATTGGAGACATTTTAAAAATGTGAAACGTGTTTAATCGGTTACATGAAAATACATAAATAGCAAAACCGATCAGAATTAATACAATGATAATATTTCGTAGAAAAAATACATAAATGATAAAATTGGTTAGAATTTATACAATTATAATATTTCGTAGAAAAGTACAAGATCTATTTATCAGTACATATTTTTCAGAGTTCAAGATAGTAGAAATTGTTTAAAATCGGATCGGCCGTTTAACCGTAAAAACGAAGTAAGATTACATTATAACATTGGTACGAAAGTATGAATAATAATATGGATGATGACATGGGGATATTTTTTTAATTAAATTTTTGTTGAGGCTTTAGTACACCGGAGTGATTATGCCAACCTTATAGGGATTGTCTGAAAGTCAGTCTGTCAGTCCGTCAGGGACACCTTTACCCAGATATATAGCCGTCTTGCATTGCGACTGCCAGGTTGATCCAGTATTATGTATTGATTCCAATAATATGGGATATGAATAATATGTATACTGACCAATCTAGGCGCGGCCGTGCCTCCCCGCTCGTTTTCCCGCTTCAGTACGAAGGGCAGGGCGCTCCGGTGCTGTTCCAACCACACCGCGTCCGGAACAGGCCGGTTCCGCCGTCCGTCCCACCGGCCCGGTATTGCTATAAAATTACAAATTACATGTGCAATAGCACTAAAAACAAAAAAAAATATTATTAAAATACCTTGTAAATACCTGGATCAGATGATATAGCTACGGATTGCCGGCTTTATATTTTAGATAAATATAAACAAAAAGAAGACAATTTTAAAAATGCACATTTCGTCATAGTCGTAAAATACTGACGGATCTTTATATGTAATATTAGTCAGAACCGTCAGTATTCTACGACTATGACGATATGAGATATATACAAAATGTATTTATGAGTATTAACTAGATTTTTCTTTCAACATGACTGTTACGTATATAATGTAGAAAGGGCTGCAGTCCACGTAAATTTATAGTAGGAAAAGTTCTGTTATAGCAAACATGTGATGCTAATAAGATTACAGTGTTGTATGTGGGCACGTGACAACATAAACCCGAACAATGGACACCAATCAGTAACAAGCAGAACTATGCAACAATTTTTACAGTCTACAAAAAAGGATATTGTTTATAGTGAATTTATACGGTATCGATAATGACGTATATTGGAGATGAAAAGATGATGGATCGAACGAGTTGAAAATATTATATTATCCCAAAAGAATATACAACTGTAATGTACAGCTATTATAAAATAACAATAACACAAGCAATTGCGTGTGGGTTATTTACAAGAAAAGGACTGCAAAACGTAATTTGAAACATATATATTTAGTAATAACTGAAAATACGATATTTCTGCAATACTTTATTTTTCATATTTAGTAAAAAAATTACATTGATTTATGTACAAAGACTGAAATTCTAATTTGTTGCACGAAATAATGCAGTGATAAAATTATATTCAACATTTTATTTATGGACCTTAGAGAGAGAGATAAAAACAATGCTGGATGGGAACGTGTACTCAGATGATAGAGTTTATAAATGAGTTCAAAGCGTTATCGAATTTTATATTATATTGAGTAAATTACTTGTAACAAGAGTAAACAATATTTAAAAAAATTTCAAACAATACGTAGTGAATGAGATCTGTACAAATAAATACTTTATATTAGGTACAGTACACATTTATTGCGAGGCCGAAATTAAATGAGTCAAGGAAATGAAGCAGTCCAAAGAAATTGCATTTAGTTAACTACTACATTAATATTAATCTTCAATAGAATATGTACTGAGTAATTTGAAATAATACAATATTAAACCATTATGAAATGCTTCCGAATATTATTTTTGGTTAAATTTACATTACTATCATACTGATAAAATTTCTAAGTTGATAAATTTCTATTTAAATTCAGCAAGTAAGTGTCGAGAGATTCAATTTTTATTTATACAATAATTTTATTTTCGTTATAAACATTACAATAACGAAGCTGCTTCTTAACTTATCAATGGGATTAAAATTATTTTAAAGAAAATCCCAAGTGCTCCATTAAATTACGATTACTAAATAAGTAGCGAGTGATAAATTATTATTGCATTTAAATTTCATTGGAAATATTTACTTTAAAACGCTTTAAAATAAATGCGATATTTAATTTTGAGATCACGGGAAAAATTGAGATCACACAGTGTTCCAATATTAGAATAACACAGATACAACTTTCAAAATTATGAAAATTAAATATTGTAATTCACAACCCTAATCATACCTTCAATTACATGTCCCATCTAAATGCTTTTGTTACAAAATGACTAGACGTGTTTTTTCTCATGGCAAATCTTTTATATAAAACTATAAAAAAAAATAACTAATCAATTCAACGATTCGATTTATCAAAAACCAAAGTCTTCAGGTAAGTCCTCAGCGACTAAATATGACGAAACTAAAAGGCAACCGAATAGCCAATTATAGTGGGCCATGTGGGCGTGACCAACTCGTTTCATTCTCAATGATTGGTCATTTTCAGATCTGTTTCGTTACGTTTAGTCGCCGCGAGCACGAACTTACATACAACTCTTAAAATAATGGAAAATAATAACACCGTCTCCATTATTATCCAAGTACCTACCTATGTGAAATGACAACCATTGCAGTGTTGTGCCACCGAGTGTAGGGACCTAGAGACTATGGCAAGTGTTCTGTATAACGTTCAATGATAGAATAACATTTAATAACTAATGTTATGTTTCATCATTAAATATACAAATTTGAAGACATTTAATATTAATCATTACATCTGAGATTTTGTACAAACTATTAACCGGGAGCCGTCCAATCACTCAACAATATAACATTGTGTAAAGATAAAGCTATTGTGTATAAAAATATCACTATTGTGGTTCATCGCCAAGTTATGCCTCGTCCGAGTACGCAACTTGGCGCATTCGATAAATGAAACGGACGCGTTCGGTGCTTTCTGTCGGGCGTCGTCGTACAAAAAAATTATACTCTATTATGAAAATACAGTTCATCATTTAACTCTAGTTGCACGAGCGAAAGCACTGAACGATATGTGGATATATGTATAATGTATGTATGTATGTATAACATGTAACCAGTAAATAACCTATATTATGTAAAATCAGCACCGGTCGCAACAAATGCTTTAACAACAATCAGTCTATTGTCAAAATGAAGGTACTAATTCGTCCCCCAGTGAGGCCTTCTTAGTCATATAGAGAAACCCTATCCATAAAACCGTGACTAAGCATTATTGCTCGTATTTCTTTCAATACTGACTAAGCCATGGATTTTCCCTATTATTACTTGATATTTCCCTTTAAGAAGTGACGAAATGGACAAAAGGCAATCAAACGAAATATGTAAACAAGTTTGGACTTGGTTAAATTGTAATATTTTGGTACAATACCAATTATGGAAATATAAATTATGCAGAACCCACAACCACAGCACTATATACAAATGATTACTTAATCACTGCTTAAATTGTTAACGTTACAATATATCAAACAATTGTTCATTTTTCATTACGTATGTATATGTACGTACGTGTTGTATAAATAATGCACTAAGAAAACCTCATTAAAGTAACGAATATCTGGCACTCGGTATATTCATAGAAAGGCACGCAATAAGCGGAGAGGTGTGACGGCAGATAGGCCCCCGGCGACACTCCGATCACAGACTAGATAAATCTATAGACAGTCTTCATTCCGACGTTATAAGTCACGTCGTTGAACGTGGAGATACAACTGCTGTACACATCGCCGAACAGTTAAAGTAAACGACAGAGGCGTGTGAAGGCCATAAAAAACGCAAATTCTATACAACAATGCCTCCTTGTGGGGTCTGCCCGTTACTGATAAATAGTAAGTAGAATTCAATAGGCGACAACAGCATTGTACGTCCTCGTCGATATCGATCCTCAAGCACGAGTAGGAGAGAGCGCGTGAATCGCTTTCGACTACTGTTGGAAGCGCTGAGCGGGCCGCAGCGCGGGCAACGGCGGCGGCGGTGGCTTGTGGTGTCGCGCCGGGTGCTGCGCCAGCGTGTGTCGCCGCAGGTACAGCGGGGTCTTGAAGCTGCGGCCGCAGGTGGTGCAGGCGACCGGCTGTGCTTCGTGAATCAGCCGCACATGCTGCCGCAGGTTGGATGCGTTGCTGTACCGCCGCCCGCACACGGCACACCGGACGCCGCCGCCCGCGCCCGCGCCCGCGCCCGCGCCCGCCACCGCGCCCGCTCCCGCGCCGCTCGCTGCCAACAACACCACGTTCGCACTGCGCCGCCCGACAGTGACCGCCCGACCCGAACTCGCCGCCCACCGCCCACACCGGTCGCATCGTTCGCCGGAAGGTAACCACATTCAAATGCTTTGTGTGAGTGACCTGATCTTCTCAGAGACATCATGCGGTTTATATCGCGTTCTATTTAAACAGTGGAGTTGTAGATATGATCACATTTTTAATCAGGTCATTGCAAACATCTAATTCTCCTGAAATTAATTCTAGTGTAAGCATTTGAATGGCAGCCAGACAAGGTGCGCACATATTAAGAAGCGACGAGTACCATGTTCCGACAGACGACTAGGACCGGAGTGGACCGCAAGCGCCGCATTCGGTGCCACAAGCACGGTCACGGAGCGGGCCGGCTGCGCGTCGCCACGACACCCGCGCGCCTAGCCACCAGACTCGATTCAAGACCGCGCGCGCTCTCTTCTACTTCCGATTTGTTTCATAAAATACGCTAGAGAGAAAAAGGTTCGCCGGGGGCGCGGCTGTCCGAGTCGACGTGTGCGTGTGATAATGACGTGATAGTGATAAACATATAGGACAGGCATACAAAGGGTATATTTACCTTCAGTGTTTTCGTCCCGGAGATCTGGGCTTATCCCAGTCATGAGATCCATATTACCTGAAAAGAAAAACTTTGTAAATATCGACATAGTTGTGGTAAAATATTTATAGTTTGAAAATTAACACACCTTGTAAAGCGGCGAAGGGATTAGCCAATGCATTATTCTCATAGTACATTGGAGGAAAACTGGAGCGCTCCTCGTCACTGCCTTCTTGTTCAACGACTTCCATTTTTGGTTCCAACAGATCCGATGCATTAAAATCTTGCGACTTCTCTCCTCTTTCGGAATCCCCTGGATCCATTAAAATATCACTCTCTTCATTTTTTACTTCAGCTTCGAGATCAGTTTTTACCCTTAATGAGGGGTAGATGCACGTTTCGCTATAGTCATCATTATTAGGCCTCATTTGACTAGAAGTTTGAAAAGGAGCTTCTTCATTGAGATTGTTTCTGGCAACATCGGGAGAATTTCTTGTGGAACGACGACTGGCACTCTTATCTTGATCATCAGCTGAGGTCGATTCAACATTTTGGCTTGCGACTTTGGAGGAGGAGGTAGAATGTGACGGCTTCGCGCTGAGCAAATTACGTAACTGGGAAGGAGGAGACTTACGATTCGCTTTCTGTAAGAGAATGATATTAATTACCGAATGTATCATTGGATAGTGCATGGTAATAGTGAACAATTATGTGGATACTTACTTTGTCGTTGTGTTGTGAGCAGTCTGTGAGGCCTCGTATCTGAAGAGCGTCGGCAGTGCGTAGGAAGGCGCTGAGCTGCGCTTGAGCGATGTTCACCTGCCCGACGTACATAAACTGAAGGAGTGCGCGCACGTGCGATACTTCGCAGTCGCGCATGAATATTATTGGGTGGGGGCATGGGTTGTTCTGAAATAATACAACTTTGTTACATAATAATAATAATAAGTACCACACAATTACACTATGTTATGTTAAGGTATGTTATGGGGACATAGGCAACGAACACTTGGGGCCAGAACCCAGAACGCCCAAATCGGAATTAATTCAAAAAAGTTCGTTTCCTAAATTGACTCAACTGGGAATAGAACCAGGGTCTTATTTACGTAAAGCAACGTTGGACATACCGCAACGGAGGTTGTCAATATACATACATAATATTCTTGTGAATCAAAAGTAACAATATAGTACGAATTCTTGTTAGACATACTCTGGTACAGTTCTTATGTCAATAATGCAATAACATATACTTTAGTTAAAAGTTACTTAAGTTTGCATTACTGCGGCACACACATGAAGAAAAAAAAATTTATTATGCATTCTGATTTTGTTTTTGGTTTTTTTTTTTAATCTTTTGTACATGTATCTTTTTTATATTTTTTCACTTTGCTTTTGTATCTTTTGCTGTTTGTGTGCTGTAAGTGATGCAAATAAATTATCTATCTATCTATCTATACTGCGGGAAACAATATACAATCATAAAATTAGAATAATAATATTTCATGAAGACCTTTAAACAATAATATGAACTGATAATCGAAAAACTACCATAATTTATAACTATCAAATACGCTCTTATATACTTGTAAATCTTTTACATAATATAGAAAATAAAAATAATATATCAACATACTTTTATTTTTGTATGTTTATTGTGTAAAGTCATATTAATGGTCATATACGGTAATAATATCTCTGTACCATTCTTAAATATTTGTTGTATGTAGTTTTTTGTTGTACATTTGAAATTATTCATCATATTTTAATTCGTATTTTAATACGCAACTACGGTACCTATTAAAAATGTTTTCCATAGGTTTAATTAATAAATTGATTAGATAAAACAGAATATTATTATGCTAGATTAGTGAGTGGGTGACGGTATACGAACCGCAACTGCGAACATCGACCACAAAGAAGACTTAGACAATCTAAATGCACACCACGCCATAACGGTACAGATGCTTAGAAATAGTCTAACCTGGAAATTATTTAACATAACTGGTTTTAACACTTCTATCTAATAGTGAGATGCCATAAATTAGGTTTTTAATATATGTAACTAGTTTGTAAGAAGAAACAAAAAATAAATCGTTAACTGTGATATTTTTTATTTGTAAATGCTCGTAGATAGAGATGTATAACTTATAAGTAATATTTTTCTTTCAGTACAAATACTTTCGTCATTTCACCATGCAAAACACACGCGAAAACTAATAATGTTATCGGCCAAAGATTAGAAAAAAAATATCTACTATCAATGTCATATGTTAGTGAATAACATAAGTACTAAGTGATACCTATATATACATTTTTCCACGTGTTCTAATGAAATGTTACCTTGAGAGCCGCTACTTAAATTACAATAAGAATTAAAAAAACGGAACCTATTCATTCAATGTATACCTATTCATTGTAATTAGATTAATTATAATTGTAAAATTTACACTTAAAATGATTGAATTTTTATTCATTAAATTTTAGCCTATTTAGGCGTAGTTAATAACCCTTGTGCATAGAAATAAAATTATTTAAATAGTGAAATTAACATCGAATTTGTTCTACTAAAAAAACTGAACACTTATCCCATATAAACATGGGTTAAAATTTAAAAATAAAAAATAGAGTTTCCTATACTAATTTTACAAATGCTGAAAGCACCTTCTTATTATAAGTTTAAAAATATATACCGTTTTTCGATTCATGTTATTTTAGGTAGTTTTGGAATGTATAATTTCTCTAGCAGATAAGACACTACAATTTCTCCCGCTTGATTGCAACAGGAAACATGCTAACATGCTGCCTGACAACTATTTAATAGACGAGACAAATGCACCTAAGTCTACAACACTGAGGGGAAAGGGATTGTTAGTAACGGGGACGCCTCATTGGTACCAGTTAGATCGATCTTCATGCGTTTCCCACCTAGAAAACATCGTAATTGATTCTTGTTGAAATCGTCACGATGGGCTAACTGACTTTTCATCCTCATCTATCAGTCACTGGTACTCGGTTAGCGTACACCGTTAGCGCAGACGGGGTTTGCATTCCATTATTATTATTATTCATTGAAAATAGAGCTCTGCAGTCTCTTTCTGATAAAATAGACAAGTTACATTTTAATGCATTTTCCATATCAGTAATCTAAAAAAACAGTTCTATAGGATGAGAGGGGTTATTACTTCTGAATGCTAGACTGACTAACTATGAAATCAATTTAAGTCGACAAAGATAAAAAAATAATTGTCAAAAACAGCAAGCAGTAACTTCATTAAATTATCATTAAACAATAACAGTTTATTATAGACAATTGAAATAATTATCGTCCCTTTAGTGTTCTATCCTTGGTTCTACCAATGTAACTGAATTTATTATATTAATATTAAATATAATAATCCGAAAATATAATATTTTAATAAAAAAAAGAATATGAGTTGATAAACGAAAATAAATTATGCCTCCCATATTAATATTTTGTGTCTGACTGTCAGAAAGTCAAAATTTACTGTCGTTTTTCGACACTTTATTTATTTATTTATTTTTATTATTGATATAATTTTTTTTTTATTCTATTCCACTTGCACTATTATTGGTTATTTTATCATTTTAATTTTATGGCCCGTTTCACCGTATTATAGCATTATCAAATTTATACCTTTGTTTTTAATTATAAAGTTTGATAATGCCATAGTAACTAAAACGAAATCTGTCAGGACATTGAAATTAAATAGAAGAATATAATTAGTGTTCTCGCTTTATAAACACGATTAACTAAGTGCCAAGGATCACTAACATAAATATGGAAATCTATACAAAAAAGCCCATTAGCAATCCATTTTTTTTTTAATTCGGAAACACTGCATTAAATCCTCTGACAGCAACAGTAACGTTGAATTAATATAAATCACATGGTATCAAAATATTACAAAGGAACGCTTATGGTGCAACTTAGTGCGTTCGTGCGCCCGTTCGTCTGTCTCAAAGCGATATCTAAGCAACTAAAAATTTTATCGATTTGAAATTATTTTAGATATGTATAAGTTACACATATTGCAAAAAATATAAGTTAAAAAATACAAGTGAAATATCGTATGAAAGGATTTCAATTGTCCATTCTAAAACCTACTTTTTTTTTAAGTTAATAAATCCAAACACAAAATACTTTATATTTCACTTTCTAATTATTCAGTACATTTCAAAGGCGCAGGATACAGCTAGCAAATACATTTTCACACATGGTTGCATCTCCATTTATGCTACATACAAATGCCAAAGTTTGTAAGAACTCATGGTTGGATGTTTGTTATTCTTTAACGCAAAAACTAACGGATTTGATTCAAATTTAGTACATAGAGAGGATATACCCTAACTTAATATATAGGATATTATATACTGATTCACATAAAGCGCGAGATACAGGTAGTATTATAAATTTGAAAGTATGTTTGTTTGTTACCTCTTGGCGCATTAACGTTCCTACTAATCGTCACAAAGATACCCGATATTTGGGACCCGATATATAGGTGTGTGGTTCTGGCATAGGATAAGCCAGCTGTATCATAAGAGACAACTAAGAATCATTAAAAAATTCATACAATGGACTAAAAGGTAACATTTTTTAACTAAATAATGTTAACATGTAAAATTTTTAACTTGTTTTGAATCAGCTTTTACTAGTGAGTGTGATCCGTTTGTTTTATATTATCTCCTTAGAGGTTGGAAAAAAGTAGGTTTTGTCTTTGGTCAGCAAAAAGTATCTCCATAAGAAGGGGTTATCATCAAAGGTCATCCGTGATAATAAGGGTCAGTACATTAGGAAATTTCACTCTGTCATACATCCATCAAAAAATGGATAGTAGAATTCAGGCGTGGTAGAGAGTGTGAAAAATGAACCGAAACGAAAAAAAAACGAAAATGTGAAGACCTTCGACGTCCACTTCTGATGAAAACTTTAGGCGAAGACTGTAGATTAAAAATTAGAGAGATAGCTGAGATAATAGGATTCTTATAAACGAACTTAAAACATCATAATCAAGCATTTGGATTTCCACAAGATGTCAGTGAGGTGGGTATTGCAGCTGCTTTTAATCGAATAAAAAAGATCGTGATAGACTATTACACGCAAGTGGTTGAAGTTGTTTGAAACCAGTCTAGATGATAGGAAAAAGTAACAAAGTGATTAAAAGAAGCAAGCAAATTATGTTAAAAACCCAAACTTTAGTTATATAAAAGTTGGTACATGCCCAACCTGGGAACACAACCTATCATTTGGAGTGAAGGGATTATTTGTAATGGGGATATGTGTCACCTAACTGATGTTAATTCCCAGTGAATACTTCACAATTGTACAACCAACTAGCTCCATTGTTGTATCCCACGCCATGCTACATTGTATACTAATATTAACATAGATTGATACATCATTACATCTTCATTAAAAAAAAATAATCATTACAAAAGAAATTTAGATATTATTTATATACTCATTTATTACAACAATGTTATTACCTAATGTAAAAACATATGTTTGTTTTGTATTGGTAAAGATAATGAATGAATGAGTATACTTTATTTGCATTTAACAATATAAGGAATAAGCAAGACAATAAATAATTGTTATGATACAGTTGTACAAGGACAGTAAGGCCGAGATAAAAAAAAAAACTTCAAATTGGAAACTTAATACAATATAAAACTTGTACAGGCCAAATATTTATTTTATCCACATGTGCTGAATGTGTTATTTATTTAGTAATTTTGAAATGTCATCCCAGGAGGCTTACAACTTGCACCCTACCACACTGCCATATAGAATATAATTATTTTTGATCCATGGGCAAAGCAGCTGGAAACAGCTTGTTATAAATATTGCCAGGTAAGAATCAAGATAAATAAATAATTATATAAAAAGAAACAAATGAAATAATTTTTTTATAATTATAATAATAAGTGACCCAATATTTTTATATAGTCTGAAATAGGTATTATTATTGTATGGGTAATAGATATCATAAGATAAGGTGATTATTTTATCAGCATGTAGCTACTACTGTTTTCTATCATTTTTTGCCTACCTGTCTATCCAATATTGTTTAAAAATTTAATATATTGAAATTGGTTACACACTTAACTATGTATGTCATATATGATTACCGTTTAACAAGCAAATGGTTAATTGCCAGCATTACCCTGGGATAAAAATTAAAGTACATTATTTTTCCTTTAATAAATGAATCTGGTAAAATTAGATAATAGGTAGCTACTTCAGCCCTTGTGACACTAAGAAATTATTTATTGTTATTGTTACTTTTAAGGATATTCATATTTAAAATAAGTTTTGGTAAGATAAATGATAAAAGAACAAAATATTACTTGTCTGTAGTTAGTCTGATAAACATCTATAATACTGGAAGTTCTTGAATCAAATTCATAACAATTTTGTTTGTTTTCCTATATAAAGGAGAATTACATGCAGTTATTTAATGAATGTGAACAATCTAGTAGTAAATTTTTTTGTACATATATTGAAAATTATAATACATCATTTAAATTTTTACTGTATAAAACAAGCACAAGGTGAACTCAAAATAAAACCTTATACCAAGCCTTTTGGTTTGAATGGTAGTAATCAACTACATTTTCCTCTTTTAGAGTACTCATACCCATTAATGAGATATTAAGTAGTTGTTAAGCAGATCATATACTTCTTTTACTATGCATAAAGTTGGTTTCATGAAATCTACAAAACAGATATATGAGAAATCAAATTGTTGAATATGATTTTTAAAGAAGATATATTAAAAACTTATAAAACAACTGAAAAATGTTTTAAACGCAGCAACAACACTCATACGGTTTTCAATGCATTGTCAAATAATTTAAAGGGATAAAATGTTTAAAATATGAAGAATACATAAGATAGTTAATGTTTGTCATTTGTATAGATGTGTATGAAAATATTACAGTGGTGCAAATTATCATCATGTTCAACATGCTTATATTTCCCTTTTTTCTTTTATTATAATATCATTAGCTGTCAATGATAAAGTAATGAAAAGAGTACAAACAGTTTCAATTGAAATATTAATAGTTCCAAGCAAAAGTAATTTATTAAATAACTATGGTTATTATTTTAGGCACAAACATACATAGGTGTATTAATATAAATTTCATTTATCATCCTGGAGTACAAAATGGATAATTTACTTTAATTATTACATTATCTTATTCAGTCTTATTCTTATTAAATTTAATTTTTAGTGTGGGTTTTTTTATTGCAAATATGGATATTGACTTCTTACCATAACATATTCATTGAAAAAAATTGATATCTTTGTGTCAATTATTAAAGATTAGAAAAGAGATCAATTTCTGTATTAACAAAATGGTCTACATTTATGAAATATTGCAGAGATCACATTGCAAAATAACATAAGATTTTATTACCACAACTATATTAAACCTATTTTATACTCTCATTTTATAAAATTCAATCTCTGTAAGAGAAACACCTGTAATCTATATAACTAATGGTAATAGTGTATTAATTAGAAATCGCGATACCGAATTTTAAAGTAGGTACAAATAAATGAAATCACGAGTACTTAACCGGAACGCGAGACATGGCATTTGTAAGTAGATCAAGTGTTTTATACATAACAACTTTCACTAGAGTCATTGTAATGGTGACACATCAAACTGTAGGGAGTGAAAGATGGACTTACTTTAAACAATTCCTTGAAATAAGGACTACAAGCCGAGAGAACCACTTTGTGGGCCTCTAGCCTGTGTCCTTCGCATGCCAGGGTGACATCCACGAAGTCCTCATCATCGCGTAGTGCCTCGAATTGAGAAGTTATATTTGCTTGAAAATTGTTCCATCTCAAACAGAATTGCTGGTCGCCACCCAGTTCTGAACCTTCCATTACTTATAGACATAACTTGATATCCCTGCTCATTTAATTGGTTGATAAGAATAGTTAATTATTGAAAATAAATATATCACAGAAACTTGCAATTTCAGTCGCCGTCTGGCCGAAAATCTTTTATGAAAGAAAACAATCAATAAAATCTCGTACCAATATACGAAAAATAAAAGCTTTTTTAATTTGTCATTTTGATGAGTACATTCACTTCACTTCCACGTTCCTATACACGCAATGTTTCTATCGTTCGTTGATTTCAGATTTTATTATAATGGCATTTGTAGACGTTCAGTACATTGTTGTTCAATACATGACTGTTTTTAATAGGAATTTTTATAAATTAAAATTATTACATAGGTAAATGTTTTAATAATTCAATGAAAATGCACGTCACAAAAACATACATTTAGAAAAAAGTAACAAGTTTATAACTTAGTACGTAGGACGTTATATTAAGTCTATGGTTTATAACATTCGTCCATCCCTAACAAGACTATGACACCTCTGCGATAAGACGTTGTAGTAGTTTGACAACTCGCTTACTAAATTCATCTTACGTCAATTGCCGATATACCATTAATACGTATTTATTAACCCTTTGACTGTAGGTGTTAAGTTAGTCTACTGTGGCAGGTTTCCAATATTTATCATCTCCAGAACGGACATAGATATTCTTTCCTTGATTATAAAATCTTTCCTTGTCGTGCTCTATGTTAGCTTAAAATTGTCTGTAGCAAAGAAATTTTCTAGAATTGGGTTTAATGTTGTCTAAGTTACAACGTAGTGGCCGCCCTAATAGAATTTCTACTATTAATGAGTAAATAGAAAGATTTCTAAATGTTTTTTTAATTTAAATTATCACATGTATTAGCTAATATTCTGGCTTTAAAAGTTCAAACTAGTCTTTCTGCTAAACTGTTCGTCCTAGGATGGCAACGCGATGATTTAATGTGTTTAATACCATTACATTTGCAGTATTCCTGAAAGTGTTGAGATGTAAATTGAGGACCGTTGTCCAATACTATAATTTGTGAAAGACCAAAAGAGGTTACAATTGTATCTAGTTCTTTGCATAGTTTAGTTGTGGATTACCACCAATCAATATATTAATACTAATGTCTACCATTAGGTAGACATTGGTTTAATATCAATCCACTTAGATAGTGCATCACAGAGCACTAACTAAAATTTGCCCTCAAATGAACCCGCGAACTCTTTCTCATGGATCATCAAGGATAGGCCACGAACAAACTGGTAACTTTGCCACGTTAGAGCGGTTTTCTTGACACTTGCTTTCATTTACATGTTAATATCCTCATCAATTGGATGGCCACCAAACATAATAACGAGGGGTGGAAGAGAAGGGGTTGTTAGTAATGAAGTCTAATAGCTTTATTGTTAGTAATATACCTTCTTAAGTCGACCTTCACGCGGTACCCTCTGGAAACCGTCATGGTCAATTTTTGTTGAATCCATCATAGTGGACCAACTGACTTGCATTCATTCTCACATATCATCTTCCACTAGTGCCCCGCCAGTGTATACCGATAGCACGGGCGGGGTTACCATGTTATTATCACCTATTAAAAAAAAACAATACGAGCCAGAGCTCTCATGGTGGATATCCCTGGATGCCCTTTGTGAAGAAATTTTATTACAGAGTTCTTCAATGATTGGAGAACAACTATTGAACCATGCCACATCAAAATTTTTCTAGTCGTCAATCTTCTTCTCTCGACCACTTTCATATTATCTAAAGGCAAAAATTTCGAAGCGATTGACGTGTAATCGCAAAGACATAGCTACCTCTGGAGAGCGATTTTAGAACTTATTTCTACGAATTATTAATCGATTGCTTGATTGTTAGAAAAAAGTATCTGGGCTATCAGCGATTATTTGCTCTGTGGTCATTATGACTAATGTGATTTATAAATATATCGTCTCTGTAAATCTAAAGTATATTTATGGCAATTTAGTAAATTTTATAGAAAAAAAAAAATAATGAAAAGGAAAAAATTAGTAATAATAGGTACCTAATATACTATCATATCCTCTATGTACCAACATTTTAGAAGATATATTTTTTTTGTTTATAACCTACAAGTAACCCACCTACCTAAAAATATGACCTGCTTCAATCTTAAAGAAGTGTACATTTTATATAGAGATGTTAAGTATTGATTGAAAATTCTTTTGTAATGTAGGTATCAGAAAATGATATCTCCTATGTATAGGTGTTATTTTCATGTGTTCTATGTTTATACAACTATATAATTATTTTAATTAATTATTTATAGAATTACCAACATAAGATACAGCTAAACATTTTAATACAATATACTGGTAGATTAGATCTTACTGTTCTCATATTTATATATATTCTTATATTTTAAATAAATAAAATCATTTCTGTGAATGTGTATGTGAAGATATAGGATATTTAATTTACATATCTAAAATCAACATTCTGTATTACACCATATATTAAATAAAAATTAAAGGCTAAATGATCATGCAACAAAACAAATTATTTTATTAGTATGATTAAGATTAAAAATATTCTTATAGTTTTTATCCGTGTTAATACTTTCTTAAAATGATGATATTATCTAAAAAGAAAATTTGTTTTTTTTTTTAAATACAGAATGAGAATTTTATTGTTCTTCTTTTCTTCAATGACAATCGGTAATTATTTTTACGACCATTTCTCCCAGCATCATGTATAAGAGGCTCGTAGTATAATTGTTTCTCAGTCAAGACATCTGTGTTATTTAATAGTAAAGAGAATTTTATTCATTTAAAAATCACTATGTAAACAAAATTTATTTGTAATTTTGTGGACGACAGCTTATAAAGTTTGTTCTCCTTCTACCATTTCTTTCAAATTTAACAACTCAAATTGACCACTTCCTTTTGTCTCCATTCTGATCATTTCATCCAAATTCCTGAAATTCCCAGGATCTATTAAACAAATTATATTAGCTGTTCCAGAATCCCAGTTTTCTTCTTCAACACTCATAGCTAATTTAATGACTTTATCTTTTATTTTTTTTGCATCTTTCCCAGTTAATAAAATTCTTACCCTCATTTGTGCTCTTTCCAAGGGTATCTCCTTTTTCAAAAGCTGTATAACATCTAGAGCCTGTTGTTTAGCACTTTTATTAACATTAACAGAATAATGTACATCTTTAATAGCTTTCTCTATAATTGATACAGGATAAGGTCGTTTTGTTTCAGGATTTACACATTTATCAGCAACAGTTGTAGCAATATCTTTCATAAGAGATTCTATTTGAGAATGTCTCTCCTTATCTGAAACCTGAAGCTCCCCTTTTTCCAATATCACCTTGCATATTTCTGTGGAGTCGTCATTTCCAAATATTTTTAACAAATCCTCCTTTTTCGCTACCTGTCCTTTGGAGACATTTGAAAATATAGTGTGTGTCTGTAATACTTCATCAATGTCTTGTTCCCTGGAAAAAGAAACTAGGTTTATCAAAATTACTTGAAAGTTGACATGGGCACTGACAGACTTAATACTTACAATTTATTTCGCCATGATATCACTTTATTTCTATAGCACGCTATTTCAAACCTCTTTCCGCCTTTTTTTAACCGAACTATTGCAACGTTGGTTAAACGTATTTGATTTGTTGGTGTAAATATCTTCGACATTTTTGGTTTTTAGATTCAATACAGTACAAAGATAAGTATTCTTTCAAATATTTTCAAAACGGAAAGGAGTTAGTAATCCACAAACTAAATAGAAATGATTCCCAAAGTTACCAAAAAACATTCTTTGTAATAAAATTGGCTAGGTAGGTAGTTTAGTAAAAAAGACAATAAAATCACAGAGTAAATAATCAAAGGATAAGAGAGCGCATTTCGTACAAGTCAAATAAAAGACTTGGTCAGGAATATCTAACCAACCTACACAAAAAATCCTCCTTTTCTCGTTATGTTGACTAGCCTGATGTTCAAAGTAGAAACGAATAGGGTTATAATTATATTACAGTTTGATAGTAGAAACACGGTCCATGTGATAAAAGAAACATATAAATTTTATGTCAAATTTCTGGTTATTATTTTTAACAAAAATGAAACAAAATAAAATAAATATTTCAATATTTATTATTTTATACACTATAACCTTAAAATTTTAATTTCGAAATATAAAATACAACTACAACTTCCTTTTTTTTCGACACTTCCCGTTGAATACTAATACCTCGTAATAGAGACAATATTAATTACAGTCGTAATTCCCACATCAAAAAGAAATATGAAATACGTACGTATGTAAAAAATGAGATATATGAAATAAAAAGTTAAAACTGTTCAACAAATAGTTTAAATTGCAGCCAATTGCATCACATTTGACAATATTTTTATTAGTTAATTCGGTACTGATGTAATTTCTTCATTTAACTAAACGTTGGCATGATATTTCCTTACCAAATCCATACTAGTATAGTATGAATTTGGTCAGGAAATATCAAGAAGTTAGATATAGTTGATTACAGATTAGAATAGAAAGTTTCTTTTTTTATTTATTTCAACTCCACGAAACAGTGATTTCGAACGTCAAAATATGAAACCGATAGAGTTGCCAAGTAAAATCTATATATTTGGACCAAAACTTGGTATATTAAAAAACACTATTAAATAAAATAAAGTCTGGTTTATTTTCAAATTCAGGAATTATTATTTCACATTAAAGTTATTGAAACTAAATCACAATGAAATCGAATTAATAATGAATATATATATATATATTTTTAGGAATTTAAAAAAACAGTGGGCACATAAAAATGTGCCGCTGGGTGGTCCCGGCGTAATAATATAATGTCTGTATAAAAGATAAACGAAAAGGGATGCCAATTTGGAATTGTTGAAAATCGGTAAAAAATTGAGAGAATTTTCTTAAATTCTTTGAAACCGTAGAAAAATTGTATCATTTCACTACATCGATAGGATAAGTGTCATATCAGTAAAAATACTGGAAAATCGGTAGGTCCGAGATCATTGCAGTCAATCATATAATAATAAACTTAAGAACAAGGAATTACATAGAAGGAATGATAAAATAAAAACTGTAAATCATATGATTGCCTCCTTTCTTCATATGCGAATATAATGTACCGATAACGCGGGGTTACCATTCCATTATCATCCATTAAAAAATAGTAGTCGGGCGACATTAGTAGTCGGCTCACTATAATAGTCGGATGAATAAAATTAGTAATCCCATAAATTGAAAATTTTCGATTTCAATTAATTGAAATTGATCAATCCAAGTAATTTGTTCAGTCGAATAATTGGTAACTGCGGATTAGTAAGTCGCGCATGACTAATTTTGTATAACATAAATACTTTTCAACAAACTTCAAAACGAAGATTGTTCTCAATTCAGTTGATATTTTATGGTTTTTACCACAGAACGGCGAGAACAGGAATAATTTGAAATTCTATTAAAATTTTTTTCAAATAAATTTATCTGTATAGTAACATTTGATAATCAACATACAATTCGGGCTCTTTAAAATTTTGTTATGTATGTACCTAAGTCGTTCAGTTTACTTGATTTTTTTCCAAATGTGCACATTTTCTATACTGGGCTCTTGCCGTTGAAAGCACAATCTTTATTAATGTATTTAATCATGTGTGTGGTGCGTACAAGTTATAATTTGTATACCTACACACACACACACACACACACACACACACACACACACACACACACACACACACATTGCCGGCGTCCTGTAAGATTTTGTGTAGTTTCCATCGCTTTTTTTGCTGCATATTAATGATTTGCTGGCTATGATCGACATTTATTGATTTGCGGATGATAATACTGGGGATGCATATTACATGGGCCGTGCGAATAGCCTTCACTCTGTTGTGGAGATTAACGGCGAATAGCTTGTGTCTAAAATCGAGTACCTACTCTTATTAGAGTTTCTGATTGGGGACGATTAAACTTAATCCAGTTTAACCCATCTAAGAGGCAAGCCTGCAGGCTAAGCTATTGTGTGTTCTCCATTTTAGAACACATCTTTTATCATCTTCAAAAGTATTGGGATTCTGTATGTTGACATCTCTAGCACTGTAAAGTTCTGAGGTCATCTTGAAAATAGGATCAAGCTGGCGTTTAAAAAGCTCAGGTTATTCAATAGAACAAAACGGTATTTCATCCTGAGATAAAGACTATTATTGTATAAGTTGTAAGTCCGGCCCCTTATGGAGTATTGCTCACACCTATGGGCGGAGCTTCTGGACATGGCTTGGTCCTCTGGACTTTGTTCAAAGACGAGTTATGAAAATAGTCGACAATTCCATGCTAGCAGATGATATCGAACCCTTAAATCTATGTATATTCTAAATTTTCCTTCTTTCGCTTGTATAACAGATTGTGTTTTGAGTAATTGTTTAGAATGATGCTCACAGCCACCTTTTATCATCGCTCAACATCAATATGAAGTTCATCCTCACACGCTTGAATCTAAATGGTCATGTACAGTGCGGTTTTCAAGGAACTTTCTCCCGCGAGCGTTCAGGCTGTGGAATGAGCTCCCTCCGAAGGTTTTCACTAGAAATTACAGTATGGGGTTTTTCAAAAAGGATATATTAAGATTTTTTAGAATTAACAACACGCATGTGACACTTCTAGTGTTGCAGTAATCGTACAGTAATCGTTTACTATCACATGGGCTTTATGTATGTTTGCCACTTTCGTGGTATAAAAATAACAAGATTGGAGTAACTAGAAACGAAAAAAGGATTAATAAAAACATTAACTAGGATTGTTAGTTTTTTTTAAAGTAGGTTAGTTTAAATTTAAGAAAACAATAGGTCTGTACAAGGAAAAGTGCATTATTTTGCGATGACCATAGACAGAAACTATTAATAAAAAACTATTATATTAAAAAATAGTATTTTTTTTTTGTGTTTATTAAGTTGGCAACATAGTTACTGTGTCAGACACAACACGTCGTGTATTTCTCTAAGAATTGTTCCGTCATTTTGTTATATTTGTCTATTTTGTCGGTAATTTTATGTGATTATTCATAAAAAATGGCGAAGTTGGTCGATATATACAATAGCGAAAAAGAACCTGTGATCAAAAGGAGACAATTGCCGTTAATTATTTATGAAAATCTTACCGTAAGTGTTATTTTCTGTACTTTGACATTACCACAAACGCAGATTTAATCAGAAATGAAATTAATAAGTTACTAATATTCAAGTTAATAATTTTTACGTCTTGATGAAAGTTAGTAATATTTTTGATTTCAATTATAGCTGGTTGTAAAAAAAAAATTTTACTAGTTTTTATGGATTCTTGGATACTAGTGACGTTTTACAATTGACCTTATTTTTAATAATAAAATTTCTTTGTTGACGGTAAATTAAATTTATTTGCAGATGATTATGGATTTGAATACAGTTGGTTTAATCTGTGACAATTCACAAGTGAAAGGGCGAGAATACGAGGAGTTTTTGCGCAAATACAGAATCCTCACGACAGATGAACTCAAAGCGGCCCTTAGAGTTGATGCTTCCGATATATTCAACGTTTTAAATCAAAGCATTCCTTGTGTTGGCTGTCGAAGAAGGTATATGTTTTTTATATATGCATATTTGCGGTCAGATTAAGAAATGATTACCCTCAATATAAGTAAAGTGTGACAAGTTTTAGGGAGTTTTACTGAGATTTCCAGTGATAAATTTAGTTGCTGGAGACATATAATTATTTTAAATTTTAAATATGATTGACTTTCTTTTCTATTCGTACATTTTGCTAGGGATGAAAGCCTTCCCCTCATATCTCTCAATTGAGACATTAACCTCTTAAACTATTCGTTTTTCAACCACATGAGAATATTCTCTATATCTAAAATAACTTAATTTTTTTTAACACAACTTTCACTGGGGGAAAGGGATTATTAGTAATGGGGTCTTACAGCTCCATTGGTAGCAATATAATACCATATATATATATATATATATATATATATGTATATAGGCACTTGTACCTATCATGACACTCACCAGAAATTAACCATGATGGTTTTCTAGGTTAACCATGTGGGGGTTTATTTTTAATGAATGAAAATGAAGTAGTGACTGCCTGCACTATCAGTTTACATTGATTTGTTAACAGTGAGTGATGATAGATGAGGATGAAGTAGGTCAGTTAGTCTATTATGATGATTTCAACAATAATTAACTACAATGATTTCTTGGAACCGCATGAAAGTCAACCTAATAGTTATAGTAATAAGTGTCTAATAAACAAGTGTGTGTTGTTAATAGTGGGACAGTTGGACTCCATTAATAACAATCCTTTGTTCCTCACCATGTGTAGGTTTTTTTTAATAGGTGGTAATGGAATGGTAACCCTAACTACACTAACAGTATACATTGGCAGGGTATCAGTGAAAGATGATAGGTGAGAGTGAAAAGGTAGGTCAGTCAGCCCATTGTGATGAATACACCTGGAATTTAGCATGATAATTTCCAAGGAAGACCATGTGGAGGTCGACCTGACAAGGTATATTGCTAGCAATCAAATTGGTAATCTACATTACTAACAATTCCTTTTCCCTCGCCATGTGGATATCTACCTATCAGGTTATATTGCTAGTAATGGGGCTGCTAGTCCTTATTACTAATAATGCTTCCCCCACTGTGTAGTAGCTAGGTTAGAGTGTAAAATAATGCAATTTGATTTATACCTAGTCTTCATTCTGTGCAGACTAGAATGTAAAACAAAGGAATATTATAAAATTTATCTTTAAACATAATTTAAAATTTATTATATAATCTTGTATTTAAGTAATGTTTCTAAATAAATTTATTTCAACTTACAGTGTGGAACGTCTCTTTTACCAATTATGTAAGTCAGGACATCCTACTTTGGATCCCTTAGTTCTTATGCCAGATGAAATAATGACTATAAGAGAAGATAAAATTATACATCCACAATCTTTAGCTACATTATTAAATGGTCACAGGTAAGATATATTCTACAAAAATGTCCAAAATGTATAAATGGTAATAATTCGGTATGATTAATCATATTTATGTCTATAGAGTATAAAACAAGGTGGCTTCCCAACGTCTACACAGTTAGATCTTTTAAACTGCACAACAGATTTTAATGTGCTTTTCATCAGTAGATAGAATGATTCAAGAAGAATGTATATATTTAATATTAATATTCTAGTTTAATATTATTTGAAACAAATACAATTATTAAAATTGCATTTGTTTACTAACACCATTGAATTTTATGTTTTTATTATCTTTATATCCCATTAAAAGATGATCAATTTGCTTTGTTCACCTTCATGTTTGTGAATGTGAATAAAGAACTTTAGCATGAATAGTTTTTTTTTTCTAGATCAAAATTTGATTTTGCTTTGTTATTAAAACTTAGGCCAGTCATTGAAAACTTGTACCTTAGCTTGTAGAATATATATATAAATATATAAGTATATATATATATATATATATATATATATATATATATATATATATATATATATATATATATATATATATAATATATAAGTATATATATATACATTATTATTGAGTAATAGTACTATAAGATTAGATGAAATGGAGGTCAGGTACCTACCCCTTAAGGGATGTGAGTTAAAGATAGATAATTCTGGGTTTAATGCTACACTACAATAACGATGTTTTTCCATGGTACCTCTTCGGGGATTCCTCACGCTACACTACAAATAAATAATTCCAGCACGGGCATCGAGTGCCTAATAGAGAATCAACCGCGATGGAAGAAGTCTCAGCGGTGCACGCTGCACTCGCTGGAGGCGGGCACGGCGCGCGGCTGGGTGTCGTGCGGCGGCGCGGGTGGCGCGGGTGGCGCGGGCGGCGCGGGCGGCGCGTGCTGGGGCTGGGCGGCGTGGGGCTGGGCCGGCCGCGCCGCCTGGCGCGCCGCCTGGGACGCCATGCGTGCCTCCGCGCGCGACCACGTCACGCTCGTACACTTCAACACGCTCCACGACACCCTCACCAACTATCTCCGCAAACACCGTTTCTGTACCGACTGTAAAACTAAGGTATGATGAACACACGCATACATTTATTCGTAGTAATACGTTATGGTAACAGTAACAAGAAATCGAACCGACGTTTTGAATAGTTCCGACTTTTTTTTCTGTGCTAATTATTATTTTGGAAAGTGGTACTCGTCACCTATTGACAGCGAGCACTATAGACATCTCATAACTAAATATGATATTTATATAGCAGTACCCTTATGTTTCCTTTACTTAGTATTATGGTATAATGCTATTGTACCTTTGTTCATAACTAGTAAAGCTTATGATTGTCAATTGTACAGTCGATTTGAAATTTTGTTATACACAATATACTTGACATCTCTTTAAATAAAATTAATTTGAAATTAAATATTACAGGTGTTAAGAGCATATCATTTATTAGTAGATGAAAAAGAACCACAAAAAGAGAAAGGTTATGTTGGTGCACTGTATAGTGGTATCAAAAGGTGTCTGTTGGAAAAACATTTGCATCTCCAAGCCAAAACCAGTTACATAGAACGCCTTATAGAAAAAGCTGAGCCTGAGCTGCTTGGAAACCATCGGGAAAGACATGCAAAAACACTAGAAATTGCACAAGAAGAAGTAAGCATCTGTCTAACAGTTTTTGTTTGAATATCAATATTCATATTATTTTCTAGCCAGTTCCCATTTTTAACAACTCTATCTATCTGTATTAAAGATCAGATTCGCTGAGCATAGGTGTAATGACATATTTTAAAATTTCTTCTATAATTTATGTACACATCTGCTATTTAAAAAAAAATATATCAGTAATAAACTAAGAATTCATGCATATTATTGCATTATTTTTCCATCTTTGAGATAAGCGCGACAACGCTTGTCGTTGTCATAGCATTGTTGTGACGTCACATCTACGTAAACTGCATTGTGCGACAAAGAAAGTCAACAAGACGCCTATTCGCCAAGCACATTAAAACATTATTACATTTTAGGTATTGATATGCCTCGGAATTTGCATTTATGAGCGACTCCAACGGATTTCGCTACGACTGCGTGAAGAGGAAGGCACCTGTCAGACACTGGCGGCGGTTGCGGTCGAAGCTCTATATCGAAAGTTTGAGACTGCTGTTGAACACAAAAGTGGAGTATCGAAATTACAATTGCTTTATGAAGAAATAACCCAGGAAGAATTAACTAGGCAACAAAGGAAAGAACAGAAGAAACTCAAGCGACGTAAGAAGAAGGAGAGGCAAGCTGTCGAGAGTAAATGTAAGGTGAGGAATAAACAAAATAGAAATATTTTATCAGTATTTTTATTGTACTGATAATACAATTTGAGAATAAAGTGAATAATATAATAATGAAATATTACCAGAAAATATGACGCGGCAGGGTACGCTACAGTGCTCCCTATTTGGTTAACACCTTGAGTCGATAAGAATAAAAAATTAAAGAAATAGTAACGCTAACTAGAACTATCTAGGTAGATAATCTACACCAATTTGGAGAGTCAACTTTATTACTTTTTATTTCTTATTGCTGAACTATTAAAACAGTTTGAATGAAAATTGGCAAAAAGAAGTAATAATTTAATAATGTCAACATCCGTAGTTTTTGCTGGATGTATAATCCAACCATGGATGTTTGTGCTGAACCATAAACACTCACATTTTAGTCAACTGAGTAGGGTTTCTTATCTCACATTGATCTGACTATGAATCATTTCATATGCCTTTCAAGTTTTGATATAATCTATTACCGTTACTAATTTCAACATTAGAGCCACAGTGTAAAGTATCTTACTGTGATTCAAAGCGGCAGTCAATGATTTGGGTGGAATGGGCTAAGTACTGAACTCATGTTTGTTGATATTTCTTATTAAACCATAGTTATCTTCTCATTGTAAAATTCTTTATACTGTGGTATATTATATTTTGATGTTTTAATATTTCTCACAACATGTATTTGGGTAAATGTAATAGGAAGCAGATTCTGAGGAGCCAGAAGAAAAGTGCCAATGTGAAGAATGTTTGTTAGAAGAAAGAGACACACCAACCGATCTAGTTTCTCCACGCGATTACACTCAATGTTTTGAAGCCAGTGGTGATGCTTGTCAAACTTGTCAAGATGATTCAACAAAAAGACAGTCACCGAAAAAAACTGGCAAGAAACGCACAAAAAATGGTAATCTATCTCCTAACGAGCACTCGCAAGACTGTGGTTATTCTTCTGGAAACAATGGTGGTTGCTGTGAGACTATATCAGGTTCATCTTCCCTAATGAGCACTCCCGAGGGTTCAGAAGTGGCATGTTCCGATGGATGCTGTAACCATGAAAGAGGAGACTGTTTAGATATTGCCAAAAATGACAAGAATACATGTACTGGTTTTACACTTTCTCTACAAGAAATGTTAATGGTAAGTTTTATCTTTTTACCGTATTGTTTCCGACAACTGTTTCGACTTGTCTCGCACTGTGGGCCGCAAATCACAGCAGAGCTCGTTTAGATATCGGTGCGGGCAGGATTAGGGGCGGAAATAGCGGTGACAGCAGACGAAATTCAATTTCGTATGCTGACGATCAGACGAAAAGACAGTGAAAGAATTTTCTAAATCAGATCAATAGTACCAGAAATCATCCTAACATCCAAACTCGTAAATTTACCTCATTATAATATTAGTATATAAAATATAGATTCCTTGTAAAGATATTGAATACTGTATTGTCCATATCTACATGCGACAGATGGGACAATCATTAACTTCCTTGTCATCTTCAGTAATGTACATAAAACCAAATACATATTAGTTTTAATGAGTTGGAGTGGATCCATTTAATTTAGGCAATTATGTTAATCTCGTAAAAATTGTTGTGTTGAATTGTTAGGCCAGAAACAAGACATCAGGGACTCATTTATCTTGATAGGGATCAAAATATTAACCTATATCAGGGGATATAGGTTAATATTTGGATTATAGAAGCCACTGAAGCTACATGTTTTTCTGTCATCTTTATTTTATATAAAAAAAAAATATTTCAGGACACATGTTCATCGGATGAAGAACAAGATACTAGTTATATTCCTATAGAAGACGTATTGGAATTTAAATCACGTAGAAATATAACAGAGAAAAGACAGGAACTAAGACAGAACTTAAGACAAAAGTTCGCGCAGTTGTGTGTGAGTACTCCACTGCTGACTGCACAGCCCCAAGACAAGCAGGCTGCTTGAGTCCAGCCATCCCACCAGCCGGTCATCCTACCCTCACATGCAGCTGCTGTTGTCAAACATTCTGTCATTTTACTACAAAATGGCACAAATATATCTGCTTCATGGTCTATATGTAGATGTACAATGTCTTGTAATATGTGTGTCAATATTCACAAATTCTAAAATAGTAAGTCTCCTAATCTTCTGATAGGTAAAAAGACTGTTATTATAGTAGTTATTATGCTAATATAGACAAGAGGGGATTAATGGATGCCCCGTAACTTCAGACATTAGAATAATTATTTGCTTATATCCATTCATAGATACAATAAAAATTTAAAATCAGTAAAACTAAAATCATGAAAAATTTTATCACAAAGTATTTAATTTTTCTCATCTGTGGCATGATTCTAGTAAAAAATTATTAAACTAAATTTAGTAGTAACAAACCAAAGTTGAGAAATCCCAAACTTCATATTGAGTTGGTACTTGTCTATTCAATATGAAAACGATTTGATAACATTTTAGATGTTCAAGGATATCTCATGAAAACAAATGTTTTTAACAACCGAGTTGCTGTGATATTGTTTTTGTTATGCGAATCGTGCCATTGATCAATAAGTCAATGATATCACTGGTTTTATGTATGTAAAAATATCAAAACAGTAACATTTTATCCAGTACACACACACCCAATTCATATTACTTTTCTAATATAAAAGAATTTCTTCTAAAATAAAAGAATTTACACATGAAATCTACATTTTTTACATTCCACATTGATGACCAGAAATTGACATAATTAGTTTTGATGAATGTTCGAGATATTTTTAATTGGCGTTGCTTATAATATTAAACATAATATAAAACCATTGAGGCTGATTTATAAAACTACCAAGTATATACTAAGTATTTAATGATCATTGACGAAAGTGATAATATATGTACCTTCGTTACAATTATGATTTGAATAAGATGAAAAAATGTTCGATATTGATATTTATGAGTCTGAATTATTACAAGAGATTGTATTGACTTGCATATGGATTACAAACTTGATCGGTGAAGTCAATGGGAGTTTCATATATATTTTATTAAACGATATTATTTCTTCACTTATTGGTATTATTAAATTTTTTTCTTTAAATCATGTTAATGACCCGATACATAAAACTTTATATCAAGTGTAAGTTTGAGTTGTATCCACAATTTTAAAAATAAAAATCGACTGGACAAACCCAGCATTTAAAAATATATTTACTCTTAAATTGTTAGAGAGCTTAGTAATGAAATATGTAAAGTAGCATTTTTTGATCAAATTATTTTATTTTCAACGCTTTATGTGACTCAATATTATATGGTACATGATGAATTAATTATTGCTCGTTACAAAAAGCTTCAAAATGCATGAGGTTTGAAGTTACCTTGGCTATTTTGCCATTGTTATTGAAGTCAAAAAACCTTTGTAACTCAGTTTTAAAATATACTATTATAATACAGCGATCATTTGTTTCATTGTTTATCTTTTACTTTACAACCCTTTATTTACCCAATTTCGCCTTAGGTTATTTTAAAGTCTAGTCTGTTCTCATTGTTTCAATAAAATTTCATCAAATCTGATTAGCCATGAAATAGTTGTCAGGAATTTATTATTTTATTGACGACACTCATGCTTCCTTGTTGCAGTCATAATTCCATCCTCTAGTTGCCCCGAGGGTTTTACAGAAAATTTCTTACTAGTCTAGATTTTGGACTTTTTTTAAATTGATGATAATGGAATGGTAACCCCGCCTGCGCTAAGGGTATATTACTGACGAGGTACTATTAAGAAATGATAGGTGAGCATGAAAAGGCAGGTCAGTTAGTCCCATCGTGATGAATACACTTGAAATTCAACATGATTGTTTCCAGGAGGGACCACGTGAAGGTCGACCTGATCCCCTATATTGCTAGTAATGGGACTGGTAGTCTGCATTACTAACAATCCTTTTACCCTAGATTTTGTACTGAGAAATAGAGTTACAGATAATATACTAGGTAAGGCAGTGTGTATGTCATTTAAAGGGGCATACAAGTTCAGGGCAGGGGGGGGGGGGAAGTACTGTTTTTATATTTAGTGAATGATAATGAAATGCTAACTCCGCCTGCGCTAACGGTATACGCTGGCATAGTACCAGTGATGGATGATAGGTGAGAATGAAAGGACAGGTCAGTTAACCCATAGTGATGGATACACCTGGCGTCCAGCACGATGGTTTCTAGGGGGGACCACGAGGAGGTCGACCTGATAGGGTATATTGCTAGCAATGGGACTGGTAGTCCCCATTTCTAACAATCTGAAAGGCTGTTAGTAATACGGACTACCAATCCCATAGTTCAGGGCAAGTCTTAGCCTCATTTGTAACCCTGGGTGAGATTTTAACAGTCCCCCTGACGAAAATAAAAACGTTGCGACCTTTTACTCAGGTATTCCTGGTACATAAAAGAACATTAAGGATCTGCTATTCTGTTCAGTGTCTCTGGACACCGACTGACCATAATAGTACATTTGTTTCACTCTCTCCCCTTATGACCAGTACCCTGTAAGTTCAAAAGATATATAAAGCTTTATTAAATAAAGCTTTTGAACAGGAAAGGGAGCTTACAAGATGCCAACAATTCTTTAGTAACCTTGGAACTATCTACGCATAGAAGGTAAGTATAATAATCTGTGGCTAACAAATTGAAAGTAAACAAAATTTTGTATAATAATTTCTTATATTTGGTATATCTTAATTAGATTACAAGTTTTTCATTTTTCTTTATCTTCTACATATTTACAAACATTGTGCTGCAGAAAAGGAAGGCAACCAATCCCACATTACCAACAAATAAATATCTAAATTATCACTACAAATATACACTAATCAACTTATTTGTGCAATACATAGCGATGCATTTGTACCACCAAATCCAAAGGAGTTTTTCAAAGCAACTCTTTTTTCAGAGTTCCATTTTTTTGATTTAAGTATATAACATAAATCATCTACAGGTTCCTCTAAATTTAAAGTAGGTGGTAGTATCCCATGATAGCAAGCTAAGATAGTAAAGACTGCTTCCAAGTTACCAGCAGCACCTAATAAGTGGCCATGAGCACCTTTTGTGGATGAAATCTTTATCTTTGAGCTGTGTTCTTTAAATAAAGCTTTTATAGCTGTAGATTCAATTCCATCCCCAATGGGTGTTGATGTAGCATGAGCATTGATGTAGGTGATTTGTTCATTTTTAATGTTACTGTCTTTTATTGCCCTACTCATTGATAGAACTGCTCCACTGCCATCCTCTCTTGGAGTAGTTATATGAGAAGCATCTCCAGACAGTCCATAACCCAGAATTTCAGCATACATTTTGGCATTTCTCATCAGAGCATGTTCATATTCTTCTAAAATCAAAACAGCTGCTCCTTCTCCCATTACAAAACCATCTCTTTTCTTGTCAAATGGCCTTGATGATCTTGCTGGTTCATCATTAAATGATGTACTTAATGCTCTCAAACGACAAAAACCTGCTATAGCAAGAGGACTTATACAAGATTCTGCACCACCACACACCATAACATCAGCATCTCCATTTCTAATAAACCGGAATGCATCACCGATAGAGTGAGCACCAGTTGCACAAGCTGTGGAAACAGCATGATTTGGACCTCGGAAACCATACTTGATACTTATTTGTCCAGCAGCCATGTTGGGCAATATTCTTGGAACAAAAAATGGACTAACCTTATTGTATCCTAATTTTAATGCTTCATTAGTATCACAAACATCTTTAAGATCAATCATACCCATGCCTAGTGCTACACCGGTATTCTCTTTATCACCATCAGTATTAGGAAACCACTTTGCATCAGATAATGCTTCCGAGGTAGCTAATAAAGCTAAACACGTTGCAGGTGCCATAGATTTTAGGTTTGCTCTAGATAAAGCTTTAGCTACTTCACTGTCTTTTTGAGTTGGTATAACTCCAGCCACTCTGCATGGTAGTTTAGAATATTCCTCGCCTTCAAGAGAAACTATTCCACAATGCCCTTTTAAAAGATTGTCCCATGTCAATTTAGTTCCCGTTCCTAATGGGCAGACTACTCCTAATCCAGTAACAACTACTCGTCTTTTCGATGAAAGTTGACTATAACTTCTCACTTGGCAGGTTTGTTTACTATTCAATAATGATTTGATTAATCTCATTTTATATCCAAAAAAATAAGAAATATTAAAAAAATGTATTACTATATAAAAAGATTTGGGCCGCCAATATTATTTATATTGTCATACATAGATTTATATACATAAATAATTGCAGTTACCAGTGAAATTGTTTAAGTACTTGTAGGTATTATAATTATTTTACATCTACAAATATTTGAGTTTGAATATTTTTTTTTATTTTTGTAGGTTTATTTAAATTAATTTTTTTGGTTCTGTTTATCCCATACAAAAGGCAAAGGGCTCTACACATACAGCTCATCTCTACCATAATTATTTAATTTGAACTTTTCATATTTGACGTGATTGACATTGATCACAAATGATAGTGGTACAGATTGCAAATGGAATTGTTTGGAAGAGACGTACATTTAACATTAAGCATTTGGAGTGCAATCGTCCTGTATAAAACGATTTTTGCTAAAAACCCTATCTGCATTAATGATGATAATAGATTTTCTATTTTAGGTTGTTATCTGTTTTGGAGTACTCTCAACTGTTTATACGTCTGAAGTGGATGTGTTCTAATGTCAATGTCAAAATGACAAACCACGTACCTATATCAAATAAATGTAAATAATAATACTTCATCGAGATCGTTGTTTGTTTCTAATTTTACTTTTCACTTCATTTTTGTTTAATTAATCAATGAAACAAGCAAATAAATTATAATAAACTAGACTTCATTTATATATATATCTGTTTATAAAAATACAAATTTATTTTTTATATTTGAACGCTCGAATCTAAAACAGTACGAGATAGAAACAAGTGTATAAAATAAAATTTAGGTATAATTTATAAAACAAATAAAGAAAGCATTAAGTACCTAACTATGGTAAAGATTATTCCTCTTGCTCTAAGTAAACTAATTATTCCAATTCTATTAGTTATATTGTGTATTAAATATCGCGACCGATTTGAATTATTTTTCTATAACTTCTTTAAAACTGATGTTAGAGATAGTAATTTGTATTCAGTTGAACAATTAGCACTAAACAATGGCATCGATGGAAATAAAATTTATTTATCAATATTAGGGTTTGTTTTTGATGTCACTTCAGGCACAAAACATTATGGAAAAGGCGGCCCATATCACTATTTTGCAGGTAAAATGCATTTTATATTCTGCCTATTATTGTTCTTATATTATTTCGTTTGTATTGTCTATTTTGTATTTCTGAAGAATAGGCAGCTCTATGTAAATTAGTAATAATGTTCTACGTTTAAAACTAATGTTTATTTTTTTTTTTAATTTACTAGGAAAAGATGGTTCAAGAGCATTTGTTACTGGAGACTTCCAGGATGAGAGTTCAAATAAAGATCATATATTAGATTTAACTTGTAATGATTTGTTTACTTTATTGAACTGGAAAGACACATTAAGAGAAAAATATAATGAAGTGGGTGAGTTATGTTAAGTATAATTTAATTTGTGTTCCATCATTCAGTAATTTTTTCTCCATCATCATTTAGATTTCCCAGCTAGGCCCGAATTAAATATTTTGGGGGACCCTTGCACATCTCACTCTGATATAATCTATTATTAAATATATACTATAATAAATATAAACTAAATTTAATATGTTAGTTTTCTACTTAATAATAATTAAGTAGAAAACTAACATATTAAACAATACATTATTGCTGCTGTAAGCATGAGATAGACAATACTTTGTATCTTGTTTTTTTTTTAAGTGCATAATGATTAAATAAATTTACAGTTACTTGTCTCTATGCATGTCAGGAATTTATTTTAATTTATATGAATGTTAGTTTCTGTAGGGAGCACACAGGAAGAATGAAGTACGAACATTTTCTATAATATTATATATCCTTGGATGCATTTTAATTTTGGGAACTTCTGTTTCTAATAGCAAAGTCTAAAGTCAATCTTGGTATGTGGATCAATGACAGCATTATTGCTGAAATGAACCACAGGTACTAAAATTCAAATAAGCATTGCACAAATAGAAGTTCTGTATGGGTATTAGTATACTTGTATATTTTAATTAAGTTTTTGGTTTTTAGAAATTTATTGTTTGCCATTCCAAACTTAATACTGAAACTTGATAGTAAGTATTTATAGAGTTTCGTATTTCCAAGGATTCTTTTTATTGCTAAAGTTTATGTCTGCAATACTGTCTCAAACTGGCTATTTGGTAGATAAGAATTTCACTTTTATAAATGAATTTACAGGTAAACTAGTTGGTAGATACTATGATATGAATGGAAAAGAAACAGAATATATGAAAATGTTCTATGAGAGAATAGAACAGTGTAAAGTGGAGAAGGATTTAGCTAAAAAGGAAGAATTAAAGTTTCCACCATGTAATATTGAATGGAATGCAGATACAGGAACCAGAGTCTGGTGTACTAAAACAAGGTATATATATATATATAACAATCTGATCTTTGAGATTAATTGATAATAAATTTTAATACAAGTTTTGCTATGAGATAAATATTTTTAAATTGCTATAACTACTAATTAGAGTTTATTTAATAAATATTTTACTTTTATTATAAAATCATATACATTTAATATGTGCTACTCATTGATCCTAGCTTGAGGATTGTTTTTGGTATGCTTGATCGGTTGCTTTGTGTTTTGAGGAATAAGACAATGATTGTTTGAGGACACAATCCAGGCACCCACACCTAAGCCATTTCAAAAAAGTTTGTTCTGCCCAACTGGCAATCAAAACCAGAATCTCATTTAAGCAAAACAACATGCCCACCACTGCACCAATGATTGTTGTAAATAAATAATTGTCTAAGTACATTAAATGATGAATACTATGATTCTCTGTTAGATAACTATTATTAGAGAGTAATAATAATAATGATAATTATTATAGTGAATAGTTTAAAATTATAAAAATGCAGTAAAATTTCCTATACAACACAGCAATACACTTTACAATACTGTTTATATATATATTAATGTTTAATATATTTTAATTAAATCTTAAAACTTTTTCAGTGGGGGAGTAAAAAGAAATTGGATTGGAGTGCCCCGTCTGCTTTATACACCAGGTGAAGAAACTCCTCGCTGCACATGTGTGAATCTTGAAAATATTGATAATTCTGTAACTTTGTTTAAGGAATATGACAATTGTGCTGTTACTTCTACTTCATGTTTTGTAAAAAGCAAATAAATTGTTATTATATGTAGAATATAAGCAAATGTGATATAAAAAGACAATCATTGAATAATGAATCTCAAGTATTAAATACAATTTTAAGGTTTCAAACCAACAAAAGAGCTCACATCTATTTTTTGTTAACAATTCACGTTTTATTTATATAAAAGATTATATATGTACAAAATACATAACTTTCCAGCACTAGATTACCCTACCCGCTAATCATTTTCTTGCTTATTGCATTAGGTTGACTGGAAGAGATAGATTATAGATAGATTTCAGAGATAACTCCATCCCTGTTAACAAGTTGTTGAACGAATAGCTATATTTTTGCTTTTTACAAATGCACATATAGATTTACATTTTATCAAGATAGATAAAGAATAATATATTTCCATGACCCACATACGTATCACATATATATTATTTAGAGATGCGTTGTAAGAGATAAATTGAAGTATTTGGTGTGTATTGTTTGTCTACTAGTATTAGACAGGTGCAATGTACTCATATGTGTGCAAATTATTATATTCTTTCAATGCAATTCCATCCAGCCATCTATCTATAATAGCGCTAAGTTTATCATACTAACTAAAGTAACATATAAAATCTCGTATCACGATGTTTGTTCACGGTAATATCTGAAATAGTTTAACCGATTTTAATGAAGTTTTGTAAATATAAGGGGTCCAATAGATGGCGGTAAGGAACAAAAAAATTTGCCAGGTCAGTATGTAGGTACTTGATGAATTTTCCCTCTGGAACCCTCGTTATATGAGTCCAACTTTCACTTGACTACTTTTATTTTGTAAGGAGTTATCAGATATAAGTACTTAGTTCTTTTTATGAAAAAATAAGAACTAATTAATTTGCATCATGTTATGAATATTAAGAATGATTTAGTATTATTATTTAGGTATTTATTAGTTGTATCTACTTAATAAAAATTTAATATAAAATAACCGTGTGTTATTTTTACTATAGTATTTATAAACTTTACAAATTTACTGGTTAAGTTCCTATATTCTCTTCAAATATATGCAATAAATTTGTATCGTTAAACATACAGACTTGTAATTACAATTTTATTATAAGATCAGTGATTAGTTATTGGTGACTTTATTTGTATACAATTACAGCTTATAAACACATGATCATTATAAAACCTTTAACATTGGTGTTACTAATAAACAAATATCAGTTTCGTTGTACAATAGTTATAACAACTGTACAAGTGCTATGAAAAAGTGCACATTTGTAATACATCTGTTATATAGGCTCTTTGCCTATATAACAGATGTATTAGACTACTTTGTTTAGAAGTTGTATAACCGAAATATTCATGGGTTAAAATTTTAACAACTTTCAACAATAAAGGTACATTCAGTGCTTTTATAATTGAAAGAACTTCAGACAGTGTAGTCTAATGTATTATGAATTTAAATAATGAATTATTTACAATATTTTGACTTATTTAATGAATTGGATGTCGAAGAACCACTAAGAAAGAACAAGGATCCTTTTTTTATACCAACCATTACCATAATAAGAATTTAATAACAAACATCGAATCAGTAAAACATGCCTACCAAATTATGAATTTAATAAAATTCTCTGTAGGCAATTTGTATGTAGGACTTCAAGTTTGCATCACTCTGATTTACACTGATCACAATTAAATGTAGTTGTGTATTTTTATGTCCAAGAATTTAGAAGAGGAAGATGTTTGGATTTTATAATATTTGCATTATCTATAATGTCACAGGAGCTATTGTTTGTACACATACAAAAAAAGTTTGCAATGAATGAGCTTAATTTTACATTAATAGGAAAGGGTATCCATTCAGTACTTTATAAAAGCATAAGTTAAAATAACAAATATTGCCTTAAGACCCTTAAGGTATCTTAATTTCTTAAATATCATTCAGCCCTTATTCTATGATAAGGAAGGGTACAAACAAAAAAACTGTAATTTGTGTAAGACCAATAGTTGAAATGTCTTTTGTACCAAAAAGTCCCATTATAAAATGTACACCTACCCAACATAACAAAAAAATGTTTAATATAATACATCAGTAACTCAAAGTTGAGTGAAGTATTTCTAAGAATATGACATCCCTTACACTCAGGATTCATCTATATTTAATATTACAGACAATTTATCCATATGAAAAGCCAATAACAGGTTTTCAATTACTTAGGAATATAATTTTTTTGTGGCAGGTGTAATTAAAAAACAAAATAAAAAAGCGATTAAACATGTATTAATCATACAATGATTATTATTACATGAACACTGTTCACACAGCTTTATCATTACTTATTATTTTTGTTTCAGTTTGTACTGCTTCATCTAGCTCTAAACATTCTATAGTTTTCAAAAATACTTGCATAGGTATTTTCTTTCTATTCAAAAAAGTTTTGTTACCAAGCAATTTTTTAATTTTGGCCCTGCGTTTTCTTATTTTATCTTTTGTATACTGGTTCCCTAGCTGGAATGTTAACAGTCGTTTCACCTTCCTGCCTCCAATTAATGTCTCATTATTACTATTATCAGTCTTAGGTTCTTCATAAATAGTTTCTAGAGTTTGTGATAAGGCTTTCACTTTCTTGTTTAGGTATACTGCTTCAATTCGTTTAGGATTCGTAATTTCTGTCATGTGTTTTCGGGGTTTCATATTCACCCTACGATTAGTCGGTTTAGTTATTTCGGGCGCCAAAGACTTCCTCTTTCTCAAGACTCGTGGTAATTCTAGTGTCTCAAGCTTTTTTGGCGAAGAGTCCGAGTCGGATTCATCAACTTCCATGATGTCTAAATTTGCCATTTTATTTGGCAATTCTACATCAAGTCTAGAACAGAAGTTAAAACTTAGTTTATACTAAGCACATGAATAGTTTTAAATAAAAGAAAAAACTTACTTGTACGAGTCCATAATTTATAAATAATATTAAGTCATTTACGAGAAGTTACTTGTAATTTGAGTAATTAATAGGAATTGGTGAAAAGGTGTCCAATCCTTGGGATGCATTGGCTACTGTGATAAAATAGTCTACATCAACTAATTATACCCACCAGTTTAAATTCAAAAAGACTAAAAAAAACAGGTAGTTCGAAAGCAATGATAGCCGTTCCAATTGACAGGATTACAAGATAGAATTGACAGTACAGATTGAAGAGACTACGTCTAAAAACCTTAAATTATAAAGTGTAATGTAAATTGGCAATGTAAAAAGAGAAAATATAATTCTGAATAACGTATATGTTACAACGAGATAGACAATAGGACAAAAATTTGCACAATCTCGGTTTTATGAACAAAATAATTTCTAATTAATTTTCGAATGAATGAATGATTGAATTCTTTATTGTGCTAATTGTGATAATTACAGGTTGCTAGGCAGTCTACTCGTTATGAGCGTACAATATTAACATTACAAAAAAATTACAATATACAATTACATTACAAAAAAAAAACAAAATAAAAAAAAAATTGTTTATTGTAAATAAACATTTTTTTTATGATTCATTATTAAAATATTCTTTCAGATTATAAAATCATTTTTTCAATAAGCCACTCTTTTAATGTTTTGTCAAATTGTTAATTTTCCAAGCTTTTAATATATATAAGTAGGTGATTGTATACTCGTATGGCCACGTAATACGCACTTCTATTACATATATAAGATTTGGTTAAGGGTCAAAATAAACCTTTTCACAACCTTAATTTCGATTTTGAACCAGTCCTTTAGGAGTGAAGTATTCTATGTTGTTGCGTTCAAATATGCACAAGTTTAAGATATATATACTACACAGAGCAAGAAACTTATTCTTTCTAAGAATTGGCATATCCATAGAATGTTGTTTTATATTAAAGATAATGCGGACATCTTTTTTGCAAGATAAATGCAGAGCCAATGTTAACTGAATTTCCCCAAATGAATACTATAATTTAAGAGAGGATACACCATACCAAAATAAACAATCAACAGAGTTTCTCGAGAAACTGATCGGGCTAATATTAAAAGAACATATTATATACTAGATAATTTAGAATTTATATCATTAATGTGATTTTTCCAGTGTAATTGTGGATCTATGTTTAAACCAAGAAATTTGTAGCTCTTTACTTTTCCTATTTCTGTGGCGTCACAATATTTTTTTAATGTAGGAGGAGTAGTTTAGTGAGTATGGAATTGCATTACTTTTGTTTTAGTTAGCTTTACGTCCAGATTTATTGATTTTAACCAGTTCTTTTTTATTTTACATAGCAGCAATAAAATACTTAAATGTGATGTTAATAAGGGTAAATCATTTACACAAATTAAGAAGAGCAAGGTACTTAATATACGGCTCTGGAGAATTACTCTATTTCTTAATTTAAAATTCGATTGAAGGCTAATCATTGTGCTGTTTGATTTATCAAAATAACTAATTTCTGTTGTCTCAGCTCTATTTGTGAAATATGATTTCAACCATTTGAATGCATTCCTGTATTTCGAAGTGATTAAGATTCTCCAACAAGATACTATGATTTATGCAATCAAAGGCTAGACATATCCACAAATAGATCAACCGCGGGTGAATTTATATTAAATGAGTCCCACAGATTACGAATCATCGTAATTAGACCCATTGTAGTAGATCGTCCTTTTCTAAATCCGAATTGATTATCACTAAGGACTTTAAATTTAGTCAAGAATTTTACTGTTCATACAATGCCTTTTCTAATATTTTTGAGAATACTAACAAGAGAGCTATAGGTCCATAATTAGTCATATCAGATGTTACACCTTTTTTGTGCAGTGGTTTAATGATAGCTTCCTTTAAGGCTTCTGGAACTTTTCCTTATTTATTGACAAATTAATTAAGTATGTTAATGGCTTATTTTTTTTTATACAACTTAATAATATACTGTTTCGCCCATGATACTCTCCATGCGTTGCCATTCCTGAGGACTCAGGTGTTATTCCTCTGTACAATAAGATAATCTCTGTCGTTTTTTACAACATGCGTTGAAATACCGACATGCCCACAACTATTTTTCTTCTTTAAGTTTATAATTAATTTACGTAGTTCATCTTCCGTTACAGGGTCCAGAGATATGTTATTAATAGTAGAATCTGATAAAGTTACGCCAGTGGATGAATTATTATTTCAGTAATAAAAAATGTATTGTTAATCTTTAATATTTATGTTGTTTATTAGAATATCACCCACATCAGTATATCGTTTAGTTCCACCTTTAGTAACACTTCATATACATTCCAAGTAGTTTTCGTTATATTGCTTATTATATTTATTGATATAAATAATTCTAAAAATAGAAATAACTTTTTAATATTTTTTTATAATGCGCCAGATTTGTTATAATACCGGAAATCTCGATCGAACTGAACTTTTGAAAATTTCTTTTGAACTTTTGAAACCCATCTACTAGAACAAATTAGAGCGTCGCCGTATTTTGCTATCATAATGGATATGGCACAAGACATATCGAAGGTGGATCAAATATTTAAAATTGAGATTTTCAATAATGTACTAGACACGGTAATATCTCAATTAGATACATGTTTTATTGGTGTGAGTGCAGTTTGTCATATATTCGATTTTCTAACAGCAACATTTTTATTACATGTTGATGAAGCAAATTTATTACAAAAGTGTGACGAATTCCAAAGAAAATATTCAGATATAATAGGCCCTAGTTTTTCACTTCAATTTATTAATATTAACCACCTTTTTTTTTTGTTTTACGTCAGGAAAAATGCATCATGCAGACCCACACAGCTTAGGGACCGTGTGGGTACTGCTGGACTCCTACCGGCTAAATAACCTGACGATATATCTCCCAACTCATAATAGCGACGATGCCGCGGGTTCCCGCGGGAATTCATCATGATGGGCTAACTGGCCTGTTTTCATTCTCATCTATCATCCTTCACTGGTTCTCCGCCAGCGTAGGCGGAATTACCATTCCATTTTCATGGAGACAGGTGAAAAGCGTACCTACATTATGACGACATTGTCATTTTAAAGGGCCAAGAGCGGAAATTTCAGCCATGTTTTAAAATATATCGATGGGTACATATGCACCTTTTTTAATACTCTCCCTTCCTCGAAAAATAATCTTAAATTCACTAAAGGTTGCATTCTCCAAGTAATTGAGTGTCACTTCTACCAGCTTTATCATCTGCCTCTAAAAGTTACTAACTTTTTAAAATCTTACGTTAGGAGTGATATAAAGATAAATGAAACAACTGTCGTTTTATAACGATTTATTGTACAAAACAATAATACATTAAAATGTACAGGTATGTTTAAATTTTTGGACTCAATTGCGTCCCAAACACTGGACAAAATGTACCCTCCTTTATAGACACCATATTGCTCGTCGAGGCGTCAGCACTAATAGATACAGACTTGGCTCTAGATAAGCAAACTAGATTGAAGAGAATAAAAATAACAATAAATTAATAAAATGTGCTGTCAACTTAAGTACACAACGTCTATCGCACTGCTTATGTCGACGGGCACCATGTAGTCTTTAATTAGAACAACGTAATTAACAATGATTAAACCTCCTAAGCATACTGTAATATATACACATTATGAACAACGTCCTCTCTGGTGAACTAGCGCAGTGAGCAAGTGACGGGGCCTGGCCCGTCCCCGCCCGCCGCCGCCGCGCCGACCGCCCCGCCCCCTCGCGTCTGCTGATCCGCTCCGCATTTGCTGGCCGTTGCACTGGCATCGCTCTGACCTAGTCCTAGCCTTACGCGATCACACGCGACGCGACTTGACTTTAGCACATAGATAAGCCAATGGTTACTACGTCGAGAGACGAGAGCGGTAGAAGTAGCAGAGAGAAGCGGGTGAGGAACTATGATTCGGTGGCGTTTACCACTTGTCAACGACCACCTCGTTCACTGCAAAACAACGAGAGCGTTAGTGTTGTGTGCGCTCGAGCAGGGGCCACAGACGAACTTACGAGGTTTTAGGCAGAGATCACAACCGTGTCGTAGTTACTTAAATGTGTAGTTTCACTGCGGGATCACAACAAACAATGAGTGTTCATGGAATATGTGCGTGCAGTGGCGCTGCGACGGTGTCTCGGCGTCACGTCTTACAGGTTCCACGTCGGCTTGGCTGGGGGCAGACAACACCACGTTAGTGCATGCAGGAGGGGTGGGTGTGGGTGCATGGCCACAGGGCTGTTCCTGCCGTGGCAAGGATAATGACACGATAACAAAGTTTTGCAAATAGTTTCCAATTCACATAGGGAAAGTAATTGTACACAACATTTGTAAATATAAGAAAAAATTTTTGGTTCCATCAATTTTTTAAGATTAATAAAATGTCTGTATAATAACACAGCAATTTTTAAAGCTTGCAAAACTTTAAAACAGTAGGTTAGCAGGAACATTCAAAACAGATTATATTATGTAACTTAGACTCGTTCTGAAGGTCTGTATGCAAAACGTGAGGGGACTCATTATTCATAAGTGCAATTACCATTGTAGTGCTTCAAAACAGGATTATAAAACGTTGTAAGGAAGAAGAAAACCGGGCATTATTCTCGACATTTTTAATTAATGTAAAATATGTATAAACAACTGTACATTAAAATAAGTTATTTCATAATCATAACAGTTGAAGGTAGGTAGGTAGTTTGGGACAATCAAGTGAAAATTTGAGCATGCCCTTATTGTGCAGTGTAGAGTGTTGGCAACTGATGACGGAGGTCTCTTTTATCTCTGTATTTTACTTTTCAAGTTACAAGTTTAAATATTAAAAAATAAATATATCATCAAACCACACCAAACTGCACTCAAATCGCAAGCATGCACAATATTCATGCAAGAGTTGATTTATAATTAATTATTTATGTACGTACGGACTTGGAGATATCCATAATAAAACATGGACAAATTTTAATTCAGTTCTAATTAAATATCAAACTTAAAAGTAGTATTATGTCGCTAATTGATATTTCGATGTTTTAAAATTCGAAAATTATAAACTTAATTAACATAAATTCTTTTAACAATCGTTTAGAAAAATGCATTGAATATATTTATTGTTCGTACATACATTAACTATATTGCTTCATTTCACTATTAATTTGCAATAACTCTTCACAGTTGTAAACATTTAAATATAGAGTTCATATACACATATAAATGAATATGTATGTACGCAAAGTGGAATTAATTTTGTGTACAGCGAGTAATTACAAATTATAACATTGTTAATGTAGCACAAAAGAATATATTTGTTGTTAATGTCAGGTTAGGTAGGTACTAGCAGCAAAATGATATTTGCAGACAAATTCAAATACACAGTTAAAGAAATAGAAATGCATCAAGGAATGTTAAAAAGCAACCACAGGTGAAAGGACAGAAGAGAATTATTCCTTTCAGTAATTGTCGAGCAAAATAATCTTAACCACGTCCCTATCTATACACTTACAATAAATTACTCTAAGCTAACAATGCACATCTTTAGTCATAGAAAAGTTCAGGTTTAATTGTCTGCCGTCCATTTGGACAAGGTACTGAGCTGTGTGCGAGTTCAATACACTAAATTTGCTAACCAGAGCTAATTATTTGTATTATTATAACAAATTCGTTATAAGGAGAAAAAAAAAAAAAAAAAACTAAACTAAAACAATATAGGTAGCAATACCTTTTTAAAGAAATGATTTAAACCAATTTTTGGTGTTCCTTGTTAGCATTTACAATGAAGATCCTCACAGCCACTTCATTTCTAGTAAATATAGATAGAGTACAGAGTAAAAAAAGGTATGAGATAAACTAAAATTGTTGAACCTCAGTACAATTGGTTTTGTAAATGAGCTCCAAACAATTATTGTCTCGCACATATAAAATGCAAAATCACACGAGTAGGCCCCGGAGCGCGTCGCCGTGGCCTAGTTTCGTATAGATCTATTCCTAAGAAATACAGAAAACACTACATATCTGTAGCAAGTACGCTTCTCATAGAACGGCCACAGTAGAGCGCGACCGTAGCAGGGAACGCATTTGAGATGTTAGCACCGCCATAGTTCAATGAGCATCTGGATTCACGGATCACTGTTCGTCACAGTCACTAGCGGCGTCTCGCTGTCCGACACCGGGTGGGTGCACTCGTGCACTAGAGGGCGTCACTTCACACACGCTGTGCGGCAGGATTAGCATTCCAAAACTGTTTGTTAGATTGATGTACTGTGGTGAGCTGAGCTCATCGTCCATATATTTCCACAGTTGAATTTAATGCGCTACCTACATTGAACCGAGCGAGGAATACATTACAATAAACAGAAAAATAGTTTAACTACAGAGTGTAGATTATGTAGGCAGCGCACAATTCGGTTGGAGGGTATTAGGTGTGAATCAAACGGGGTGGTGGCACGGCACAGGGCGGGCCGGCTTATAGGGGTCCGTAGATGATGATGCCAAAGAAGACGGCCCACATGAGCACAATCCATTGCATGCCGTGGAGCCAGTCTAGCAGAGAGCGCGTCTCACCGTCGGAGATCTTGCGCGCGACGAACTTGAGCACCTCGTCGAGCAATACCACAGGGATAGAGAACTTCATCACAGTTACCCATTCGTCAATAGACAGCGGTGTCACTTGGAATACGGCCTGCGGAAATATCGTCAAGAGGCATATTCATTATTTATATACTATAAAAAATAGTAAAGATCAAAATGTCGGTTCATTCGGGTTTAAAAAAAAAATTGTAAATATTATTAGATATTAGAAATAAACAATGGAATTAAAATCAACTATTCAATTTTATAAATTAATACTAATAACATTTGGTTACTGATTATTTGCTTCATCAGAATCTGTAGAGGGAATACAAAGTGTAGATGAAAATTCGTAGTAAAACCCTATTATGAGTTGTTTATGTAGAATGGTAATAGTAGGCTAAAATATCCTCTTTATATGAGGAGAAATTCATGACAGTATATTAAATTTTTGTTTAAATTTTTAATTTTGCTATAAGGCAACAGTTTTCTCAGGCCATGTTAATTTAATATAAAACTGTCACTTGTTTACAAATAAATGGGTACTGTTAATTTTAACTAAAACAAGAACAAGAGCAATTAATATACAGTTTTTAAGGCATGCAATCACTTACCGAGAGGACCTCGACATACAGAATGACAAAGTGGAGTGTGAATGAGAGGGCCATGGAGCCGACAAGCCAAATGTTGGACCAAGGTGGCATGACCAGCATTGACTGGTTTTCAGACAAGCTGTTCAAGGCATTCAACATCTCAATGGTGACCAGTACGGACAGGGCCATGGTCATAGGGTGAGGGTCAGTGAAGATCTTGCAGTCGATGCCCTGTAAAAAGTTAAATTGCAACAATTAATTAAAATTGTATTAGTAACATTTTATACTCATATTAGCACTTGTAGAATCTATATACCTAGGTGATCAGTAAAAATGTTGTTTCTTACTGCCACATACTGGCTTTTTTTTTCACTTATAGGGATAAAAATTATTTCATTAAAATCAGTTGAGAGGTTAGGGATTTTTATATATGAAAAAAAAAGTAAAAGAATATGAAAGTAACTGCTTGGATTTCATAGTAAAACCGATTTTGTTGTTATGCTTTATGGGGTAGTATGGGGCCTTTGAACCTTGAAGAAAATTTTGTATACAAATCTGCATCTTTGTTACACTTATGCCAGTATCTTTATCAACTAAACCACTGTTTTTTCTGTTCCAAAGTTATCAATCATTAGATATAACAAAGATTATGTGACTGTAAAACAAAAGTAAAGCATTGTATACCTTGAACTCATCGCCTCCGCTAAGACACTGCAGGTGGTGTGTGAGCTGCCAGTACGACATCTGAGGGCCGTAGGGAGAGTACATGAACCACCAGGAGGCGGCTCCCACTGTCGCCGCGCCTACGTATCCACCGATAGCCATATACCTGACAAATAACAATACTTCATATAGTAACTATATGCCACTCACTACAATATAATAACGTTAGGAGGGAGGGGGGAGGGGGAGGGGAGGGATTATCAGTAATATACTATATCAACCTACATGCGATTCCCCCTGGAAACCATCATAGTTAATTTCTGATGAATTCGTAACAATGGGCTTATAGGCCTGTTTACATCTTCACCTATCATCCTTCACTGGACATGGTTTGGTCTAGGATATGGTCAAAATTTGTTTCATTTAGCCATTGAAATATCTGAGTAAGAAATACTTAACGTCTGTACAAACTAATAATCTTAGTATTGCATAAATGTTTTCTATTCTATATAATCATAGAATACTTCATAACGATTTAGGAGTAGATTCTTATGCCGGGAAAACTGTGTAGCAAACGGTTTAAATGTCTTCGCAACAGATTGTAGTTTCATTTCCGGTATTATCGTTAATTGTGCAATACATTTTCGTGTGTTGGGAGAAATATTAAAAAGTACGTATTGACAGATTTCGTGGAAATTGTTACATTCCAAATATATTGTAGTCTATAGCATGTGAATTTACAAATTAATTGCTTTCTTAATTTCAATAATAGATAAAATAATATTATAGGTAGCGTGCGTTTACTATCTTATTGACCAAATTTCAAAGCAGTATAAATCGTGAATATATTGATTTAACTGATTAGTTAAGGATAGGAATCAATTATGTTGTTCAAGTTTATAATTTTACCTGAAGAACAACCATCCGGAGATGAGACCTTCGTCAGCCTTGCGGGGAGGTTTGTCCATGATGTCAAGATCGGGCGGGTTGAAGCCGAGGGCGGTGGCGGGCAGACCATCAGTGACCAAGTTGACCCACAGAAGTTGGACAGGAATAAGAGCCTCGGGGAGACCCAGAGCGGCGGTCAAGAAGATGGACACCACCTCACCAATGTTGGATGAGATCAAGTAGCGAATGAATTGCTTCATGTTGTTGTAGATAGCACGACCTGGTAACAATAAAATGTGTTATACAAACAAAAATTGATTTAAATTGAATCAAAACCCGTTATTTTGATTTCAAAACCAAATTAATAAACCAATTTTGATAAAACTTCTATGGGACTAATCTGTAAGTCTTGTTCCTTTCAGGTAAAACAGAAATTTCCAATTGGTTCACAACAGATAAAGTTATAAGGTAAAAAAAAAATTCAACTAAATTGAGATCTCTTCTACTTTTTGAAGTCGATTGATGATAGTATATCAAAGAGCAGGGCTTTTATTTAAGAGGTTAACAAGAGGATCTGAATAATTCTTGTGCTTATTATTCTTCATCAGCTTCACTTCTGCTTATTGTTGAGACATTTTTAAATAGCTTTTACAATAGTACACGTTCTAAAGGAAGGAGGATTTTGAGGAAGCTGGTCTCGATGTTAGATGACGAGTGAAGGCCTGTCCAGCCGCCATTATCATTTATAATTAGATTAGCAGTATGGCAGCACATGCTTTCAATATACACGGGGGTTTACCGCAAAGATTACCCATATCAGTAATTTTCGAGAGCACCAACATCAAATCCATAAATAGTTAACATGGTTGGAAACAGATGGCTCATTTTACTTTTGCATGACTGGATAAGGTTGTAATAATACTAAATCGTAAAGGTTGATTAATAAAAAAATGTTACCATATACCGTACAAAAGTATGTAAATAATAATTACAAACCTTCTTCAACAGCAGCGACAATGGATGAGAAGTTGTCGTCAGCGAGAACCATTTCAGCGGCAGACTTAGCCACGGCGGTACCAGAGCCCATAGCGATACCGATTTCGGCCTTCTTGAGAGCAGGGGCATCATTCACACCGTCACCAGTCTGTAAAATCATGCCACGGTATAATTATCATATACTATTGAGATTGTGGTTATTGGCCGCCAACGATAACTTCGTCTTCCATCGTTTATAAACATAACAGAACTAACGTAAACATCGAAGCACTGCCAGTAGTACAAAATGTAAACACCAAATAATATAGTCGAGTAACGCTTTAGTAAATTATGAAGATATTGTTTGCAAAGCAATAAATATTGCGTTACATATTTGGTTCATGTACATTATGATTTTTCCAATACTGTGTTTAAATTATAAAGGTGTTGTACTTAAATATTTTTTATGTGTTAGTTAATGCGTTAGATACATCTATATTTATAAGATATATTTCAAACAAAACCTATTTCTGGTGTATCCTTTTGTTTAAAATGGTTTATTTATAATACAGAATACTCTTCTACATATTCATATTATATAAAAGGGTTGTGACCTAGTTTTATGTGCCCATCTTAAAAAACTTTAGTAGCCGTGGGCTCAATATATTGTGACGACTCAAAATGACGGGATAAAAATATTAAATTGACTTATGTATTAATAAAAATTAATGTTTTGGTACCAACCATAGCAGAGATCTCATCCATGCTTTGAAGGTACTCGACGATCTTTGACTTGTGAGCAGGTTCGACACGGGAGAAGAGACGGGCCTTAGCACATGCGGCACGCTGTTCACCTACAGGCAGGTCGTCAAATTCACGACCAGAGAACGATTTGCCAGTTGTGTCCTCTTCTTCGGTAAAGACACCAATACGTCTAAAATGTGTTATAGATATTAGACATCATTGTGGATTTAATTATGTTAAGGCAAATACACATTTTATATGAAAGGCTCAATACCTGCAGATAGCCTCGGCGGTAGCCTTGTTGTCGCCAGTAATTACAATTACGCGGATGCCAGCAGCGCGGCAACGGACGATTGAGTCGAATACTTCTTTACGGGGGGGATCCAACATGCCCACGACGCCGACGAAGGTAAGATTGACTTCATATGTGTAGAATTTGCTAGAGTCACCAAGGTCCATTTCATCGGGTTTCATAGGGTTGTCAGCAGTAGCCAGGGCCAAGCAACGCAATGTGTCGCGGCCAGTACCATATTGGCGGGTCAGGTCAAGAATGCGGTTCTTAAGAGTAGTGTTAAGAGGTACCTTGCTTGTACCGACGCGAGCGTGGCTGCAACGCTCCAACACACCTTCAGGTGCGCCCTTAACGAACAATTTCGGGCCATTTCCAAGGCGGGAAGGTTTAAGGGGTGTGCAGTAGGTGGACATAGACTTCCTATCACGGGAGAACTCAAGGGTGAATTCTTTTTTCCACTTTGTCTCAATCTCCTGGCGCACAACAATGGCGGAAGAGCGGCGGTCAAGACCAGTTTTAGAAACATTGAAGGGGTTCATTTTCTCAGCAAGAACGATGAGGGCAGTTTCGGTGGCTTCACCGACCTTCTCGAAAGCTTGTTTGAATTCGTTGAAGTCAATAGCAGAGTCGTTGCACATAACGCAAATGGTACCCAATTCGTGAAGCGCGTCAAATTCGGAAGATTTAACCTTCTGTCCCTTTAGGTAAACGTCGCCAATAGGTTCATAGGTGGAACCAGTGATTTCAAACTCCAAGAAGTTGCTGTCTCCACCTTCAATCTTTTCGAAGATGAACATACGAGAAACAGACATTTGGTTAGTTGTCAAAGTACCGGTCTTATCTGAGCAAATGACGGAGGTGCAACCAAGGGTTTCTACTGAGGGCAGAGACCTAACAATAGCGTTTTTCTTGGCCATACGTCTGGTACCCAAAGCGAGACAAGTGGTAATTACAGCAGGTAAACCCTCGGGAATGGCAGCGACGGCCAGAGCGACGGCGATCTTGAAATAATAGACGGCGCCCTTGATCCAGCTTCCACCGTGGGCGGGGTCATTGAAGTGTCCAATGTTTATGGCCCATACGGCAACGCAAATGACAGAGATTACTTTAGACAGCTGCTCACCGAACTCATCGAGTTTTTGTTGCAGAGGTGTCTTGATCTCTTCAGTCTCGGACATTTCAGTACGGATCTTACCAATGGCAGTGTTAAGTCCGGTGCCAATGACGATACCACGAGCTTTGCCAGCGGCAACGTTTGTACCGGAGAAGAGAATATTCTTTTTGTCCTGGTTGACAGCGCGGGGGTCGGGAATGGAATCGGTATGTTTGATCACGGAAACGGATTCACCAGTCAAGATGGACTGATCAATACGGATCGTGGTGGAGTAAATCTTGATTAGGCGGATATCGGCGGGAATCTTGTCACCGACTGACACTTCCACAATGTCGCCGGGAACTATTTCTTTCGCTCTGATTTTTTGGACGCCAGATTTATCTCCTCTTATTACTTTACCCATTTCAGGCTCGTATTCTTTTAAAGCTTCGATGGCGGATTCGGCATTTCTTTCCTAAAAAACATTTATTCCATTGTTAGAAAAACAAGAGTTTTTTTTTTCTATAATTCTACTAATAAATAATACGTCTACAGTGTATTTTTTACCTGCCATACTCCTACTACGGCGTTAGCGATAAGAATTAGTAAAATAACGAAGGGTTCTACAAACGCAGAGAAAGCGTCTTCATGTTCTTCAAATAAAGCTAAAACCTGGAAACGGAATACAACTAATGAATACAGTTATTAACGATATAGATTATTATTGGTATATGATATTTTGTGATTAAGGAGACATATACTTACGAATGATATAATAGCGGCTAACAACAAAATCTTGACTAAGAGGTCATCAAATTGTTCCAGGACTAACTGCCATATACTTTTGCCTATAAATAAATGTAAAAAAAATGATAGTTTGTAGTAAATTAACAAAAAGAGAGCTTTATTTCGATAAGAACAAAAGACATGTTCAAGTGGACTTTGCGCTCAATAAAGTGGGTCGAGGTGAGTAGTGCCTACGAAAAGACACTGCTATTTTGCTAGTTAGCGACTTTTCATTTTTGATATATTTCATATTTTTACAACTGGAAGTTTATCTTTTGATAATTGCCGGTAAAGATATTGATTACTAACAAAAAACGCTTGGTAATTATGAAGATCAACATCATAGGACCATAAAACTGATGATTCAGTACAACATAATAATTTAACGACTTTAATTTATGTGTAATCATAATGATAATATGCGAACAAGAAAATTTAAAAATTTTTAATATTTGTTATTATTTAATACGTTAACCATTTACTGTCGCCTATATGACAACGAAACAGAATATTTTTATTTAAAGAAGATCCAAGGCTGCGAGGTAAACAAATGTTGTTTGCTAACTGGAAATGGTTTTGTTAAATTTAAAGTTTCGCATATCTTACACGTCATTACATTAAATCATTTTTTTGAATTTTTCCTAAGGTTCATACAAGAACCTGCAAGTCGTGCAGTGGTGCAATAATTTAAAATGTCGTTGTCAATAACTTATGATAATTTATACACAATTGCATCAGTTTAATATGTATCACAAAAGATAATATTGTAAAAACAAAATAATACGTATCCATTGCGTTGATCTGATTATCGATGCTTACCTTCCTCAGCAGGCAGTTCTGTAAAGAGGAAAGAACCATAATTAGAGATTTGATTAAAACATCAAAGGAGTACATTTAACAGACGATAAACCAGTCAGAGCAGGCATGCGATCTATCTCGGCAGTTACGATCGTACATAAATACACTTGCTGGTTGAATAGGCGAGGTAGCAGCAGTGTATTGGTGGGGCCATAGACATGAATTTATTTTTCATAGATGTCGCAATGGCACTTTGATGTAACCTTGCACTGAGATAGCTTCAAAGAAATATATGACATGAAATTTATGTCGGAAAATGTTTACAGGGTCGCTACAAACAGACAAATGGTATATTTGAAAGAGTTTGGCGTCGATAGTGTAAGGGAATAAATAGTGAGCAAAAAGTTAATTTGTACAAGAGCAGTAATGAACTGTAATTTTGAGTAAAATTTCTTTTAAAGTTAACAACACGTTACTTAATAACCGTCTTAGTAATTAATTCCAAAAATATAGTAAAACAATTTATTACAGGCAAATGTAACAGATGGAAGGTCGTTATCAATAAAAAGTCATTTAAACATCATAGTAAATTAGTACTACTTGTTTTCCTAGATTGTGATACTATTTCTATCTGTATCTGTAGGTGCATCTGTCACGACTCACTATCTTTTCGTTTCTGTAATTTCGATGGAAATGACATTTTTTACACCATTAGGACTTGGTATTAAAACTGACGATTCAATTGATAAAGTGATAATGTTTTCAATAATGTGCCCTCTACGAAATATAATAATCGGTCAACGTCTGGAACTTTTATCTACAAAATGATATCAATATATACTATATGTTTCTATTAATCAAACAAGTTTACAAACAAATACGTAATCTTAATACGATTATATAATCAGGTAGTTATAATTACCATATATTCTTTATCTATACATATGTATCTATCTTTAGTCTTGTCTTTGTAGGTAGCAAATTAGAATCTAGTTATGATAATGGAATGAATACAGTGATAATGAGATTCGATGTATTATAGAATTAGTCGTTTTTTAAATTAAATACTTTAATAATACTCATGTTAATATCGACGGACGTATAAAGTATGATATAGTTCTTTTACAAATAAACAGATATAAAAAGGAGGTTTTATATATATATGCCTTTTGTTTTATTTTGAGCATGTGATGCGGTAATATTTGTCGATTGTAATTTTAAGAAATTTTAAAAAAGAATAAGTTCTCAATATGTAGGTTCATAAGTTACGCGACATAATCTGCGCTGATTAATATAAAGAGTCAGGTGACAATTTATGGCACAAATAAAATTCTGTACAAATTTGTGATGGAAAATTATACATAAGTAGTATACGCAAAACAAGCCAGGGGCAAAAATAGTAAATAATAATAATTATATCATTTAAAGAAATAGTTTCAAGTTTTCAAGTGATTGTATTACCGTCATAGTGCGTGAGGTAGTCGACAGTACAACCGTGGCGTAACTTATTCAATAACCTTACTATGTAGCTACTTATTACTTTGACGTCATAACAATGTTTACATATTTCTTATTTAATTGTTTTAAGTAGGTTTGTAAGGTTGGTAGAACGGTTATCTTTTTAGTCTAGTTTATGAATTCAGCATCTTTAACATGTCATAGTGTACTAAAGATGCTGCGTTCCATTCCGGGAGAAGCACCTATTTATTTCTCGTAATATAACTTAATACCTGATTATTTTTAAAGCAGACAATGAAAAGTCAATTATACGAGTGAATACTGTATAATCTCAATAATTTGTGATACAATAAAATCTTATGACATATCACTGGAATAAGCAGTTCTATGTCCTTCCTACCTTATAAGCCTCATCCTTAGATTAATTCAGCCAGTATATAAATTAGGTAAACAATTTAGAAGCGATAAGTGTATCTGTATTAGCGGATTTAAATATCGCGCTAAGTCTTAATTGCGGAGTTTAGTTAGGCAACGTGTGCTAAGTCGAACGTTGTACGACTCTATTTGCGTTCGGGCTAGCAGCCAGCGACGTAGTGATTAATATAAGCAATTAGTTAACTTATCGATAACGCTGTGTCAGTATCTGAATATACTAGTGAATGGTCATGAAGTTAAAACCAATGACAGCGCAAAAACTGGAACGCGCTGCTGGTCGTCTTGACGTCTAACATATCCTAAAGAGGCCTGCGTCAAACGGTGTATGACTGTACGTGCTTAGACTGTGTATTTCATAAAACAATACACAATAATCACGTATAGTTATGAAAGTCCGGCACGTTAAGACAGTCGTAAAATTTTTGCATAATTTTCTAAGTAGTTATATAGATAGGAAATGTTGATTGAGAGGCTTGTTTGGTATTCTATGCTAAGCTAAAATATTGGAAACGTAACAATAGTGTGGTTTACGCAGAGTATTGATATGTTACAGGTGGTAAAGACAACCTTGACTTCAATTGTGCCATTAGACATGTAACAGGCGATTCGTTTAACCTTGAATCAATTAATTAAATCGCATTTCAGGAGAATTAAGATACTCATATATTTTACATATCTATAAAAGGATAACAATTGTTTGTATACAAGTAAATTAAATTTCCAAGTTATGGCATTATTAAGAGATAAGATGTATTTAATAATGTATTGATAAAAATAAATCAGTAAGTATAAAGGAACAATTAAGATTTCAATCAGATATTAAAAAAAAATACATATATAATTTGATTGAACAAGTTTTGCCAAAATCCGGAGTACTCATAATAATATCATAATAGTTTTCTGATGATATCTATGTTTTTTTATGAATTAAATATCTCGGTATAGTAATTGCATAGTACTTTTACATTAATTTCATATCAAGAACGTAATAACAATAACGACAATACGCGTGTGAACAATAAATTATTAATTTGCCGGAAAAGTTTTGAAAAAGGGAGGCACCTAATACTTTTGCTTGCGGTGAATAAGCAGATAAACAGGAAATATAGCTCTAATAGAACTTTTGTAATAATGATGCTATTGAATGCAACTAATTATCCATTGTTGATTAAATATTTTTTTTTTTACGGTGAAACGTGATGACTGCACGTCGTCAGAAGCATTCATAGCGGCAACACGCCAACGTACACCGTCTAAAATAAACCTGTGCATCTATCTGTGTAGTATTTCAGCATATAGGCACTTTGGGAGCTTGCGCCGTCAGCCGTCGGAATTACCCGGCGGCCATTACTCGTCGATCTGGTTCCCATTGATTTTGTGACCGTCCAGTAATTTTGTTATTAAGCTCAAAGAGCAATTATTCTGTAGATGTTTACTCCTAGAAGTAACATTAATTTTGTGGAGGGTATGCGATTAGATTAATGGCTTAATTTATGGCATATACGTGCAGCTACTATGAATTACGGCAGGTATTGAAACTTATTAAAACAAAAATAGAACGATGATTTTAATTAGGATAGTTTTTGTGGAAATTGTAATCATAATAATAATAAATTAATTTTAATAGGTGATCTGGAAAACGTTTTACAGGATGCATTTTTTTTAAACCAGGAAAGAAATCAACTTGAAAGATAGGGAAAGAACTATCCTATTTTTCAAAATGGTGCAAACTTTACCTATTTTAAAAAATCATTAGATTCATCTGAGCGGTTTCGGAGATTAGTGTGAACGAACACTATAACACGGGATTGTTATATATCTAGATGACAGGAGTATTTTTCATATCAGAAACATAATATTTATACATAGGTATATAAAATATTTTCTACTCTCTACTTTAGCATCTAAGGAAAACTAGAATCTACTTAAAATTCATTTTAAGTATGGAACTTAAGTGAGGTCAGATCGATTTTTATTTATGAAGACGTAAGTTACCGCAATTTTTTGGTTTTCTTTCTGTTAAATGCATGAGATCCCCGGATCTATATAATTTGCAAGCATTTTTAACGCAAAGATATAAAGAGATTACTGGGTACGGATATGAACATATTTGCAATCGTATTATGAACGAGTTAAACTGTGTCGGTTTATCAGCTATAGGTAGGTACCTTGAGTTACTCGTACACGTAATATATATATATATATATATATATATATATACGGCTATATTGTGTATGTTCCGAGGACATATTCTATCATAATAAGAGGGCAAATACATTTGTGTAACAAATTATATACGGTATTAAATTATCATGATAAAATGAATAAATTTGAAGAAATTTAAAAAAGAATAACATAAACAAGTTAACTGATGATTTTCTTAGACTATAATGTCCCTTAATTAGACTATATTTCTTAGACTATATTGTCCTAATTATTTGAACCTTAATATTTGTTACTTCAAATATTAAGGGTCAAATAATTGAATTAAATTTGGTACACGCACATCACAGCACATATATAGTGCACAACTACTTGATAATTTAAAAGCTTCTTTATATATTTTTTATAAATTAAATTATTTATAAATAAAGTTAGAAAAGGTTCGACAAATTTTGATGTTTATCGGATATACAAGATGAAATCGAAATTATTATTAGCATAATATTTTAATGGAATTGTGCTACCAGTAAAATTAAACATTTTTTTCAAAGAAATTCGAGTAAAAAAATGTAGAGTTTTCTGGACCAGAGAATTTTGGATCTCCTATAGTAAGTAACACGTCGGGGTGTATTACTTACTGTGGGAGATCGAAAAATCTCTTTTTTGACCAGTTTCTTTGGAAAAACAATCAAATTCAGTGGTAGAACATTCTCATAAAAGGATGCTAATGATTATGATTTCATGATACAGGTTAATATAATAATGAATATCTGTTTGGTTTTCTGTATTGTGACTAGAGTACGGGGAAAGACGTGCAGTTTACGTTATGTATTCAGAACCTAAATATCCGTTAGAAGAGTTCGAGGTCGTTTAATAAACAACAGATACAAACTACGTCGGAGAAAAATTTTGCATGCGTTATAAACACGGATAGTCAAATGTAGGTAAGTTAGTAAAGATCTAAATTAAAACAAGTGATCGTG